AATCAATTAGATGGTGGCCTGATTGGTGGGGCCAATGTGTGTCCATCTCTGTGTGCACACATTAAAGGATACTGGAGCTTAGGATGTCAGTGACTGCCTATTGGCTGGGACTGCCTAGTGGGCCCCATTGGCAGAACTTGGGGTCTCCAATTTCAGCAACACCACTGAAATTTGGTGCCCCCTGCCTCTCACCTTCCATTCAACAACATAGTTACTGTGGCACCTCCAAGGCTCCATGCCCAGTGTGACCAAACTGATTGCGCTTCCCTAAATCTGCCTCTAGTGGAGAAGGAAGAGATGGCAAAGCAGCCATATTTTTAAAATATTTCTCCCCCCCACCCCCCGCATAAGTTTGCACAAACTTTCATCATGTTGTAGATGAATTTACCAAGACTACAGCTATGAATTGCTTTCCACAATCCATTACCTAATCAAATTTTGAGTCCTTGTAAGGAGTCAGCCACAAATGACTTTGGAACCGAACAATTAAATATATTGTAAGAAGTTATTCCAAGTGTTTACTTTCAACTGCTGGGGTGATTCCTGCTCAAAAGAATATCACAAGGAGTGGGATGAAATATTTTGAGTACCCTGTATTAAAATAGAAATGTGTTATTCCCTGCCCGGGCTCTGTTTTCAAGTTTAGTTTCAGATTTAACATACTTAAGCATTTGTTTATTTCATTAAACCTCATAACAAGAGTTCACTGGAAAGCTTGCAAAACAAGGAAACAAATCTTAAAATACAATATAAAAGCTGCCATCAACTGATTAAAACAAAGCACTTAGTCGTAATACATTTGCTGGACATTTTTTACTTGCTGTAGTCATTTTGATTTAATCAGTATGACGTGTTTTTGCAGCAGATGTCATCAAGCTGTTGCCACTGAAGGGCAACGAGTGTAAACTACTTTCACGGTCACGTCTTTCTCGTTAAGGAATCCTGGGAGTTGTAGTCCCCGGTAAACACTGAAAATCTGGGCGCTGCTGTTTAAGGGCTGCATACATGCACACCCTTCTTAAACCAGCTTCTTAAACTAGCCAACCAACCTCCTGACTGTGAGTCTTAAAACCTTTTACCTGGTTGAGGCCACGCTAAAACGAGCCAGATGGCACCCTATTTGGGCTTTTGCCTACGTAGGGATGGCAGGAAGGAAGCCCAGCTGTGAGCAGAAGAGCAATTAATAATTAATGGAGTCGCAGGGCATCCTTTCCCGCATCTCTCTGAGGATCAGTGTTTACGTGAGCAAGAGATGATTGGATTAAAACTGGCAGCCTTATTGTGTTAAGTGAGATGACGTCAGCGGCTGCTCAGCCAAAAATGAAAAAAGAATGAAAATGAAATCAGCTCTTTATGAGAGGGGCAGAACCAGGGATCGCTGTTCTATCCACCGTAAAATAATCAAGAACTGCTGTAATTGCAGCACCTCCATGAGTGAGGCAGGAGGATTCTAGCCAAAGCAAGAGAGCACAGCTATAGTGCCCCTTTGCTAGAAGTTGCCTGCCGCTCTTTTGAGCTGGTGTATTCGCTCTGACTGCTGTACAACTGTGCAATTTCTCCCAGCTTTTTTTTTAAGGGTCCAATCCTGCGTTTCCCTGTTTGAGGAACTGGCATGGTTGCGACCATGCTACATGTGTTTTTAAAATCGCTTTTCAGTTGTAAACCAAACAAATGCTTAACATACAAATGCAACCAAATGTAGCTTGGCGAATTAATGGAGAAGAAAGCCAAGACCCTTTAGCAATTAAGACATGGAGACACAAGTGAAGAGCAGAACGTAACGCAAACGGCTTAATCCAACGAGTCTCTCCATAGTCCCCTGTGGGCTTGGGTTGGTCGCCTTGTTTGATCGTCCCTGTGTTTACAGGAGATGAATTGTTGTCTGGGAGACTAAAAGTAGAATGGATTTGTCTTTCCTTTGGCTAGTCAGGTTTTCTGCCAGTGTGACATTCCAAAAACATGGCAGCTATGGTATTTTGGACAAACCAATAATGCAAGGTCAAGAACGATCTGGGTCAATGATCTGGGTCAATGTTAATATACTGTCAGTGGTTCATAAGCAAAGCCTTAAAAGAATGAAAATACCAGCATCCCTTCCATTCCTTCCTTCTGCCTTTATCTTTATCCTTAGAGAAATGTTATCAGTAGTATTTGGAATCAAATTTGTGGCAAGGGGGTCTGCTTGGATGTGCACCATTATTTTGGAGATTTCATACATCACTCTGAATGAATGCTGCAAATACCAGTTGACTAAATCAATCCGGTTAGAACCTGAGGTTCTAAAGTGGTGTGTCAAAGGTAAAGAAAATGTGACAGTGAAAGTACTTCAAACATGAGCTGGTAACATCCTTGAAAAGGACATTGTGAGCTGATTATTTGATAGCATTAGCTATATTGAGCCTTAGGACACGGAGGCTTTAGCTCAGGGGTCAGCAACCTTTTTCAGCCGTGGGCCGGTCCACCGTCCCTCAAACCATGTGGTGGGCCAGACTGTATTATGGGGGGGGGGGGAAATGAACGAATTCCAATGCCCCACAAATAACCCAGAGATGCATTTTTAATAAAAGGACACATTCTACTCATGTAAAAACACGCTGATTCCCTGACCGTCCATGGGCCTTAGCTTGCCTATCCCTGCTTAGCTAGTGTTAGCCTACTATCTTGTACATGCATCACACTAAACAATATTTTACCTTTCCCACATGCAGACCTCAAGAAGGACTATGTAGTGGCACATGGAGAGAATGGTGTTTTGAAATACCGGTACCTGTTTTCTTTATGATGTCTGAAACCAAATCAAAGTGAAAACATTCCTTCCTGACCTCCCTTGCCCTGGAGCCTTATGTTGAGAATTTTTTTGGGGGGGGGTATCTTGTAACTTGCTTTCACTAACAGAACCACAAAACAGGATGCAATGCTTTAAAAAGGCAATCTGGTGAGGGGGTTGGTCTCCTTAAAGCTTTTGCCCTCCAGAGATGCTGCATTTGAGCTGAAGAGTTCTTTAAAAAAGAACTTTTTATTTGTCTATAGGCACAGCACACACAAGACTTTAGGAGTATGCATGTTATCTGTCTTTAGAAACCTGTCTGTCTTTTCAGATACAGGTAGGTAGCCGTGTTGGTCTGCCGTAGTCAAAACAAAATAAAAAAATCCTTCCAGTAGTACCTTAGAGACCAACTAAGTTTCTTCTTGGTATGAGCTTTTGTGTGCATGCACACTTCTTCAGATACAGTGAATCAGAAGTCACCAGACCCTTATATATAGTGAGAGGGTAGGGAGGGGTATTACTCAGAAGGGCGGTGGGAATGGGTGATTGGCTGGTAGGTGTGCTAAACTTCTGGTAGGTGTGGTGACTTCAGTTTCAGTGTATCTGAAGAAGTGTGCATGCACACGAAAGCTCATACCAATAACAAACTTAGTTGATCTTTAAGGTGCTACTGGAAGGAATTTTTTTATTTTATCTTTTCAGTAGTATGCATTGAAATAGGAATGTTAATCCTCCCCCCCCATAAACTATTTAAAATACAGTATTATCTTTTTCTTAATCCATTAGTTTTGTTATTGTAATGAAAGTGAGATTTTGTTAGTGTCCATAATTGAATTGTAAAGGCTAAAGGCTGAAGTTAAGTAGTGAAAAGAAGTTTAAAGCTTTTAATCCTCAGCATGCTAAGAAGATGCTGCTCTTTCGCCTCAGGTGTGAGGCTGTTTAAGGGGAAAGAGGACACAAGGTGACTGGAAGACTTTTGAAGACCAAGGGAAAGAAAGGTCTCTTTAACCTTCACTTTAACCCTCTGATTCAGCTCAGCTTTACCTACTAAATTCTCGAAGAATGATTTTTAAAATCCTGCAGAAGAAATCGGAAAGGCATGCTAACCACACAGAGAGGCTGTCAGATAATAATTAAAGTAACACAAGGCACATGACCTGCTCTGTAGCATACTAAACTTGCTGGTTAATCAAGCCCTGCTTCTTAACACCATCATAAAATTTGTCATGGAAGTCCAATAAGATGAGGTTAGCATGGTCCTTCATCTCTCTTTATAGCTTCTGACAGATTCATGATATTGTGTTAACGTGCTATGGTTTATTTATATACCTTAAAGCCCCCAAAGCAGCGAAGAACATATCTAATTCAAAAGATATATACAATAAATATACCATCAATTCACTCAATAGAATATTATAATATGATGTCATGTACTGGCTAGATGCAAAGGAGTGGTGGGAGGCACCAGCTGGGGAACCCCCAGCAGAAGAAGGCTCAGAGCCAAGGGGTTGGTGGTGGGACGACAATGAGGAGCAGAGGTGGTCAGAGGAGCAGACTGGGAGGAGGGAGGAGCAGTGGGAAGCTGAAGAGGCAACAGGATTTAGTGAGCAAGAAGAGGCTGTGGCAGAGAGCGGATCAGACTCAGGAGAGGAGATTGTAAAGGGTTCCCCATCCCTGCTGATACTGAACTAGATGGACCCAATGGTCTGACTCGGTATAGGGCAGCTTCCTATGTTCCTATGCTATCAGATCCTTGTAAATGAGTCTGGCAAAGATGTAGAATTATTGATCAACCCCTTTCTATAAAACTCTTGCTGAAAAGCTGCAAAATGGTCTCTGTTACAGCAAGAATACAAATTCTACTTACTGTTGCTATCTTGGTGGCTTTAACTGATTTACTTTTATGTAGTGTAGAAGGAACATTTTTCAAGAAGATTCTCTAATCACATCGCTAAATAACAGATTGCCTGCAGGCAAAAATGCCACATTTTCAAACGCCCATGATCTTAACTTCCAGCAGTGACAATCTCTGCAGCAAGTGTGATATTGAATAAACACATCATTCCCTTCTTCTTGATAATTGGCTGTGAATAAACTCTTATTTCAAACCCACATATATTTTAAATTAAACATGAATTAAAAGATTTTTTTTTATTCTGTGAATTGGCCTGAAATCTTATGATGATGGGTGGAACAACAACAAAAGCTAGGCAAAACTCAGCTGATCACATACAGAATAATCCGAATTGTTTACAGTAAAGGTGTGGAATGATGTACATTGTAGTAAATAAAACAAGTGAGCAAATACAAAACCAGCAGAATCTTCAGAGGAAAGGCTGGTGGATGAGAGAGTACACTAATAGAACTCACCCCCCCACACACATTCTGAGCCCATTCCAAGCAGTTAAACCTACTTATTTGCTTTATTGTGGGGGTGGCTAACCTTTGGCCCTCCAGATGTTGTTGAACTACTAGTTCCATAATCCCAGAGTATCGGGCAGCAGCTGAAAGATGCTTGGGAGTCAACCATATCTGGAGGCCTGCAGCTTAGTCATGACTGGGTTTTAATCCTAGCCAGTTTTCTCTTGAAGTTCATCTTCAGGCAGCACAGTGTGGTATTTAGGGTAGTGGAATAGGATTAGGGAAACCAAGCTTCAAATTCGTACTCAGCCAAGAAGCATCCTGGGTGATTAAGGAAGAGACATAACTCCTCCTTTTCCATGTCCCTGGATGCTGAAGCTGAAACAGCACTGCCTCAGTTCTCATCCCCTTCTCCCCTCTCTGGGACAACTTTCCAAGATTTTAATGCTTTTCCAATAAAACCCCATTTCTGCATAAACTCCAATCTTATCCCTGTTGCTCCCAAAGAACCTTACATGGAAACTCCACTACCTTGTCTAAAGTTACTCACGCTGTGCTTCTCTATATTTGGAAAATGCTGGTTTCTGGGTCAGCTTTAGAAGACAGAAAACAGCCTGTCCTCCAGCAGAACACAGTCATGGTTGCAGTGAGAAGCTGTTCCCCTAGCACCTTTCAGTTAAGTTCTTCCTGGTAATTTGTGTTGAGGAGGCCCAGCGCACGTTGTGCATGTGTGATGTCATGTGCATTGCATGTTGCAGGTTCAGTGGCCAGCTCCTCCAAAGTGCTCGGCCTCCTCCAGATGACACGACAACACATGTGTGATGTTACACGCCTGTGACATTGCATGCTGGGCCCCCTCAATCTTAGGGGGCAACCTGGCACCTCTGGTTGGTAGCGTAACTATGCCTCTATCTCTACAAGGATAACCTGGCTACAGTAATATATGCTCTGCTCACCTCAAAATTAGATTATTGCAATGCATGTTATATAGGACTTCCTTGGAAAATGGTTTGGAAGCTTCAATCAGTGCAGAAGGTGACTTACCTGGTTGTTGACAGGTTTGAAATGAACAGATAACACCAATTCTGCTACACTTACACTGGCTGCCTTTGTGCTTCTAAGTGCTGATTTTGACCTTTAAAACTTCTTATGGTTCAGGACCCCAATTTCTTCTAGAATGCCTTCCCCAATATGAACCTACCTGGACCCTTAGATCTTCATCTGAGTCCCTTCTTCAGGTCCTCTCCTTTTCAGTTGTTGTTCCCCATCTGTGGAATGTACTCCCCAGTGAGGTCTGCCTGGCACCTTCATGGGCATATTTTCAGCACCAGATAGCGACTCCCTGCCCCCGGCTTTTGATAAAGACAATATTGTAGGAGTGCCAACTTGGCCTCATGACTGTGGGTGCCTGGGGCTGTGGATGCCACGGAGTGTGCATGGCCCTGGCACTGAAATTGGTGGATGCCTGGCAGCTTCATGGGCGCTGGCACCTATGCAATATTGTCATTATGCTGCCAAAGCTTCCTGTGGCTGTTGATTTTTTTCTGTTTCGTGCTATAAAATATTTATTTGTAGGAGCAGTGGTTATTGTTTTGTTATTGTTCTACTTATTTGTGCTTTTATCTTGTATTTTTATCTTGTGATTCGCCCTGAGATCTTTGGATAAAGGGCGGTATATAAATTTAATAAATAATATTATTAATAATAACAGCGTTGTAAGTCACTTGGACTCCTTCTGGTAACAAACAGCTAACAAATCTAATAAATAATCATCATACAGAGACATGTCCTGAACAAGCATGATAACACATATGTATGCCTAACAAACAAAAATGTGAGCTTTAAAATTAGTGTCCTCTTACATATGTGTTAATTACTATGTAGACAGATAAAATCAGGAAAGGCATTTTCTTGAGGTGGTGTGATGATGGTGCCTAATTATTGCCATTTACTGAGCACCTAAGTTGTATATTGCCTGGGGAGGAAGTTGAAATAAAAAAATTAGAACGAGGCTCACTTCTACATACATTTTGCTGATTTTTAGAATGTGATAATGTTCGCCTGCTCTTGGGTTAAACTGGGGGTCAGTTTAATAGGTAGCTAATGTATCAAGCTGGCATGGTATAATGGTTTTGTAGTGTTCAGACCTGAACTGGGGAGACCCTGAGTTCAAATTCCCACTGGGAAGCAAACTGGATGATCTTGAATCAATCCCACTCTCATCCTAACCCCAGGATTGAGGTTGAATCCTGACAAGACAGAAGTACTGTTTGGGGGGGACAGGAGGTGGGTAGGTGTGGAGGACTCCCTGCTCCTGAATGGGGTAACTGTGCCCCTGAAGGACCAGGTGCGCAGCCTGAGAGTCATTTTGGACTCACAGTTTTCCATGGAGGCGCAGATCAATTCTGTGTCCAGGGCAGCTGTTTACCAGCTCCATCTGGTACGCTGCCTGCAGACTGTCCCCCCCAGAGTGGTGCATGCTCTGGTTATCTGCCGCTTGGACTACTGCATGCTCTTAATGGGGCTACCTTTGAGGTGAGCAGGAAACTACAACTAATCCAGAATGTGGCAGCTAGACTGGTGAATGGGAGTGGCCGCCGAGCCACATAACACCGGTCTTGAAAGACCTGCATTGGCTCCCAGTACATTTCCAGGCACAATTCAAAGTGTTGGTGCTGACCTTTAAAGCCCTAAACGGCCTCGGACCTGTATACCTGAAGGAGCGTCTCCACCTCCATCATTCTGCCCGGACACTGAGGTCCAGCACCGAGGGTCTTCTGGCGGTTCCCTCACTGCGAGAAGCCAAGTTACAGGGAACCAGGCAGAGGGCCTTCTCGGTAGTGGTGCCCGCCCTGTGGAACGCCCTCCCACCAGATATCAAAGAGAAAAACAACTACCAGACTTCTAGAAGACATTTGAAGGCAGCCCTGTTTAGGGAAGCTTTTAATGTTTGACGGACTATTGTATTTTAATATTTTCTTGGAAGTCGTCCAGAGTGGCTGGAGAAACCCAGCCAGATAGGCGGGGTATAAATAATAAATTATTAATAGTATTGGTATATTATTATCTCACAGTTATGTTGTGAATAAGGATGGGAGTGATGTATTTATGCTGCTGGGAGCACCCTGGTGGAAGCGTCACATTTAAATGTAATACATCGCCACTACTCATATTAAAATCTATCCAAAAGAATATATCACATCACTCCAAAAAGAAAGAAATACAGAAGAATAGTATTGAGAGCAGATAAATTGAAACGAAGGAAGTTATATTACTATCAAAGAGGTTTGATTCTGCTATCTTGTTATATCATGGAGGTACCAATCCCTAATGCATGGCATTTCACTTTCTAAAGATTACATTATTACCCATCAACATCTAGCTGATTTTCTTTCTTTCTCTTAGCCACAGTTGAAACACATTCTAGTTTATTCAAGTTTTAAGACATATTGGAATTTTCAAAATGAAAAGTGTCTTTGAATTGTATAGGCTTTCAGAAGTGTATTTCTGTGAATTCTGGTAGGTTTCTAAAAAAAAAAAAGATGAACTCATACAACCTGCTTACTTGAAGTAAACACTGGGGTGAGTCTTCATGTGATGAGCAATAATTCCTCTTCAGGATTCTTTGGGGAAAATGCCATCTGTCCCCAGTGCCAGGTAAGCCTTGGGGACCTTATTCACTTGTAGATTCGTAAGGTGAGAGAAGCACTACAGGTGCCTTTAGGATAAAAATTGTGGTTGCATTGCTCTCCAGAAAATAGGATTTTCCCTAAAGTTTTGTGGCACACACCCACAATTCTAATCAAAGAGATTTCATATAAATTCTATCAGATTATTTCCACTTCCACAAAGAGCTGCAGCATATGATATCTCCTGCCCTGACCCATATCACGCAATTGTACGAAAGTCAGCAGGGCTAAGGTTGCAATACTGGACACAGTTACTTGGGAGTAAGTCCCGTTGAGCTCAATGGGGCATACTTCAAAATAGACAGGTGCACGACTGCACTGTACATCTCCATGTTTCTTTACAAAGTGCCCTTTCACTTAAAGACGTAGTCCGCACAGTATTATGTGGCAGTAGCTATGGCAACAAGTCTCTGGAACAGCCAATCAGATTAGGCACACCGGAATATGAATATGGGCCATGCGTATAATTTTTTAATGCACACCCTTTTAAAGAATTTAATTTCTAATGAGTAGTTCAAGTGTGTAATTGAGCATAGGAAGCACTGAAACCTGATGTTCCTGTTTCATATCAAAATGCTTCCGATAAAACACACATGCACACCCCTAGTTACAGGGATGGATCTAGAGAAAAAAGACCATAACTCCCTGCCCTTATTTATTATTTATCTCTTACAGTTAGCTTCCGGCCTCAGGGGCACATCCAGTACAATCTCTACTTTGCCAAAGCTGAGCTGCAGAGAATATGAAAATGTCTCCTAAACTGTAGATCATTCAGAGGCTGGTTTATATAAATGTAGCATAACAATAATTACTGATATAAACATGATTGTACAGCAGTTTCAGAAGCGCACTGTTCATATCCATGCCTGAAACAATGAGCTGCTGTTCTATTAAATAGAACGCTTAACCCCTTCTTCCTCTAAATTCAGATAATTTTTCTGGCACTTGAGAAACATAAAGTAGTATGTACTTGAGCATCTTGTGCTATACTAACACAGGGCATTGGTACCTATATAATTCTATGCTCACTAGTAATTGTGTCTAATGCAAGAGGTGCAGATTCCGTTTTATTTCTGTTCTGCAGGTCTTCACCCCTGAGTCATATATATTGATCTGCGGTATTGCATTTCAGAAGCCCGAAGACACAAAAGTAATTTGAGGTTGCTGTTTTATTTGCGTAAAACTGATGCTTTTCAAGCCTAGAGCAGCGGACAAAGTACATTGCAGAATCTCAAATGAAGCTGAAATGTGGACAGAAACATTTCTCACTTTGCTAATTCTTGGCCAAAGGGGGAAATACATGTGACAGGTTGAAGAAATCCATTATTTTGTCATGTTGAGCAGTAGGACAGGAATTCCTCTTCAAAGTTAAATATGACACGGTGAAAATGCCCCAAAGAAAAAAAAGTATCTTTGGAAAATATGATTAAGAATTAAAGTGGTATGCTCAGTTTTATACTGCTGTGCCTGGTGAAATTGTTGAGGTTCCAGGCCTAAGCATGAGAGAAGAGAAATGGCTTGGAGGTCTGTTTCCAGGAGCCCCCAACAGAGGCAAAGTTAAAGCTAAATGGTAGGTCATGCTTGAGGATTATTTATTATTATTTATTAAATTTGTGTACCCAGTACCCAGTAGATCTCTAAGGATGTTTATGCAAACTTTCCCCTTTGTATCTATATGCGAGAATATATTGTAAGATTTGCTGGAGCCAACATGCCTCCCCCATGAGGGGGTTGGAAGGTGCCAACATGAGAATGGGTCCTTTTTACAGTGCCTCCCTGTTTGTGGAAGGGAGGTTCAGTCAGCGCCTTCAATATACATCTTTAGGCACCAGGATCATCCCTGACCATTGGACACGCTGAGTGGGGCTGATGGGAAATGGATTCCAAAATCTGGAGGGCTTAGGGGTTCTAAGGTGGAATTTCTACTGTCTTCCATGTAAAAGGTGAATAGGAATTCACATGATGAAAGACAGGGGAATGTACCTGCTAAAGAGTGAAATGTAGCCTACAATAAATGGCCAGTGGTATATACCCTTTGAATGCACCCTTAGACACATAACTATGGATATATGTTTGCAAGGTCAGTCTATAGTGAGGGGTTTTTTTGGTATGCATGGTATTCCTCACTATGCAATCAAATGCATATTCGAAATGTGCTTTTTTCATTGTGTGCTAAACTGCTTAGTTTTATCTCTGTGTTAGAAGAGAGGGACACACACACACACACACACACACACACGAAAAGCATGTGTCTGGGCAGCAGGTAGAATTATGATAAAATGTGCTTGTAATATTTTACTCTGACATGAAAAACGCAGCTTGAAGCTCTCCCAACCAAATGGCTGGAGGCCATAAGGTGAGTGCAATGGGAATTGCAGTGAACAGACAAGACTCTCGCAAGATAGCTGGGAAGATGAATAGCATAAAGGTTGCAAAACTAAAGAGGAAGGGTTAAATGTATGCCAAATAGTAGTGTGGCTGCATTTTGTTAAAAAAACGTGCAATAAACAAAACTATTGTGCAATAACTAAGCATGCAGTGGATGTAAAGGCTTTCCTGGCAGTTCTCCCCAACAGTGTTTTCTAGATAACAGCATCTTATTTATTTATGCACACAATAATACATACATAGCATGCTAGTGGGATTGTTAAACTAAAGTTCAGCAGCTCATTTCTAAGCAAATAAATGCTGGATTCAATCCTAGCAGGAAATATCAAGTGCTGCCCCACACCCAATCCTAGATGGCAGCAGATTCTGCTTATCAGTCAGTACTGAAGGCACTCTGTGCATGCTCAGGGGTGCTGTCACCTCCAATGTCGTGTCTCAGCAAATGGGTTCTCCGGGCTGAACCCCACTTGGCACAGGAGTAGGTTCTGTCCACACACACGTGTGTGCGCTCTCGCGCTCTCTCTCTCGCGCTCTCTCTCTCTCTCACACACACACACAGAGCCCTCACCGTCACTCTTGCGCACCCCTTCGAGAGGCACCCCCTGAAAGGAAACGCAGCCCGCCCCCGCCCGCATCTCCCACACACCTGCCGCGCACCTTTCCGCCGCGCGGGCCAGGCGGGGCGAGAGCCGCTGGTCAGGTGGCTCCGGCTGCCTGCCTGGCTGACGTGGACGCCAACAGGATCCCGCCCTATATGAGGCGCGGGCGGGCGCGCCGAGTGCGGCGGAGCGAGGAGCCGAGCGCCTGCAAGGGTGAAGGAGGTGGGACGGGGCGGGCGGCGACGAGCCGGCTGCTCTGCTGCTGCTGCTGCTGCGCGTCCCCTCGACGTTTCCCCTCCTCCTCTCCGCTTGCTCCCTCTTGGCACGCCCCGAAGAGGAAAACGCGCCCGCGAGAGAGAGCGTCCTGAGGGCGATGGCTGCCGAAATGGACCCCAACAGCGAGCAAGGTAAGGGAAGCGGGAAAGCGAGAGGGCGCTTCCTCCCTCGCGGGGGGCGGGGGCGGGCATTGTTCGGGCCTCGCTCCGGCCGGCTTTCTTTCCGCCGCCCCCCCCTTTCCTGTTCAACCGCCCCCACCACCCTCGCTAGCAGTTTTTGCGCTTTTCGCGCGCGGGCTCCCCTTCTCTGTTCGGGAGGCGCGGCGCTTAACTCCGGGTGGGCGTGGGAGAGAGACGAGCAACTGCTCTTGACCCTCGCCGTGGGTGCAAAAAGGAAAAGTAGGGGGTGTAAAAGTGCACGTTGTTTTTTGGGGGGAGGGTGGGCGTGTCGGCCGGGTTGGGGCTCCCCCGCCAAGCCGCCCCCCTCGCAGCTCCTCTGGAGGCCTGCCTCTCTCTCTCTCCCCGGGGGTCGGCTCCGCCCTTCGCTCTCCTGCCTCGCAGCACGAGCCCGAAGAGAGTCTCTAGTGGAAGAGAGGAGCGAAGAAGGCGGCAGCTCGCCTCGCGCCACGCAGCCCCTCTGGACCTTTGGGGGGGGGGGGCGTCGAAGCACTCGGCTTCTGCTGAGCAGCCACCCCGTGCTTATCTGGCTCGCTTCCTTCGGAGGCTGCTTCTTCTTCCCCCTCCTCCTGCTTGTTGCATCCGGAGGCGGGAACTGGCTGGCTTGGAGATTTCTAGGGCTCCGTGAATGCAGCTGTCGAGCAGAGCCTTCTTGTCGGTGCAAGATGGGCTAGGATCCCGGGGGTGGCTGGGGGCGCCGTCGTCGTCAGTGCGGCTCTTGGCTATAGAAGCGCGTCTGAAGGGCGCAGGAAGAGAGAGGCCAGAAGTGGGACGACGACGACCTGTGGCTTTCCATATGTTGTTGGGCCACCACCACTCTAGCACCCCTTGATGTTGGCCTTGTTGGCTGTCGCTGATGGCAGTTGTGGGGGATCCCAGACGTTGTTGGCCTGCATATCTGGACAGCTTGGTTAGAGCGTGGCACTGATAACACCCAAAGTTGCAGGTTCGATCCCCGTAAGGGACAAGTGCATATTATTGCATTGCAAGGGGTTGGAGTAGATGGTCCTTAGGGTCCCTTCTAACTCTTATGATTCTGTGAAATCCCATCAGCCCCAACCAGCATGTCCAGTGGTCAGGCGTAGTGTAGCCTCATCTGGAGGGCCACAGGCCCACTGCCACTGATCTAGGAACAGAGGTACATTCCTTCCAGGAGGCTTCTAGGTGCCGAAGTGGCATCTTGGAAGACTTGTACCTAACCCTGTGTGGGCTGGAAGGGGGTCTCCTTTCTAGGCTTGTCTTGGGTGGTTTGAAAGGGTCTGAGGCAAATGGTGTGGGGACAAAGCAAAATGTTTCAGAGGAGACACTAGATTCCTTGCCTCTCCCACCTGTCATTTGTCATCTTAGGCATTTGCAAGCCCGCAACACACCCTTTCTGTTCTGCACCCTACATTAGGGTACTGAAGCCTTTAAATTTGTCTTGTGTATATGTGCAAGTGAAAAAGAAAAGCAGAGAGATATTTTAGAGTATGTACCATTATTCATGTTTGGGTATTACGGTACATTTAGTGCATTTTCACATTTATTGCTGTTTGAGAACAGAAAGCAACACAACACCCACCCTGAGTTTCCATTTGTCTTTTTGTTCGCTTGTGGTCTGCCTGCTTTTCAGACACCCAAGGCTGAGCTCCTTGGATCTGCTGTAACAATGGTAGCCTAGGGTGTGTGACTGAGGAAGAGACAAATGCCTGGGAAAGCCTTTTTGAAGTTTTCCACTTGCTTCAGCTGACTTGAGCAGTTGCTTGTGGGCTGTGCTGAAGAAGGCAAAATACTCCTAGCACAGCAGGTGCCAAATGCCTCTGTGTGGCCAACAGCAGCCACAGATCTTCTGGTGACCATGTGACTTGGCTTGCCCAGGATAAAGCAAGAGAGCGCTGATTTCTTCCTGCATCGCAGAGAGGTGGCTAGGGCCTCATTTTGTGTTTGTGCAGGAGAGACAGACTGCCCCACTAAGTTCTCTGGTTTGTTTTAGGTATTGGGATCTTCTGAAAGGAAGTAGTAGTCCGTCACTTTATGGCAGGCATTAGAGCCCCAGAGAGCAAGAAATTATCACTGCTTCAGAGTGTCTTCAAAGCTCAGCATGGGCCGTGGAAACCAAATAATGGCTAACCACCAAGGTCACTGAAATAGTATCATTCAGTGAGACTGCAAAACAACTCTAGTTCAAGGTCTTACAGTCCTCTTTCAGGCTTTATATAACTTTATATAACACTTGCAATTTCCTTTTAGATTGTCTGTTACATTTGTGTTTCTTTTCTTTACATTTCATTTTTTTCAAATGTAAGCTGTTTTATTTTTATAGGAAGATGGGTAGAAATGAATAATGCATTAAAATGGATCAGGGTGCAGACCTCCTAATGAAGTTGGTGGCAAAGTGCCCATTTCTAAGGAGCAGGATTGTGATACTTGGTATTTCAATGGGGCTTGCTGAGATTTTAGTTTTATAGCCTATATGAAAGATATTTAGTCAGCAAAGTTGAGCAGTTGAACACCAAGGGTCACATTAAAAGCATCTAATAAGCTGGACTGGTGCAGCTGAGTGGGATGTCTATGCTCGATCCACATTAGCATGAACTAGGAGGGTGCATGGCCTGCATAGCTGCTAGAGCAGTTACAGCATCCCAGATGAAGCTTATGAGGTTATTATAGGTCCAAAATGACAGCTGTTGAAAGTTATTTTGGGTGGTATAAAAAATTCCCAGAATGATGTTTTTCAAATGGAACTATAAATTTTGGTCATTTACAGTCCCTCGTGATAATAACCAACGTTGCTATGTGTTTAAAATTTAGTAGGTCTTAGAGCTGGAAAGCTAAAATTGCAAAACCAGTGAGATGAGAAACTGCCTACCTGTCTCTTCCATTGTTTTCTCCTGAACTCCTGAAAACTGGTCCCTAACCTTAAAAAAGGAAAGAAGAAAGTCAGTACATTATAACAGGGGTTGGCAAGGTTTACCTCGCCTGTGCCAGTTTACTCCTGTGGAGATCCCTCTGCAGGCCGGATTGCGCCCGTGTGTGAGTGTGCGCACCCGTGATTTCCAGCGTTTGCGCAGACGCGATTTCCGGCGTCATGGAAGTAAGTCCCCGTGCCGCACTGCCTGGGGACTCACTGAGCGGGTGGCTTGGTTCGGGGGTGGCTCGTGGGCCGGTTAAATGACCCCCCGTGGGCTTGTGGCCCATGGGCCTTAGGTTGCCTACCCCTGCATTATAATCTGCATAAAGCAGGCCTCCCCAGACCATTTTGGGCAAGCCACCTGCCAATACAATGGACTTATGATGTCAAGATGTAAAGCAAGTAAAAATCTGGCCTTGCTGAAATGGAGTTTGCAGTCACCACTGATCAGCTGATTGTTGGGTTTTGCTAGACCCCTTGCAAAGCCTTTTGCCAAGACTCCTGCAGGCAAGAGAAGTTCACCTGACATTGTGATATCAGGCAATTAACAGGTGGGTACCTCTGTTCACTTATAAAGCTTGGCTTGTGAGGGCTGGGGAAAATAATTATCTGGCCTGCTGGCCAGATCTGATTCTCCACCCTAGCCTAAAGTGTCAGATGTAGCTCATAAGCTTTCTACATTGCCTGTTTTAGCTGTGGCGCATGACTAGGCCAAACCCTAGGACGGTTGTGGTCTTTTTCACACGTCGTATAGAGATAACAGCTGTGGATGATGTGGCCCTGTGTCACTAGACTATTTGGTTGTCCAAACACAATGCCATTTGCTTGACCTGGAAATACCTTGAGCTATAAGCCTGAGCAATTTTAGTGTAGGAAACGTAAATCTCGCCAGTGTACTATAGTCCTGTGTACCTCAAAGTAAACATGCTTAGGATTGCTCTGTATTTTTTTTTGTCATATGAAATGACCACTATTCGCGTAATTTCAAAAGTGGCTGATCTAACAATACATGGAAGTTAACTGTTGTCAAAAGACAGTTTCACATTTAGAGTTTCCCATTCTTTTTCTAAAAGGTCAATAACAGTGGGGAGGCGCAGGGAAGAATTTAGATAGTGACCATGGCACTGAGGAAGCACTGCCAGATGATGTTTACCATTTTCCAGGTGAAAATTGAGCTCCCTTCCCCCACAAGCTATGTGCTCAGTAAGCAAAGTAGACCATTCTCCTACAAATGATGGTTTTCACCCTGTGGGCAAACAGCTCTGAGGGACCACATTTAATTGGGGGAAATGGTATGTAGGAAGAAAGAGTTTAACCTCCTTCCCCAGTGCCAAGAATTATTTTGGGCTACTGTTAGTGCTTTAAAGCGCATGCACACACACAAAGTCCTATTTGTGTATCTCTTACATCACATCTTGTTTGGCCCTCATGCGTTCAGTCACATCTGAGTTGCCAATATTTACTAGGAACTCTTGATTTTTCATAACATGGAATGTGGTTACTAACAGTTCTAATAGTCAAGTCTAAAGTGGTTATTACTTCAGCTGCTTATCTTCAATTTGTATTGCTGTTTCTGCCAGTTCTGCTATCAAGGGTAGGTGATCAAGTGTCAATCCGATCCGTGGATATCAGCAGTGCTCCCTCGTCCTTTTGATGCCGTTTCAGCGTTTCTGAAGAGTTCATGCCAGCTGAGCTATTTCTGCTGACTTCTGCAGAGCAGCTGAATCGAGTACAGTTTTCTGTCTGTGACTGGGATTCAGACAGAACTGACGGCAAGGAAAATAACTTGCAAAATGGCCATGTTTAAGTTATTGGGAAGATTGCACTTAGAAGGCACAAGTGTTGACCCGTGACGTATGGCAGAAAAGTTTCCACGGAAGAATATAGCAGTGGAAAAGTTTACACTTCTAGGAATTTTCCACTACTATATATTTCTGTGGAAAATATTTCATTTTTAAGAAATGCATTTTGTGATAAGCTAGTTAGTATGGCGTGTGGCTGGTATTTTGTTGAATCTAAAATTGTTTAAATGCCCTGGGATTCTTTCAAATGAAAGGTGGTTTAGAAGTGAAATAAACAAATGAAGTCAAAGTTATAAGTAACTTTACTTCAGATAACTAGCACTAGGAAGCACATATATTTATGTGCCCCAGTTCTTGAGGAATGCTAAAATTAGTATGTTAACAGCTCTCAATTCCACTTAAAATATAAGCAACGCAAGGTAAACAACAAGCTGTTGAATTGTATCTTAAAATATCCACAAGTATTTCCAATAAAAACGTCTAAATAAATATTTTAATTTCTTTGAATATAATATTTAAACCATACTAAGTGTGCTCTATTTACAGCACCCCTCCAATAGCATGTCAGTTTCCTCTTACTTGCCTTTTCTTTCTACACTAAAGAGCCTGCAATGTTGTAGTCTTTCCTCATATGGAGGTTCTAGCTCCATAAACACTTGGCTGGAACTTTTTCCAGCTCTGCAGTAACCTTTCTGAGATACCATCTATTTCTAAAATGACATTCGTTATGATATTGGCAGTTTTATTTTAAATCCCTTTTCCAATGATCCCTGACCTGAAATGTACCTTTTTCACAGCTGCTGCAGGCTAGTTTGCCATGACTCCCAATTCAAACATTATAAATATAAAGTTAAGAGTTTTCGTCCCAGTGTGCTGACACATGCTGACATTGGGTCATCTTTGCCATTTTGATGGCAGAGCCCAGTTTGGAGAGAGTCTTTTGGAGCTTCGTGCAATCCTTTGTTTTAACCACCCTGAACATTTTGGCATTAGGAAGCTTGCTCACTTCACTGATCACCTCTAGCTCTAGATAACTTATGGACAAGTTTTAAAAGCTCAGATTCACTGAACCATTGAGCACCTCACCTCTTACATCCCTACACAGTCAGATGGGTGGTATATAAATAATAAATTGTGAGAATTGTCCATTTGTTTTTATTCTCCGCTTTCTGCTCTTTACACATCCATAAAAGGACCTGCCCTCTTATCCCATGACTACTAAGCTTACTCATGAGTTTTTGATGAGGGGCTTAATAAAAAACTTGTTTGAAAGTCTTGGACTGCAATCCTCACCATGCCTACTCAGAAGTAAGACCCATTGAATTCATTGGGGATCATTCCCAGGTAGGTTTGGTTCAGATTGCAGTTTATAGTACACAGTGTTGACTGGATCATCTCTAAATACTTGTTGACTCTCTGAGAACTCTGAAAAGTTAATTAGTGCTGGTTCTTCTGCAAAATTCATTCTTCTTTATGCTTAGTAATTCTGTTTTTAATACCAGTTAAGCTAACTGGCCTATAATTTCATGGATCTCTCTTACAGAATTGGTGTTTCAGTGAATACTTTTTAGTCCTTTGCTATAGAAGCTGATCTTTGAAGAACAAAAATGGTCTCTTGACACATCTGATAGGTCAGGCAACAATGTCTTATGTTGTGAAGAAGGATGAAGATAATTCATTCAGCTTTTCTGCAAACTCCCTTCCCTCTTTTAGCAAACATATTACTTTTTTGTAGTTGGTGATGCATAAAAAGCTCCCAGTAATACCAATGGGAGGTTTGTGTGTTTTTAAAGCTACTACTATTTGTGACACTGGGGAGAGACTTATACGGGGCCACAGTAGGGGTTGAATGTTTGAACATCTCTCTCTATGTGGGTGGTCCAATCTGGATCAAAGCCCAGTGCTTTGTTTCAATTTTTAAGAATTCTGACACCAATTCAAGTGACAAAGTTAAAAGGAATGTGTAGTTAAGCTCTAGAACATGCTTGTTTCTATTCATATTGTCATGTCTAGAATTAAGAGTATCGTGTACAGTATTTTTGCCATTTGGATGGCCACCTGTCATGGCTGCTTTAGCTGAGTTTCCTGCATTGCAGGGGGTTGGACTAGATGACCCTTGGGGTCCCTTCCAACTCTACAATTCTATGATTCTATCTCAGGGATGACTAATCTGTGACCTTCTAATATGTGTTGGGCTTCAATTCCCATCATCTTTAGCTGGCATGGCCAATATTCAGTGTAATTTCTGCCATGCTTTAGAGACATTCTGGACCTATTCAGCATGCATAAGTAATGACTCTGGGTGTACATGGTCATTCCTGGTGCATCCCCTCTGCTGATGAAAATTATGCAAAAGTGACAATTTTATTGTACTCTTGGCAAATGTGCTGAATCAGCTTCAGTTAGAATGAAGTGTTAAACGTTTCATAACATTGCTGATTCTCTTTCCTAAGGCTTATTATAGTACCTTCAGACAATGTTCCAAAAATATGTTTGAAGTGGGAAGACCAGTGCTAGGGGAGGTTTGCCTGCCAGCAAAGCCTCTTCAGTATTTTTGGCATAGTGGAAGATAAGATAAACTTTATGCAGGATAAATGAGTGTTTAGACTCCCATTTGACACTTTTAATGGTTTGGAAATACTTTCCCTAACTTTGCCAATATGCATTGAGCAAGTCATCTTTTTTTAGCTTGTGTAACAGCCTGGTCTAAAACTTGCCATTTTGTCTGCATAATTAGGACTTGCTATCCTCTTGCACATCAACACCCACTTGCCACTGGTATTGCGTTTCCCCTTAATTATGCACCCTCATTTGAGGAACAAGGTACCCCCCTCTACAATACCCCACACAAGAGACAGCAATCCATGAAAACCAGCAGGAACAATGAAGTGTAAGGAAAAGGCGTAGATGCAGATCAGTGCATTGGATTGTTAGACCAAAGTCTCCCTACAAATTATCAGTGCAAGCTATGGGCTTCCTAGAGTATTGACCCTGAATTCCTAGTTAAGGATTCCAAATCTGTTCAAAGGGCCATGTGCTAATTTTTTGTATTGGTTGTACGAAATATATTTTTTTGGGGGGGGGGGCACTGTCAATAGACCTTCATTATGTATTGCCTGAATCTGCACACTGATAGGAAAAGGGGACCTACCAACAGGGAATGAACAAATTATTCTCCCATTCCTAGGAATGCGGATATGGGCAGTGCAGGAGTTTTGTTTCTGTTTGAGGCCACTGGAGTTTCAGCAAACTATAAAGTTTGGGCAACTACCCACGTTTTCATGGGAGAAACCAAACTATCGAAACACTTTGTTTTCCTCTTCTGAGACAGTGTTGTTTTCAGAATACAACAATCTGGCTAGGCCGTAGCTGCTTTCTAGGGTTCATGTATATCTACATTCTCAACTGGTTTTGACAAATGATTTAGCAAAATTGAGCAGAATCCCTCTGAAGAGGGGAGGATGTCTGAAAGCACTTGTGGAAAAAGCAAACAAGACTTGCAGTGCCTGAGCAGCTCTAAAATACGAAATGGGCAGGCCCTGGGCTTAGTTTGTCTTACGTGGCCCGAGGTGTGAGTGCATGTCCTACTATTAATTTGAACTGCACATTTCCTTGTATGTGTCCTGGTAATCCTATTATCTTAAAGGCATAGTTTAATCTGGATATAGGTGCCAGAGCAAGCTTTACTTGCAAGTAGGGCTTCCAAGATTGATACTTGTATTATAGTAAGAACTTTTGGCATTTTCATGCATCCTAGTGAGGAAAGAGTGCTGTACAGTGGAACCTCGGGTTACATATCCCTCTGGATATGTAATCTTCGGGTTGCGAATGTGGCAAACCTGGAAGTGTATACTTCCAGGTTTTGCCATGCACGCATGTGCAGAAACGATCTGCACGCATGCACAGAAACGTTCAATAGTGTCGCGCATGCACGCAGAAGGGCGCCTCTGGTTATGGACTTTTCAGGACACAGCCGGGCCTCCGGAACGGATCCCGTCCGTAACCAGAGGTGCCACTGTACTGTATTACAGCCTTTTAAAACAAGCCCACAAGAGCTATTGATAAGCAGTTTTGTGATTTTAATTTAACTGACCACAGAGGAGGGGAAGCTCCCTTCTCCACAGCCAGCATAGAAACACAGACTGCTGACCTCTTTGCAGGCAAGTACCCAAAAAGAGAGCCTTCTATCAAGCAGATTGACACTACTGGTCCATACACTTGTCAGCATAGAATTCTGTGCACTGTGATGGCCAGGTGAGTTGTTAACCATGAGTTAAAATGCAAAGCTGCCATACAGCTGCCATACTGTTGTGGGTGCACAAGCACCAGTGTGGAGTCATAGTCAGTGTTGGATTATGACCTGGGAGACCAGGGCCCCAATCCCCACTCAGCCAAGAAGCTTACCGGGTGACCTTGGGCCAGTCACTATCTCTCAGCCCAACCCTCACAGGGTTGTTGTGAATATAGAGTAGGGAGGAAGACAACCATGTACACAACCTTCAACTCCTTGGAGGAAAAGGTGGAGTATAAATCTAATAAATAAATGATAAAACAAAGTGCAGTAACCGAGTACCAAACACATGCTTACCTTATTAGAATAGCACCTTAAAAGCACAGTAAGTAATTCTAATGTGCCTTATGATATAAAGTACATAGGATAGCTAATTTAGCATCAGGGAGTCAAGTCCATGGATCAGTTGGGAATAAACTCTTAATATCTGTGATACAATGCTATTTGCAGCTCCCAATTTCACAGTACCAGCCTTTTGACCTGGTACAGTTAATGCAAACGTGGATTTGTCAAGGCTGTTCTCGTGACAGCTTTCTTTAAGCACACTTTTTGTTAAAGCAGTGTTTACTGACGTAGAAATCAACCTCTTATGTCTAACTTTAATGTCTTTGCAAAAACCTGAGGACTTTGTGGGCTCTTTCACAACTTTGACAAAAGCCAGCCAATACCAATAATGCTATGTGTAAACTTCCTCTTGTCGCACCTGTTGCTTAATGTCTGCCCTTCAGTGCAGGTGAAAACCAGGTTTCAACTAAATGGGTTGAATTACAACTACATGGAGATTTCTGGGTGCTAGGGTGGTGATGGACATCTTCTGCTTCTGCGCTGCCCCACAAATCATGCACTGGGCATCTTAGTCCTCCATCATCACATGAAGGAAAGTAAGTGCAGGGCTGAGTACAGGTACATTTTACTGTGTTGCTGACTTTCCACGGGCTATCTAGATGGAATCACAGGCCACAATTAAGAAACCTCTGCCTTGGTCCATAGTTAATACTTTTTCCATTTCTCCTCCTTGCCTACTGAAACAAGTGAATTGTTGTAAGATCAAGCAAGGTAGTTGAAATCATAGAATCACAGAATTGTAGCGTCGGAAGGGATTCTGAGGGTCATTTTTAGTCCAATCCCCTGGCGAATAGACATTCCGATGTGGCGACTGTAACCTAGGTTTCAGGATCCATTTCATGCCTAGCTTATATAGCTATGTGCTTCTAACACTTTATACAGTATTCTGAAATGAATTGCTTCGTAAAAGTACAGTTCAGAGGAAGTTACTAACTGCAGACTCATGACAGCTGGCGAAACAAAACTAGCTTTTAGTAGTTGTGATTAGTATCTCATGACTGTCTTGCTCGATTTCATGCAACAGCCTTACTGTACGTTAAAATCCATTCTGTTTCAAAATATAAATGGGGCAATCTAGAAAACATAGGCTTTCCTGTCAGAAGGATTTAATTCTAGTGGTCTGGGCCAGAGTGTATCTCTTGGATCGAGAAATGACATAGTTCACATGGAAGCGCTTTATCTGAAACATGAGTGCATGTGGCTAATTTGTGACACCTTGGTCTTTCCATGGTGCAGAGGAGAGCCACTGTGGTTTAACCATAGAGTGGATTATGACTTTCAGATGGACTGGGTTCGAATCCACACTTGGCCATGGAGCTCACTGAGTGACCTTGGGTCAGTTACTATCTCTCAGATGGAACCTACCTCCCATGGTGGTTGTAAGTATAAAATGGGCAGCGGGAGAACCTTGAGCTACTTGGAGGAAAAGGCACTCTGTATATGTAATAAATAAAATACCAACAGTTGAATGGACTCTTGACATTGTAATACAGTGGTACCCCGCAAGACGAACGCCTCGCAAGACGGAAAACCCGCTAGATGAAAGGGTTTTCCGTTTTGGAGGCGCTTCATAAAGCGAATTTCCTATGGGCTTGCTTCGCAAGACGACAGCCCATAGGGAAATCTCAGGGACAGCGGGGAAGCGCAGCGCGCCTTCCCCACTGTCCTCGGACCTCCTCCGAAGCCTGGCGGCGGGGCGGGGACACCTCCTCCCGCCGCCGCCGGGCTCGGAAGGCTCCTCCGAGCCGGGCGGGGGGAGGGAACACCTGCCGCCGCCGCCCGGCTCGGAACGGTGCTCCGAGCCGGGCGGGGAGGGAAGACCTCCGCCTCTGCCCGGCTCGGAACGGTGCTCCGAGCCGGGCGGGGGGAGGAAGACCTCCCCGCCGCCCGGCTTCGGAACGGTGCTCCGAGCCGGGCGGGGAGGGAACACCTTCCGCCGCCGCCCGGCTTCGGAACGGTGCTCCGAGCCGGGCGGGGGGAGGGAAGACCTTCTGAAGGCGGGCGGGGGCGAAAGTCTTTGCTCCCCCCCCCTGCCTGCCTGTCCCGGAGGGCTTTTGAAGGCGGGGGGAGCAAAGACTTTCGCCCCCCCGCCTTCAGAAGAGGTCCAGGACCTCTTCTGAAGGCTGGCGGGGGCAAAAGTCTTTGTCCCCCCTGCCTGCCTTCCCAGGGGCTTTAAATTGCCCCGGACAGCGGAGAAGTCCTCCGCTGTCCCGGGTGATTTTAAATGCCGCCCGCCAGCATTTTAAGATCGCCCGGACAGCGGAGAAGTCCTCCGCTGTCCCGGGTTTTTAAAATGCTGGGGGTGGGAAGAAAAGCCCTTGCTCCCCCAGCCTTCAGAAGAGGTCCGGGGACAGACTGTCCCCGGACCTGGTCTGAAGGCGGTTTCCCTAGGAACGCATTAATTGATTTTCAATGCATTCCTATGGGAAACCGTGCATCGCAAGACGAAAAACTCGCAAGACGAAGAGACTTGCGGAACGAATTAATTTCGTCTTGCGAGGCACCACTGTAATTGACAGTCTTACTGATCTTGGGGTGTTAAAAGCCATACTGAGTCTAGAGAATGAAGAATAACATTAAAGGGCATTATTTCACCTAGTGCAGAAGGTATTCTCCCCTCCCTGAAGAAATCCAGGGCCACATTTTCTCAAAGGGATCCATTTGTTTGCTTTGGGAGCAGGGCAAGAGTCTCTGTTTCTCATCTGTCACTAGGGCTGTCAGAAGGCCTTGCTTCCCATTTTGCCCTGCATTCATTACATACAGCGGTGTTTCCATTCTTCTGCAGTTTGTCTCCCACCAGAAACTCAAGTTGTCTCACTGCCTGTTGCGGCAAAATTATTGTCTTTATGTTATCCCATCTTACTCATTTTTGTACAAAGAAAACACAAGTATCATTTGCAGACTGGAGGCAGCTGTTGGCTGCTGTGGGAAATAGGATCCCCCCAAAAAGCTTGTAGAGATAATGCGGCATTAAGTTAAAATTTGTTTTGCCATATCCATGTCCTTGTAAACTAGCAAATAAAACTAGTGTGGAAAACAAGGGTTGAATAGACACAAGTCTAGAAATCTGAGTAGCTTTGTATATATGTTTGTTTTGGTGCACGATTTTTTGTATGCAATTTTCCATGTAAATATTCATCCAACCCCCCCCCCCAAAAGTATACAGACACAACAGAATGTCAGTAGGGGGAGCTCTCTTACTTTATTTATATGGCTGTATGGTATTCTGTATAAAAATGCAGAACGTGTAGAATACTTACACTCAAGTGTTTTAAGTTTGTAGAAAATTATGTTTGTGCAATTTCTGTGTAAGTGGATGTTTGCTAAAGACATCTTAGTAAATATTGGTGATTGTTTATGTGGTCTTGAATAAACAATAAAAACAGCAATATAGGAAACAGCAATATAGGAAGTCATTTGCTGGGTAAAATTGCTTTAAAAGCTTGTATATTTTAGAAGGGCAATAGATTCTTAAGACTAGTTTTAAAGTTCCCCTGGTAGAGGTGAGATGGAAACTTGGCATCTGTGTGCTTTATTGAGGGGAAAACCATGAACTTTTGTGATAAGGTACCTTGCAATTCTTTCTTCCTGAAAAACTAGCTGTCTGGGCAACTTGTGGATACTTCTCGGCTTCTGAACTGAAAGATCAGCCAAGAAAGCTATGACGTGTGGTTGTGCAACCCTTGTTTGCAATTAAAAAAGCAACTGTCTGATAGCCCCACCCCATGGAACTGGCTTTCGCATTCAGGTGGACAAATATTTGCGCAGTTGCGCCTAACTTACCTGTGCAAGAGTGTGGGTGGAAGTGGCATCTGCATAGCATGCCATGTTTAGGAGATGGTAGTAGATTTATCTTTGATTATTGACATATGGGCCAGTTACACATTTAACTGCACCCTGATAGGGCATTTCCTCCCTGATTTTGGCTACCAATGAGATTGTACATATTGAGTCATCCTTACGTTGACCTTCCGTCCCTCAGATAAGAGGGCAATATAAATAACTACCATTACACAGCACTATTTTGTTGTATAGAGACTCCATTTTTGGAAACCGAAACCATATGCCGTGGGTGAAAACAGGATCCAGTCACTCTAGTCTTATTTGGGAGGGGGAGCAAAGTGAAAGGAGCGTTAATTTGCTCACAATTGTTCAGAATCTATTAGCACTTTCCCATGGTAGAACTGCTGCACCACATTATACAGTGGTACCTCGGGTTACATACGCTTCAGGTTACAGACTCCACTAACCCAGAAATAGTACCTTGGGTTAAGAACTTTGCTTCAGGATGAGAACAGAAATTGTGCTCCGGTGGTGCGGCAGCAGCGGGAGGCCCCATCAGCTAAAGTTGCTATATTCAAAATTTCTGCGCTGTTTCTTCACTCTAACTAAAGACCTGGTCCAGCTCCATAATAATGTTTCATTTTGGACCTGGTGTTACCAGACACTTCCTGGTTTTTACAGGTTCCTCGGAGTGAAATCTGCAGAGAAATAAATGGGTTTTAATGCCATTCCTAGGGCTGTAGTTAAGCACACAAAATAGGAAATGTTTCTTTCAAATCTTTAATGAAAGCAAGGGATGCCAAGATCATGTCATTCATAATCTAGTTTTATTTCTTTACTTGAAACACTTAAAACGTTAAAATCAATTCCTTTTCTCAAGTACATACGGGTTACATACGCTTCAGGTTACATACGCTTCGGGTTACAGACTCCGCTAACCCAGAAATAGTGCTTCAGGTTAAGAACTTTGCTTCAGGATGAGAACAGAAATTGTGCTCCGGTGGCGTGGCGGCAGCAGGAGGCCCCATTAGCTAACGTGGTGCTTCAGGTTAAGTACAGTTTCAGGTTAAGTACGGACCTCCGGAATGAATTAAGTACGAATTACCACTGTAATACAGTCTCCAAGCTACTTGAAAATGACATTTCAGACTCAAACTTTATAGCCCTTTGTAGAAGATAATCCTCTACTAGATAAAATCCTCTTAAATATATATATTTTTATCTGAACACCCCCCCCCAATAGTATGGAGTGTCCCAGCCTCTCTCCTTTCTGTTCCATTTCAGCCTCTAAAACAAATTGGAACAGAGACGTCAGAGCTGTAAGATGCAGTTTATGTAAGAATGATGCTTCTAGTTTTGTGGCTGGCTGCCAGATGGACACAGAGGCCAGCTTTGTGATGTATAAGCTAAAACAAGTTTATAATGCTACCTGCTTTTAAAAATAGCAGTCACTTCAAAGGCAAGAATCTGCTTTTAAACACATTAACAGTTCCCGTAACACAGCCTCCACAATCGTTGGCTGTTCCTGTTCATATACACCTTGACTTGATCCAGGATGTTGACTTATTCTAGTTATCCTTTTGTCCGTCCTGTCTTCCCCCACAAGACATAGAGGACTTTTGGAAGAAGGAAGATCTCACATTCCACTGAGTGTGGAGTCACTGTGCCTCTGCTGCTATCTCAGATGTTTGTATGTTCTAGTGGGGAGAGTATAATCTGAGCAAGCCCCTAGGTATAACTGTCTGGCAACAGCAGAATATCAGGAAAAGCTAGTCTTTTGAGCACTTAGAGGAAGACGATGCAAACCTGCATTTCTAGTGCTGTAAAATGAGCACCTGCCCCTTCTTGCTCTTGAGAAGCAGTTGAATCCTGAGCTGAATTGGGCTGCTTCAGAAAGATTCAGGGCTTTTTTGATGAGAAGCAATTGTCCTCTGAGTTGTCCCGAGGAAGATGCTGTTGCTCCCAAAGCCTTTGGCCTGCTTCACAACTGTCACTGTTTAAAATTGCTGCATTTCACAAATTTAGCATCTAGGCATTGGCGGGGTGGGGGGTAGTTTTGTGACCAATGGGTCTAGCTTTCTGTCAGGAAACACCTTTACTAGGACTCTGCTTTTTACTACTAGTCCCGATTCTTTTGGAAGGGATGTACCATAGGTATCAACTGAGCATAAAATAAAAACTTCAATCTATTTTTAAAACTCTCTGCTGGAATTTTGCAGATGACTTACCTGGGACCCTTGATGTTTCCATCTGCATATAAATTGCCCAAAGACTAATCCAGACAAAGCCTTGGATTTACTGACATGGACTTTGGTTTTGAAGATGAAGTGGGTTGTGTACGAGGTGACTTTCTCAAGCGCCAAAGTGGGATCCATACTGAAACTTGTACAGTATTTGGTACATGGTAGTTGCTAGGATGCCCAAAAGCCGGAGTGAAGGCTATCTTTAGTTTGGAATATAACTCTGGAAATGTTGCTACTTGCGATTGCAGACCTCCTTTGCATTAATTTTTCTGCAGGTCTTCCCAGGTTATGACAATAACATTGAGGGATTATACTGAAAACTACACTGTAGTAGGTTCCATTGAGATGTTTCCACACTTTCGGGTTGCTCTCATCCATCATTTAGCTACACACCTGGTGGGAAATTGGGGATACTACCCCCTGATGTTGGGAAAGATTGAGGGCACAAGGAGAAGGGGATGACAGAGGACAAGATGGTTGGACAGTGTTCTTGAAGCTACCAACATGAGTTTGACCAAACTGTGGGAGTGCCTGGCGTGCTCTGGTCCATGGGGTCATGAAGAGTTGGACATGGTTAAATGACTAAACAACAAGAACACCACCAAAGCCAACATGGTAAGATGGACCAGGAAGTTGTAACTTGCTATATTAAGGAGTGTTCTAATATGGAGGTGTGTACAGGGTGAATCTGTACTAAAGCTAGAAGAAGAAGAAGAAGAAGAGCACAACAACCCTCTGATGGAATGGTAACAATGCCAGCCTGTCACTCCCGGGATTAGAGCAGTTTCCTGGAGTTGCATCGTGCGCTCTGTCTCTGTCTTAGGACCTCTCTCACACAGACTTCTTTGTAATTATCTGCAAGACCTCTAAGACGGGCTTTTCCAGCTCTCTGCACTGTTTCATGTGAGAGGATTCTGGATCAACCTTGCCACATGGATGCACTGGCACAAGCTGATGCCTTCTTATTAGAGTACCTGCTCTCCTTCAGCTGCCCAATTAACCGCTGACGGTTGCTAATTCAAGCGATGGTTTAGCAACTTAGTGGAAGGAAGACTAGGCTCTTCAGAAGGAAGGAGCATGGCAGTGTGCTTCAGTGCCACTCAAGAAGAGGTGTTATGTTGCGTCCTCCAAGTTAATCCATTTTAGTAGCATTCTGCTGTCCTTGGAAGGGGTGTATGAATTTTCCCCACATAGCTGTGACAGACTGCCTCTGCAGTGCAATATGTTTTTGCGTCTGTGTGTATCTATTTAGGTGGCTGCTTGCTGGTTTTCCCAGGACTGCTCCTGAGGGATGATTGGAAAAGAAACGGTGCCTCAGCAGATAATATTGCAATCCAATTACTGCAACCAGCGTTGAAGACACTTGATAATGCTTGGCTGAGCCTGAACAAGCCAATTTACGTTGCAGCGCATTCAGGTTAATTCCATTATAATTGGCTCAAGTGCCTTGGCCACAAGCAATATACTCTGTTGTCTCATCAACACCTCTGTAATAAAATTAAAGCTTCTGGCCCACAGTTAACAAGGAATTGTGTTAAGATTCAACTGCAGTAGGCATTTACAGGCTTGTGAACAAGTGCACTGCGGGGTTGTGCTCCAGAACTTCCCTGCACCTTCTCAACAGACATATACTGGCTCCAAACTCTTTGGAGAAGGAAAGTACAGTTGAATGTTGAGGGTGGAGGTGAACATGAAGTGCCTTCTGTATTGCCTTGAAGGGAGGGTGGTAGTTGCACAAGAAGACCAGCATTTGCAGAGGAATTGTACCTACTGTCAATCCTCCCCAGCTCCTTTATGCTCACTATTTTGGAAAATGTTGGGTTGGGAGTACAGATCTTTAAATAAAGCATCCAGAAATGTGGGGTGGTGGTGCCATTTGTAAGCACCAAAAAGGAAACCAGTTAATGAGCAACATGGTACATCCAATTTCTGTTGGTGCATGTGGAATATTAATGACCACCCAAGTGTTCAATGACCACCGAAAGTGCTATTCTAGATTGAAAGGAACACAAATAACTCATGCTAATTTTTTTGTATTATGTTCCTTAAAAGCTATTAATATTTAGGTATTTTAAAAGTCAGTCCTGTTCGCTCCCTCACTTCTACAAATTGTCCTTTCCCTATAACTTTATTACTCTTGCAATGACTTTTTAGAGGCTTCTGGGGGCTTTAAATGACTATCAGGGATCAGTGTAGTAATCCATCTAAAAAGAAGCTCAAACTTTTCCATGAAGGCACCCAGCGTATGGAATTGTCTCCAGTTTGAAACATGGCAAGCACAAACTTGGATGGGCCTGCAGTGCTTATTAAAGGTGCATCTGTCCACCTAGGGATTTGCAGGTTGATATTGAGCTTGGGAGTTATGTTCTGTGGATTGTGATGTACCTTATATATTAATGTGTTGGTTTACTTGAAAATGTGTTGTGTTGTTGTGAACCGCCCCAATATTGTTGATGAAGGGTGAGATAGAAATACGTTCCATAAAACAACTTTTTAAAAATAACGGACAGTCATATTTTACAAATAAAGCATGGTGATTTTCTTTAAGCTCTTTTGAGTTCTTAAAACCATGTGTCTGCAACACAGCACTAGCAAGATGCCCGCTCAATACTTGAAATGTGGCTCAAGTATAGAGGATCTCTTGCATAATTCTTATGCTTGAACCGTCCTAAGATCTTCAGATGAAGGACAATATACAACTCTCTAACAAATAAATAAAATATAAATAAATAAATAAGCCAGCTTTTTGTGCAAGGGCTTTATTTTGGGGGCGGGGGAAGAGGCCTGTGGTGCAATTGTAGAGCCTTGCATGCAAAAAGTCCCAGATTTAATCCTCAGCAACTTCAGGTGGGACTGACAGAGACACTACCTGAAACTGGGGAGAGCTGCTACCTGTCAGTGTCGACAGTATTGACCTAGATGGAACAATGGTCTGATTTGGTATAAGGCAGCTTCCTATGTTCCCCTCCAAAATAATCACCACCACTTAAGTTTTGGACCAGACCCTGAAAAATGTGTCTTGCTTCCGTATCCTACACAGTCAATTTAGTTCGGCATCGAGTTAGTGCATCTACTGTCCGCTTACAATTCTGTGCCTGTATTCATTACTCATTTTCTCCCCAATTTTCTTAAATGGATCCTTTCTAAGGATGACAGTTAGCATCTTGTTTCTTCCTTTGTAACCTATTATGCTTGCTGTTGCACTTTCCTGAACGATGGGGAGCCACATATCCCGTACCACTTCTGAGTTCAGCAGAGCTTGACAAAGGCTACATTACATGCCAGGACCTTCATCTGAGGTGAAGTCAGTTGACTGACACATCTCTGCAGTTGATAGTGTAGAATGCACAGCAGCAACATGATGAAGCTGGAAGTAAGAAAAGGGATTGTTGCAGTCTGACAAAGAGGTACTTCACTCATAGAAACCTGCTGTGTGCAAGCAACAAACACAGATTCCCCCCCCCCCCCCACTAGGAAATTTGACTAGAGCTGTCTACTATATATACAAAGACACACAGGGCTGGCAAGCTACACACTGGAGAAGAAAAATCTATTCCATTAATCAGGCATAAAGTCCTACACAGATGGCTTATAGGATAGATTATGGCTGGTAATCCTTTTGTGCCCTAGAAGATTAAGAATATCCTGGTGCAGCAGCAGTCAGCTGACGCTTTAAAAAAAAAAGACTGAAAACTCTGGTGTAATCCTGCACAGGACTGAGACTTCCCAGAGCCCATGGCAATTCAGTTTACTGAAAATGCCTTGTTGCATACAGTGGATTTGGGCTTACTGAAAAGTTGTAGCCTTCACCACCAACTGCACAAACTACGGCAGTTAAGGAGTACCCGAGCCATTGCTTTTTAAGTTGGTATCCTAAACCTCGCAATTATATCAAATGCTTATGATTCTCCAGTGGAAACCTGGTACACGGTGTGAGTGCCTAGCATCTTTAAATCGGTGCCTCGGATTTTAACAAGTCAAATGACTTGCGCAAAGAAAAGGAAAGGAGAAGACTGGATGCAGGAGCAACATGAATGGCCCCCATGCATGCTGAGATCTCTGTGATGGACTGGCTGGATATGGATTTATATGAGGATTACAAATCTCCTTTTGATTTTGATACTGGAGTTAATAGAAATTATCTCTATCTATCGCCCAGCATGGCTTTTTCTCCTCCTGGATCTCCTGTGTTGAAGGATTCTGGTAACTGTTTTTATATCTACAGCCTTCTTAAGAGAATCCATACTATAAGAGCAGATCATAGCTCAGTATGCTTTCTGAAAGTTATAGCCTAAGATGTTTGTTGTAATGTGCTCTGTGCTTTTCAGCTGGAATGGAAGTGATCATAACAGGGTTCCAGAAGGGAACAAAACATAGCATGTTAGATTTAATGGATGAAGAAATAGGGATGCACTCAATAATATGGATGCAACTGAAAGCCTGATTTGAATAATAGGTAATTAAATGTTAGTGGAACTTTGCCTCAGAGCTGCCTTAAACACTATCTGGCATAGAGAATGATTTGAGAGAATGGGGAATGTTGTGTTAGCATCCAGTTCCAAAAGAAGCTTTCACATGCATCTGACAACAAGGACTTGCGCAGAAGCTGTAAGTTTTCTGTGTTTCTCTGGTCCAGGGTCACCCAATGAGCTTCATGGCCGGGTGAGAATTTGAACCCTGGTCTCCCAGGTCATAGTCCAACACACTGTAACCATTACGATGCCACACTGGCTCTTGGAGACACGCACAACCAGTTAAATGTTCTTCTGGTTCTTGGTCCAGAGCTCACTTGAACATCTCCTTTGTGCTTGATCTTGGAAAAAATGTGTGTGTTTCCCAAGTGTTCATAGAATACTGATTTAGGTAACTATAGCACAGCCTTCCTTACCCTGATGTTCTTCAGATGATGTTGGAATCCAACTCCCATCAGTTGTCCAAAACATCTGGGAGGGCACTAGTTTGGGGAAGATTTTGGGAGTGGAACCTTTGTGAATTTCAAAGTGATTATATATATTCAACATAACTGCTAGAAACTATTCCAAACAACTTAGAATAAAATTAGCTCTGTCAAATTTGAACATAGTTTGGCATATTTTGACCCTACCACCTTTTATTTATTCTCAAAAAAGAATGAATAACGCTCAGATTTCAGCAAATCTTTTTGCAAAAAATGAAAGGTGTGTGTGTGGAGAAATGAATTTACAAACATGAAAGACTTCCTTAGACATCACAAGCTAGGTTCTGACAGACTAGAATTTCTGGTTTTGTAGAGATGGTTTGATGCCTAAGGCACCAAACTTTTAATACTATTTCATGCTTGTAGGCCATAACTAACTTACTAAGTTATTTGGTAAAGCTAGATACTTGCCACTATAACACTTTTCTTAAAATTGGACCTTGGCATATTTTTAAAACTGATTACAGTATTTAAATAAGATTGCAACTTAGTTAGATAAAACTGAATTTGGAATCTGCACTTAGACACGCTCTGCACAGCAATCTTCCAGCAGAGTGATGGGTTAATGTGTACCCCATGACTACTATACACATCCTATGAAAAGCGGGTTCTTGCTGTGAATATTGGTGCTTTCTACCGTGAGTACATATGATGGAAATGACCTCTGTGCAGTTTCATCTATGGTAATGAGATCTATGTAAGAATATATCTGAAATGCTTCTTGGCCTAGTAGGATCCTAAATGGCATTAGTAGCAAGGCATGTTTAGCTAAGTGGGTAGGATTCCACATAAACTTGTTTACCAATGACTAGTGTCCTTCCAGTACTTCTAGCAATACTCTTGATTGTGGAAGAGAAGCAAATCTAGCTCTTCCCCACTCCATTCTCTGTGAAGGGAAGTGACCGGCCCAGGGTTACCCATTGAGCTTCACGGCTGACTTGGGATTTGAGCCCTAGTTTTCCCAGATCCCAATCTTAACGCTCCAACTGCAACACCGCACTGACTCTCTTCTGCTGATGTGTTCAGCTGTCATTCTGTGCATCCTGAGACAACTTCCCTGCAGCGTGACTGGGAGGCAGCCAGGAGAGTTGTGCGGCACAAGAACCAAAAACCCTTTTGCCCACCATCCTTCTGGGGGATGCAAGATGGCACATTCCTGGATGGATATCCCCAATAAAGTCACAGCACAGCTAAAAATATAACTAGAATACTCTACTTGTATAAAAAATTAAACCAGAATGCACTTACTGCAGAGAACTAGAGGTGTTTGGCAGAATGTTTTAATTCGGTTGCTTGCTGTCTCATGAAAACTTAAAACACTATTTACCATCCTTTGAGGATAGGTTTTGCATAAATGATTTTTATGTTCCTGTAATGCAGAATAATTCTCAATTGGTTAACTGCCTTCTTGATAGTAATCTGAAGAGAGCTTTGCAGGAAATGCTTCCGTTTGCTATTGGAAAAAGAACATTCTCTTTGGTCTGTGGAGCGACAAGATTGTATTGGTGTTATTTACTACATCAGTCTTTAGCACCAACCTCTGATTTTCAGACTGTTCCAGGGAACCATATTGGGGGCAGTTATGTCCTTGAGAAGACTGGTAATGCAAAATAGCTTTTCCACCATTACTGAACTTACTGTGCAGCTGCATAGGAGTGTTGGTTGTGCTCTGGGATGCATTCTGGGCATTGGGAACAGCTTAGGACTTCCGGAGCAGACCAGTGTTGAACGGTATACCCTCTACAGTATTTGAGTTGTTTGGCACACAGATTTGCAAGTTTCAGAGGAATCAGATTCATGTAAACCAGCGTCTTTGGTTGTCATTTCTGCGTTGTCCATATGATCTATAAAACCCTTGCCCAGTTTTTGCCCAAGATGAAGATACCATGAGGGCATAAATATGATGTGAAAGGGAAGGTGTGAAATGGGGAAATCTTGGATCACACAGAAGTAGTAAGGATAGAAGGTTTTAAGAGGTTAGATGAGGCCAAGGCACTGAAATCTGAGTAGCAGTTAATTCTGATCTTAAAATAACAAAACCCTGATAAAGCAGCTCAGTGTTGTAAATGTAGTTTTTGCTTCTGCCTCTATTGAACTCTGTATTCACTGTCAAATATCGTCTGTTGTCATGCATCCATTCATTGAAACGCTCCTTACAGCAAGATAAATCAGACAGTCCTCTTATCAGGGACATGGGAAACCTGTGACCCTTCAGCACAGCCAAAAGGTTGGGGATGATGCAGTCCAATGTGTGAGGAGCCACAAGTTCACCATCCCGGCACCATTGCAGTGGTGGGAAACCCCATTCTTGCTTTTCACACACCCCACCAGCCTTGATGACGAATGTTTGACAACAAAGCAATCTTAAAGTAGTGATTCTTTTTCTTTTTAAAGGTCTGCTGAAAAATGAAGTAATTCCTGAAGTTGGAGAAGATGCTGCTGCTTCAGTTAATGTTGCAGAGGCTTTGTCAGAAGAAGAACAGGAAGAACTTAGAAGAGAGCTTGCTAAGGTAAACCTGTTATGTGTGGCCCTCAAAAATGATCTGATTCACATGTGTGAGCCACAGCTGCATTTAATATGGAGTTATGAGGCTGTCTTTCTGATAGTGCTGTTGGAAAGTAATTTGTTTTTATAATGGACACAGTGAATGGCCTAAGGCTGCGTGGTGCTGTTCTGTAGTTAATTGTGTCTTGGTCTCAGTGGAAGGTCCATGTAAAGCAGCTCTGTGTTTGCTGGAAGAACAGTACAATATGTACAACCTTGATTTATGGCTTAAGCTACCTCTGTATGCATGAAAGGTTCAGCTGATTTGTTTGCTTCATATATTTGGGGGTTTTAACAATTGCAAATTCATTAAAGGGAAAACAAACCAAACCAAACAGAAATACATTTAAATATCAATGCATCCATTTTAATTTACACATATTTATCAGTATATTATTTTGCAAGCAAAAGTAGTTCCTGGTTACCTGTTGCCACACTTGCTTCGATCAGCTCTGTCTCCTTACAGAATTAAAAAAAAGAGCTGAAGCAGAAGTTGGCATTTGGAATTGCAAATGCAGAAGGCTTTGGTTTAGAGTAAGAACACTTGAAAGACATCGCAGATGTAGCACTCACTTTGCTTTGATTGTGCCTTCAAAGCTTTTCATGTTTCTTGCTCTTAGTTCTGTGACATTGGGACCTGAAACAAAACATTGTACTGTGCAGCGATGCTGTTCAGGAACTCAACCATTCTTTTCCATTACCCCGCCCCAAACCAACATGGCCACTGAGCATTCTGTCAACACCAAACTTTTGGGGGGTTCACCGTCGCTTAGGGGTTGTTGGTTTTTTGGGGGTTTTTTTTGCCTGAGGGCTTTCTGTAGTTCTGTTAAAAAACCCCAACAAAAAACCAACAACCCTGATTATCTTGCAGCCTGAACATTGGGAACAGAGGGAATTATATTGCCTTCAGTCCATTACAAGTTTTAGATTTTTCTGTTTTGGTTTATGCTGTTTTTAATGTGAATGTTATTTTGATTGTAAGTTGCTTTGAGTTGCTTTTGTGGAAAAAAAGCAACCAATAACCAAAAGCAACCAATAAGTTCATTAATAAGTAGATGTGAAAATTACCCATGCAATTGAATTGGGGCACTATTAGTTGATTACTGAATCAGAATCTGTTAGTGTTTTGTCTCAAACTGAAACCTATAATTAACATATATTTAAACCCTTAAAGGATGCAAGTGTAATTTGTTCCAAACAAGGAAATGTGAAAACATCTGCTCTAAAATAATTCCTCAGTAGCTTATGCTTCCCTAGTTGATTTTCTTCATGGGCTCTATCTCGTAGGTGGAAGAAGAAATCCAGACTTTGTCACAGGTACTAGCTGCTAAAGAGAAGCATCTAGCAGAAATAAAGAGAAAACTGGGGATCAGTTCACTGCAGGAGCTGAGGCAGAACCTTTCCAAAGGGTGGCAAGATGTCACAGCAACAAATGCGTATGTTTCTTCACTTAAATTATTTTGCCTGAATGCAAGGGATGGCCTTGAGTTTCCTCGTCAGCTGAATTTGGTGGGCTTTCTCAGAGGAAGCCTTTGTTTCAGGATCTAGTGATGACAGGTTATATGTTTGTAGCGAGGGTTTCAGCAGGACCATTCAGAGGAGACCATTCTTCCTAAAATGTTAGTTTTCTGTATGCCTGAATTCTCTTCGGTGATGGGAGAACATTCAGACACTTGGCATGAAGCCTGAGCTAGGAAAACTTTGTGAAGTGGTCCTTAATGTCTAGGCAAGGTTTAGTCAAAGCAGAAGCGAGCTTCTTTCTAGGGTTGGTTAAAATTGTCATACCATTAAGCATCTGGCTCTTCCAACGTTGTTTAACGACAACTCTCATCAATCCCTGGCAGCATGACCATTGGTCAGGGTTAAGCTGTAGTTCGACACACATATATTGGAGGCAGTGTTTTTTTTTGTTGTTGTCTGTGAGATGTGAGAAGGCCGTTGCAATTGGTTTTTTTTGTTGTCTGTGGGTGTGAGAAGGCCGTTGCAATTGTTTTTGAACATTGATGTTTTCATTGTGAAAACACTTCAAATGTATTTTATGGGAAGCAATTGATAAATGGAATCAAATACATACAGTGATGCCTCGCAAGACGAAAAACTCGCTAGACGAAAGGGTTTTGCGGTTTTTGAGCTGCTTCGCAAGACAGATTTCCCTATGGGCTTGCTTCGCAAGACGAAAACGTCTTGCAAGTTTGTTTCCTTTGCTTGAAGAGGTGCAGTTGCGACTTGACTTCGAGGAGCAACTCATAGCACGCGGTGTGGTAGCCTTTTTTGAGGTTTTTGAAGACTTTGGCGATTTTTGAAGCTTTTCCAAAACTTCTTTTGCAGCCATTTGGTAAGTTAAACTTTTAAAACTTTTTGGGGGGGTTTTGGATTTTGGGTTGGGGTGTTTGGAATTCAAGGACTTGGTGTTGGGGAGGGGTTTGCAAGAATCTGGGAGCTGGTGTGGGTTTTTATGAATTTTTATGATTTTCTGTGACCATTGGGCCACTCTGTTGTTTTTAAAAAAATTTCTGGATTTGAATTTCTGTGTGGTGGGTGGCTGGGGGAACAGTTGAGGAGGGGTTTGCAAGAATCTGGGAGCTTGTGTGGTTTTTTTCTGCATTTTTATGATTTTCTATGACCATTGGGCCACTCTGCTGTTTTTTAAAAAAATTTCTGGATTTGAATTTCTGTGTGGTGGGTGGCTGGGGGAACAGTTGAGGAGGGGTTTGCAAGAATCTGGAAGCTTGTGTGGTTTTTTTCTGAATTTTTATGATTTTTATTGTTCCTTCAATTTTTGAATTTATTGTTCCTTCAATTTTTGAAATGCTCTTTACAGTATGTGTGACTTTAAAGAGCACTTAATAAACTCTTGTTGTACCAAATTTGGCTTTGTTTGGACTTTTTTTGACCATAGGAATGCATTAATTGAATTTCAATGCATTCCTATGGGATTTCGTGCTTCGCAAGACGAAAAATTCGCTAGATGAAAAAACTCGCGGAACAAATTAATTTTGTCTTGCGAGGCACCACTGTACTTTCTTCATTTCTACAGCACAAACACACACACATCTCAACATTACATCAATTTATCATTCTCATTGTCCACTGTGGGAGCAGAATGCTGGGCTAGACACAGTCGGTCTAGCAGGGATGCACTTAAGTAACATCTGCAGGACCACAGCTTCCTGTCCCTGCTCTTAAGCACGTGTGCTGAACGTGTGGCCAGATGGTTTATTCTTTCTGGTCAGCTAGTTGCTGAAAACGCCTAATGCAACTGTGTGTAAAAGACTCAATATGGCGTTTTGGCGTTTGGCAAAAACGTTTTGGCATCTAAGACAAAAGAACCTGGATGTCTTGCAATTTTCGAGAACTTTTTCTGGTTAAGTTTGATAGGAAGATGAGGCAACTCTCCCAACTGTTTTCTTATCACACAAATTGTATCGTGGAGCAAATATTTTGCCATGTATGTTGCGAAAGAGATGTGTTATTGGCAAACCTTTTCCATTTTAAACCAAATCAGTTATATATCACGTGCTCTCCTATAGATGCCTTGTTGTGACTTGTTATGCCACTTTTACAAAAAAAAGAGAGTTCTAAACCCAGTTTCTCTCATTTTGATAGAGGAAAGGGATGCAGGATACAAAATCTAACTTTTCAGACAAATTTGATGTACCAAAGCTAGTGTTTACTGGAAATGCTAAGGGTTGAAGAAGAGCTGCCTTACTAGCAATGCATGACTTCTTAATTTCAAGTGCACTAGGAGCAAAGTAATACGCATGCCTGTTCCAACACTTGTGGTGCAGGTATTTGAGAATTGTGATAATAGGTTGACTCTTTTTTTAATTTAGGTATAAGAAGACATCAGAAACACTGTCTCAAGCTGGGCAGAAAGCTTCTGCTGCATTCTCAACAGTTGGCTCTGCAATAACGAAGAAGTTGGAAGATGTGAAGTATGACTTTAATTTTCCCCTCGCCTGTAGTAGTATCTGTTTACACTGCATAGGGTTTCAGCAGTGCCAAACACAAAATTGCAAACCCTTCCAGGAGTGCAGAGTTTGTGGATTGCAGCTGGGAACTGACAGCTTGATTCTATAACTAAGCTATTTATTTTGACATGAACAAGCAGGGAACTACCACCTCTGGCCTTGTGCTAATGGCATTCTATTTTTTTAATGGGTGGGTGGGGACTGTGCCACTTACATGTGAAATGGTCCCCAGTCCATTGAATGGACTAATATTGATCCACTTTGAGACTTGCATCTTCCCAATGTGCCTTGATTAGGTTCCTCCTATTCAGTGCACTTCCCAAGATATTTAGGTGCATGAGACTGCAAATTGTGTTTCCTTCCCGAGTGTTAACAAAGCTATCGCAACATTGTGCTTCTCTCTAACGAAACCCCAAAATTTGCCATCTGAAGCAAGCCGCCTCAACCTACCTAATAGTTGGGCCGGTACTGCTCTGAATTGATAAGACTAATCTTGGAGAGCTCCTGCATCTAGATGTTCCTTTCTTGATGTAATCATGTTGGAGGGTAGGCAGTAGGGAATAAAACCTCAGTTGGAATGGGGTTAAACTAGTTGCATCAAGCTACTGAAAGCAAGCATGTGAGAGCTGCATGAATCCCAGGCATATAGAAATAAATCAAGAACGTTCTGAGTACCTGCATTTTTGTGAAAACTAACTCCCATCCTAGAACTGTGGCTTACAAAACTTCTGATCTTTTATTCTGTTTATATGTTTTGTACTGTTGGTGAGGTTTTCTGGGGGTGAGGGATGGAACGTGCTTGTGTTGGGTTGTAACATCTCTAGGTATCCTTAGCAGAGCATGTGTGAACTGTAGGTTTGGATTCTATATCCTGGAAGCTTTATTTATTTTATTTTTTAAAGATTTAAAATATTTGCATTGTTTCTGAGGTTGAAGGGCCCAATTGCTTTTCTTCATTAAAGCAATGGTTGTGGGAACTTGTGACGAAACCAAATGGTATAACAGCAGCCGCACAGTGACCTGGTTTGCATGTCAAGTTAAGCCAAACTTTGACTGAACATGAATGTATGAAGGTGTGGACCCTTGAAGAGCTTGCAGTCACATTGCTCCTCCTTGGCCCTTTTATAGCTGCTGCACTGCACTAAGGTTTGGCTTTAGCATGTCACCCGGACCTGGACACGTCATTCAACAAGCTGTAACCAGCTTGCATTTGGCTACACCCCATGGCTAATATGCAGGGAGCTTAGCATGGTGTCCCAATCTGGGCTTGTGTTTAAGCTTGGCTTAGTTCTGTGCAGCTCAACATGGCAGCAAAAAAGGACTGGGGAGGGGCAAAGTGGCTGCAATTTCCTCTTTGGGAGCCTGCACTAAGCCAAGTTTGGGTTCTTTGTTACACTCTGGGCAGCTTTTCGTGTAGACGACACAAAAATGTGCATCTTTCTTATTTCAGTTTGTGGGTGCTTGCACTCAGATTTCTTCACTCAGAAGTAAAATCACTTGCATTTAATTGCACAATATTTCCTTGGAACTGCTGAATCTCAGAGCTAGATTTCATTGCTGAAAACGAACCCTTCACTTCTGTTGCTGCCGTTTTCTTCTGGAGTGTAGTCAGTTAACATATAAGTGCACTACCTCAAGCTCACTACTTTTACTGTGAAAATCCCTGTGTGTTTATACTGGAACTTTCTCTTTATTTTTAAATGTTTGCTTGGTGTCCTACAGAGTGCACGCATTTACACATTCCTTTAGGTAAGATTGTGAAAAGTTGCTGTAGAGCATGCAAGTAGTCTTTTCGTTGTCTAGTGAATAGCTCCTGACTGACCATAATACTGGGTAACTTGAAGTAGTTTTCCTTCCCCACCAGAAAAACTTTTTTTTAAAAAAGTGTTTAATAGATTATTAGAAATACTAGGCTATTTCCAATGAAGTTATCCACAGAGAAGACCTATTTGTGGAAGAGACGTGGGAGGTAGCATATGGCAACTCTGAAGAGCACTTCAATGTTGTTAGCCATATATAATATGTGAAATTCAGGGGAGGGGGGGATAGCCCTGTGAAGTTGATTGCAATAGCAATGCAATTAAATAAGGAATGGAAGAGGTGAAGGGAGCCAGGGAAAAAGAGCAGAGGGTTTCTGTGGTGAGTGGAAGGATGCTGTCTGGATACCACATCTATCCATCCATGGACAGGTGCCTTACCTGTTGATAGCCAAACAGAGGGATAGACCTTGAATACAGGTTTCTCAGCAGTCAGGTCTACCCCAGGTTTTGCCACCTCTCAGTCACAAGATGTACCAAAAATGTTAGACCTGTTGTTTGATAGTTACATATGTTGGTTTGAATTTTTTTACTATGAGTAATTTCTGCAAGTTCCTATGAACCAAGCTTCCCCTGGATTGAGCACTTAAAACATATTGAATAGCCTGTTTCAAGGGAATGTTACCAGTGATCAAATAACAACAGATTGACTTTGTAGTTAGTGTTAAGGAAGAGAGTCTTAGCGAGAACAGTTTCGTTGCCCCCTAACACAATGCGCACTGATGGGTGGGATTCAACCAGTGAGTCCCCTTAGTGGAAGCCCTGCGCAAGGCCTTCCACTTGTGCAGTGAAGCTTCTCTCCTCTCCTCCCAAATGACTTTTTTTGGGGGGGGGGTATTGGGAGAATCACCGAAACAGCACACAGGGGGATTGTTCTGTCTGGCAAGCTGGAAATGTTTGCCACGATGGAACGATTTTCTTAGCATGGCATTGAATTTCTCCCTTTCAGATAATACTCTTCTACTTTATTGGAGCAGAATTTCAGCACAGAAATGAGCGATAGCTTTTCTTATTTATCTAAAACTCAGATATTTTTCCTGCCCCCTCTCTAGTTCCTTCTATTATATGACTGAATGTTCCAGACCTGCTGGGGAAAGTAGAAGGGGATAGTGCTGTGCACATAACACCTTCTTCCAGTGGAACACCTGAAGAGGGAGATTTCTGTTGCCTCCACAGTGAGATACCTGGGCACCAAACAAGAACAGAGGCAAGATAATCCTCCTTTGGATGGCGGCACTGGAAGAATGAACAGCAAACGATGTTTCTGCTGAACTTCCCTGTGCAGGATCACAATAGCCAAAAAACATTTTACCTTTTAATTCTTAGCAATTTTGACTATTGCTCACTTGCAACACTGGGCACTATATTCCTTTAGAAACATTGGAAGTTTCTTTATACTGAATCATACCAGTTGGTCCATCAAGTTCAGTGTTGTCTACACTGACCGGCAGTGGATTTCAGACAGGGTTTCTCACAGCCTTACTTTGGAGGTGCCAAGGATTGATGCTGGCACATTCTGCATGCAAAGGAAATGTTCTGCCACTGAGCTATGGCCCTTTGGGGTGTGCTGTAGCTACAGTAAGCATTTCATGGAGGATAGCTTGTCTTTAATGCCTAAGCAAGTGGAAAGTGTGCTGTATTCTTTCCAGTTCTGTTGTCAATGATTGTGCAGCACTTTTGAGAGAAATTGGATCTGTGGCAATATAGGTCAAGGGGTTGCAGGGATAGCAGCAGAACTGGGGCTGCTACCTGACAACCTTGAGGCTGCTTCATCGCCAAAGAGCAGAACAGCTGGAAAATCAGGAAGAGGAAAACAGACAAGAGCTTATGTGTGAGAGAAAGTGGTAACGAAGATGATAGGGCAAGAAAGTGAATAAATGTTAAAAGGTGAAAATGAGAGGTTAAGTCAGGCATAGGCAAACTCGGCCCCCCAGATGTTTTGGGACTACAACTCCCATCATCCCTAGCTAACAGGACCCCTGGGGTCAGGGATGATGGGAGTTGTAGTCCCAAAATATCTGGAGGGCTGAGTTTGCCTATGCCTGGGTTAAGCACTGATGCTCCTGGGGGAATGATGTGGTGAGTTAGAGGTGCATGTTCACACATGCACCTTGACTCACTTTGGGGGTATATGTGGTGGCATGAATGCCAACTTCCTATTATGTAGATGGTGGTGTTTTGGTTGTCTATGCCTAGCATTCAGATGAGCTGTTAGCGGTCTTCACAAGGCTAAAAAAATTCAGATGTTAAAATATGATCCAGTGACTTAAACTCCAAGCTAGAAGACAACCTACAGTGTGAACCATGGTTTGTACCCGCTAAATCATATTCTTTGAGCAGACCCATTGAAATCAGTTCAGAAGTTAATCATGACTTAGTTGGACTCAACCCTATGTAGCTAGTATCGGTTGTGTAGTTGGCAGACTAATTGGTGTTGCCCAAACTCTATATAGAAATCGTTTATATAGGAACATAATTGAAACATTCGGACCAGTTTAAGTGAGAACCATTTTTGCTTTTTCTCAAGATAGAAAGCGTTTCTGTAGAACAACCTGTCCCTTGTTATGAACTGATAGCTTTCAATAGCTTTGTTTTAGCTTCCTTATCATCTGGAACATGTCATAAAACTGACTTGTTTAACAATTGCATCACTAAATCCGGATAGGCTTGGCAGCATCTAATGGCCTATAAAGTAACAGCTCACCATAACAGTGTAGTGACTGCCTCAAGGCATTATCTACTCCTGTGTTGCTGAAGGAACAAGCATTATTAGTATATTGAAAGCTATTGTGATCCACTGTATAGTTATTGATAGTCCAGATCCGATTCTTCCTTGCACTTTTCCAGGCTGGGTGAACAGATAAAACAATAGGTGCCTGGTGTATCCTGTAGGATGGTTGTGAGGATGAACATAAAGTGCTAATATAAAAAGAGGCATGGTTTTTGGCAGAAGCTGATTGGCCCCATCCTGAAAACACATTGAATCATGTTTATATCCCTAGGTTAAGGTTTTAAAATTCTGGGTGTACTTACTCCTGAAGTTTACACTCATCTGATTAATCTGTAAAGTTTGGCATTCTTGACTAAATCTGATCAGTTACTTTAAGAACCACCCTGTGGAGTTTGTTTACTAACCTAGCATGATGTGCTTATATGTTGCTACTGCTTGCCTCTTAGTGGTGCATGGTGACAGATTTGCATGCCTGTTTTGAGTGTGTTGGATAAATATTCTCATAATATGTTGCTACACGAAATGGCAGGGACATGGTGCACCTCTCCTCATAATCTGACTGATTCTCCTTTCTTTTAACGCTGCCGTGTAGTATACGTTGTCTACAACATTCAATTAGCATGCCTGCTATGAGGTAATGTATGTAACTGCATTAAGTTTTAGTTCCTATTCTAATGTAAGGAGGGACAAATAATCTTGATTGCTGCAAATGCATATTTAAAACAGGTAAAGGTGTATTTGACTTGCCCCATATAGAGTGCTTGGGTAATGCCATTTTGTATTGAAGCAGGAACATACCCTGCGTTGTCACCACTGATCCAGTGGACTTCTGTTAGAGTAGGGAAGGTGGGGGAAGGAGAGGTATATATGTGTGTGGGGGTGTGTGGGTGTGTATTAAAAGTTTCATTTAACATATGTGCTTCTGCATAACTGCAAATACTAGTGGGGAACAGGGAGTGGAGAAACAAACACAAATATAACAAAGGAATAATTGGAGCTTTAAAGTGTGCTGCCTATGGCTCCTTGGCAAATGGGGTTTTCATTTGGTGTATTATATATTTGGTGCCAAATGCAAGGTGGGATAGGTTACACTCCAAGAGTTCAGCTGATTGGTGCTGGCTGAAGCTCTTACTAAGATCAGCTGCACAGAACTTTCTTTGCAGCCCAGTTTGAGGTTAAGCTGGTCTGTGAAGAGTAATGTTTAATCTCACAACAGAAGATTGAGGTGGGTGGCCTAACTTGTCTGGCAAGTGCCCCCGGGGGAGTGTGTGTGTCAGAATCTGGCCCACTGGCCAGATCTAGTTCTCTCTCCCCTGGCATATAGGATTGGACTGGAAAATAATTAAATATAAAAAGGAAATTGTATAATTGGAATCTTGCAGGCTGCTGACTGGCACCATAGCTGCATCTTAAAAGTACTGTTCTGATCTTCAAGTTTTTCTTTAAGTGGTTTGCCATTGCATATACATTTTTTAAGGCCAAACAAGAAATGTAACTCTTGTTTTCTTTCCTGAATAGAAATTCCCCAACATTCAAGTCCTTTGAAGAAAAAGTGGAAAACTTAAAGGTAAATCTAACAACAAACTTCATTCTTAAAATAAAATTTTAAAATTAGCTGAGATTTCTAAGAATCCTTGATCTGTAGGTATTCTGCTTCCTTGGAATAGTGGAGAACATTTAACTACTATGGTGTCTACTAGCAGTACCACATTGTTGGGAACTAAATGAAGTTTAATTTCTGCATTGTTGGAAGAGAAAACACAGGACAGGTTATTGGTTCTTAAGGGGACCAGAATGAAGTGTGCTCAGTAAAAACAGCCTGAGAAATGCATTAGCAGGACAGTGTTAGTTTCCCCCTTTCTCTCCCCATATACCAATTTGAAGCACAGTTGAAACTCTCAGGAAGTCAAACTTGCATTGAATTAGGACATTAGCTTATACAATGCCTTGTGTGCACCTACACCCTGAGGATATGCTTAAGGTAGGCTACTAAAATTATAACTGATTTAGATAAATTTTGTACACCCATAATATCATCATTATTATGTGCCTTTTAAAATAACTCATGACAGTATAGAAAATAAATGTTGCTGGACAGTGTTTTAGCTACTGACCTTAACTGATTTTTTTTAGTATGTCCAGGTGTGGCATTTCTGCAACCAGAATTATGCAAATTGGCATAACCATCTTTCTACTTTATCTATAGGGCACAGAGATGGTTGTTTTAACATGTTGCTTGCACGTCAAATTGGGGATTACATCATTTATCTACCTCTGGTATTTTACTACAAAGTTTCCTCTACTATTGCTGGGGCTAAACTTAAATCTGTATGCTAAGATGCTCACGTGTACACACTTTATTCAGTTGTATCAACCTGTTTTCCAAAAGCTCAGAACTTAAACTGTTCCCAGTAGAAATACATAATGGATTTTAAATTGCACCATTAATTACTGCATGAAGAATAAAACTATTCTGTATTCAGGTTTCTGCTTTGGACATTGGGAGAAGGAAGTTTCATAATTGTGAGACAACTATGGAAAGCACCTGTGTTCCCTTGCTGTCTAAACTTGGATTGGACAGAGAGAAATAATATTTGGGTATATAGCCATAGGCTGTTAACCATAATTGCAGTTTAACTTCTAAAGAGTGTAATCTGAAGTCTCTAAATCTCTCTTCAGTATAAGGTTGGGGGAACCAAGCCTGCTGGGGGTGACTTTGGAGAGGTCTTGAACTCTGCTGCCAATGCCAGTGCCACAGAAGCTACTACAAAGCAGACAGAAGAGGAGACTCAATGATTGTCCTGCCTTCCTTGTGCTACCCACTGCCAGATGCTGCAAGCAAATGCTGAAGCACAACACCTCTGCTGTAGACTGTTCCAGGATGTCCTTCTGTTTAGCACTTAGCTTTATAGCTGTTCAATGTAAATCGTTTCTATAGGTTCAGAGTATTTTTGAAACCGTAAAATACACTCTTGCCTATGTTATCTGTGGGATGGGGAATTTTTATGCATTTTGAGTATTTAAAAAAAATTATTTCTGGTCCAAAGAAATCATTAAGGTTTTACAAAAGGTTTAGAAATGGGAGACTCATCACTGTATATGATGGATGCTGGGACGAATAGCAGTTGCTTCATGCCATGTCTCTTCATACTTAATTCACTGCCAAAACCTTTGAAAACTTCATTGTTGTTTTAAGTGTGTACCTTTAATTGGTTCTGTTGCAAGAGGTTCCACAGGCAGAATAAGTTTGCTTTGATATTGCAATGTTAAGTTATCAGTGTATGTGTTGTGGTCTTGGTTAGTGGACACTGAAAGTAGGGTGATTCCAACAAACATTCACTATTTTTATGGTTTCCCTAAAAAAATTAAAATCCTGATAGTAAACTTCTCTGAACAGTTCCAATTAGCAGAGATGATGTTTTCTCCTGGGTATTAGAAGTTGACTTCCAAAATGTAAAATGAGTCAGGCTGTTAGCATAAATTATATAGGCTGAAAGCCTACTGCAAAGGGAGTGGTTTAGAGGCACCATACTTACAAAAATAAAATGGTTGCTCCCTTCCACTTGCTAGTTGATGAAAAGGAACATTCAACTAAAAGTCCATGTTATTTCTGCTGCTTATAACACTCCCCCCTCTCAATAAATCAATAAAGTGTATGGTACCAACAGTGCAGAGTCGGCTATGCATTTCCATTTGGGGGAAATGCACATTGGAATGTAGGCAATATAGACCCAAGCTCTGAATTGGCTGCAGTGGAAGATTGGAATAAGATAAAGTGGGCAATCTCACAGCCTGGAAATACAAAAATGACCACGGTCAACTCCTTCTATGCTTAAAAATGTTCTCTTAACTAAAACCTGTTGCTGATCTTGTAAAAAGTCTTGGCTTCCTAGAAGCTAAATGCACTCCCACCTTGTATGTATACTACGTGCCTGCATTAGACAAATTTCTGGCACACTGTAAGGTTATATTTAGGAGAAGTGTTTTGCCACATTAATCACAAAGCTTGAAATGAACTAGAACACATTCTTAAAAGGTGCATTGCAACCTAGGCTTCATCTTTGTAGCTGCACCAGAGCTGCCACAAATAATGCCTATTAAGCAATTTTGCTGTATTTGACAGCGTTCTGTAGCATTTCAGATTTAGCCTCAATACTTGATTACTTGTTAAAATAAAAGCATTGTCTTCTCAAATGTAAAATGCTACTTTGAGTTGGCTTGTGTCTTTTAAACAAGGTTATCCTTTTCAAATGAAGGTCTCAATTAGAGCTTCTAAATATGCATTTGAGAGACCACTTCCTTTCTAGATGGGGTTGGAGGAGGAGCGAGCATTTTGCTCACTGATTCAACCTGGGCACCCAGATATTGTGATGGGATGCTGTTTTTAGATCATATTCTCAAAAGTCACGTCTGGACATCAGTTTCCGTTTGGATCCATTTTCAGTTTCAAAGAATGGTCATATACCAAGTAAGTACTGGAATTCCAGGATTTGATTTGGAGAAAAAAGTCCAGAGAATTGGGTGTCAAGCTTTGGGTCTTGATTGTTATTGAGTGTTGTTATACTTACCTGTCCCCCACCCACAAGGCTTACTCTGTCTCCAAAAATATTTAGGTCTTACACACTGTTTTAAATATAAGGAACTTAATCATATGCGGGTGGCGCTGTGGTCTAAACCACAGAGCCTAGGGCTTGTCAATCAGAAGGTCGGCGGTTCGAATCCCCGTGATGGGGTGAGCTCCCGTTATTTGGTCCCAGCTCCTGCCAACCTAGCAGTTTGAAAGCATGTGTAAGTGCAAGTAGATAAATAGGTACCGCTCTGGTGGGAAGGTAAGCAGCGTTCCTGTGAACTGCTCTGGTTCGCCAGAAGTGGCTTAGTCATGCTAGCCACATGACCTGGAAGCTGTCTGCGGACAAACACCGGCTCCCTCGGTCTATAGAGCGAGATGAGCACGCAACCCCAGAGTCGTCGGTGACTAGACCTATCGGTCAGGGGTACCTTTACCTTTTAATCATACCTAAAATAGGCTAGTCTCACAGTAGCCACAAGGTGGAAGCACTTGAACAAACTATTTTAAATAAAGCTATTGAGATAAACCATTATATTTACAACAGCAAGAGGGCGTTTTGTTTTCTAAACTTTTGAAAAAGTAATGTCAGGCAGGTTTATGTCTTGTGCTGAAACCAACCAAGCATCTACTTCTGTTACTTTAATATCCCAATTTTTCCGTAACGGAAGGGTCACAAGTACAGTACATAACTATAGTCCTCTGCAGTCTTGCTCTGCTAGTGCCATAGGGTTAGACGCCTGTGCACAAATTCTTGGGAATCAACAATTTCTGTTTTCCCCATTTTTGCATTGAAGTTAGTCCTGTTTAATAAAACAGTATCAGTGCAATGGAAAATAGCAAACATGATACAATTCAAGGTGGTATGATTCTTAAAACTTACACTATGATAACATTCAGTATAGTGCACCAACCTATATCATCTGCTTATATAAAGTATTTGAGACTGTTCTTCAAAAGTTGACTTAGAACTTACCTAGATTTCAAATTCATGTGGTAAACCCTTGTACAGTGGCACCTCGGGTTACAGACACTTCAGGTTACAGATTCTGCTAACCCAGAAATAGTACTTTGGGTTAAGAACTTTGCTTCAGGATGAGAACAGGTTCTCCAATATTGTGCTGCATTTTGGAGACTAAAATAGAGTAGCGGGAGGCCCCATTAGCTAAAGTTGTACCTCAGGTTAAGAACGGTTTCAGGTTAAGAACGGACCTCCGGAACGAATTAAGTTCTTAACCCGAGGTACCACCGTAATTCATTGTTGTTGGACTACAGCTCCCATTATCCCAGGCCGTTGTCCATGTTGGGTAGGGTTGATGTGAGGTGTAGTCCACATGCAGGACCGTAGGTTAACCACCCTTGCATTATAGTAACTAACAGATCCATACTTGGGGCCATTTGTGATAGTTACCCACCCTTCCCCACCTTCCACTTCCTCTGGCACATGCACCCCTCTGACCTTAAGAGTGGTGATGTCTCTCAAGTAACACTGGGTTTTGGAGCACAAGGGTATATGCACAACAAATCTAGCTGTTTTAGTCTTCTCCAAAATGCAGCACAATATTGGAAAATTTGTTTTGGTTCAGGGGCCATTACCAGAGGCCTGGGGTATATGCTCATGGCAACCTGATCTATAGAGGCTGGTCAAAAGCTATATATACAAAACTGAGCATACCATGGGGCAGAGTTAGGCTGGGTTAGGCCAATGGCCCATTAGTCCAGCAATTCTTTCTTGCAATGGCCAGCCAGATGCCTATGGGAAGCTTCCAAACAGGACCTGCGTGCAACAGCACTCTCCCCACTTGCTGTTCCCAGCAATTGTTCTCCACCAATCTAGCAGCAACAAAACAAAGTAACTCGGGTGAAGGAGCTATAACCACTGCCAGTAGGGGAATTGGACGAGTAGGAGTGGCAGTGGTGGTGAAATCTCTTGTGCTAGCCCTGATCTCAGCCTCATGTACCTCATAAGCTTGTCAGGAGGATAAAGGGGGCCAGAATCGGGGATGGTACCTTAAGCTTCTTGAAAAGGTGAATATACATACTAGTAAGTGGCTTCATTGGGGCTAAAGTTTGTAGACTAGAGTCGTACCTTGATTCTCGAACGCCTTGATATTCATCCGTTTTGGCTCCTGAACATCGCAAACTGGGAAGTAAGTGTTCTGGTTTGCGAATGTTCTTTGGAAGCCAAATGTCTGACACGTCTTCTGATTGAGTGCAGGTAGCTCCTGCAGCCAATTGGAAGCTGCGCCTTGGTTTTCGAACGTTTTCATAAGTCAAACGTTTGAGAACCAAGGTAAGACTGTATTGGTATAATTTTACTGCTCTTTTAAGTAGCATTGGAATGATTTTACGTTGTGGGATATAGGACATAATAAAATAATAAAGACAGTAGCTCTGCATATTCTCCCTTTTCTCCATACCCTGTCATAGGTGAGATCTGCAACAAAATGTTGCAGTGTCGGGATGCTCCTGTGTGGGGCTTTAGGCCCTGTTCCAGAATTCTCCAAATCATACTTTGCCCTCTTCCTTCCACCCTTGGTCAGCATCTAGTGACCTATTCTGGGGTTCACCCCCCCCCGTGTCCTCGTCCCCACCCCAGGTTTTTTTGGGGGGCATTTCTGCTCTTGTGTTCCAGAGCTTGCTCCTTCCTCCCTCGTGTGTTTCTATATAAGGATCTACATTCTACAATGTCTAAATGGCCTATTAAGAAACTGGTAGCTACAGCTCCTATAAGTAAATAAGCAAGCTTGCTGTCTGGCTTCAGCGCATGCGCGGTTCTCTCAACAGGCTGTCGGCGTTCACAAAGCCAAGACACTTAAGCCCCTTTCCGCATCGCGAGCGCGGTCGGCCACGTGACGAGATGATGCCTGGCGTGATTTCTCCTAATAAGGGAAGGGGCGGGCGTCAACGGCCGTCGCTGACGCGCGGGTTGGTTGCTACGGTACTTCATTCGGGCGGAACTGCAGTGAAAAGGGTTGTGCCTCCCTAGGCCACTTCCGGCGCGAGGCCCAGATACGTTTAAACCTTTCTGCCTCGGGGCGGGTTTTGAGAAGGAACCGTTTCCGGCGCAGGAGGAGCTTGGCTGACTGGAAAGCGCGGGGCAGGTGTTTGCCATGGCGGCTGCCGTTATCGTCGCGAGACACCTGAGAGCCTCTTTGTTAGAGACGCGAGTACTCTGCGGGGCTGCAGGAACGGCAGTTGGCTGGCGGCGCCAAGGTCTTTCGGGGCCAGGAGGCGGCGGAAGCGAGGTGCGGCGCGCGCGGACGTGCATCCCTTCTTACCCTCCCCCTGCTTCCTTTTAGCATGGCTTGAGTTTGTTCCGGGGCGGAGGGCGACAAACCCGGCCCTGCTAGTGGACGTGTGGCAGTGGATGCTTTTTTGTGTGGGAATCTCCCTTTCCCTCCTCCCAGTCCCTTCTTTGCCTCTCTTTTTCCTCTCACATTTACTTCTGAGAGGAACTGCCTGGCCACGTGTGTGCGCGTTTACTCGGAAGCCGGTCCCGCAGAGTTATATGGAGTACAGTGGTACCTCAGGTTAAGTACTTAATTCGTTCTTAACCTGAAACTGTTCTTAACCTGAAGCACCACTTTAGCTAATGGGGCCTCCTGCTGCCGCTGTGCTACCGGAGCACGATTTCTGTTCTCATCCTGAAGCAAAGTTCTTAACCTGAAGCACTATTTCTGGGTTAGCGGAGTGTGTAACCTGAAGCATATGTAACCTGAAGCGTATGTACTCTGAGGTACCACTGTAATTAATTACCCCCAGGTAAAATGCACAGGAGTTGTAGCCTTAGGTTTCCACATTTGCATGTAGGTAAGCTCGTCAAAAAGGGACGCGGGTGGCGCTGTGGGTTAAACCACAGAGCCTAGGACTTGCCGATCAGAAGGTCGGCAGTTCGAATTCCCGCGACGGAGTGAGCTCCCGTTGCTCGGTCCCTGCTCCTGCCAACCTAGCAGTTTGAAAGCACGTCAAAGTGCAAGTAGATAAATAGGCGGGAAGGTAAACAGCGTTTCCGTGCGCTGCTTTGGTTCGCCAGAAGCAGCTTAGTCATGCTGGCCACATGACCCGGAAGCTGTACGCCGGCTCCCTCGGCCAATAAGGCGAGATGAGCGCCACAACCCCAGAGTCGGTCACGACTGGACCTAATAGTCAGGGGTACATTTACCATTTAAGCTCGTCGAACGTAGCGGGACTGGTTTCCAAGACGGGAAGATCCGAGTCTGTGCATGTTTACTTGGGAGTAAGCCCCGGTTATTGCCCAATGTGGCTTACTCCCAGGTCAGAATGTACATGGCTGCAGTCTTGGTAGGTAGTGTAAAGTAGGGATGAGCAGATTTCAAGCTCGTAGAATCTACTGAATAGATTTCTACTAGAATGCTGCGATCCACCAACTGGAGCGGTGGATCTGTGAGACATATACTAATTTGGGCGTTTAGATTACTCACATGTAAATTCTGTTTTGTTGTTCAGGGAACCTTCATGAAAAAAGAGTGCTCCGAGCTTCAGACCTCTGTCAAATATGTGGAGGGCTGTAAACAAGATCAAAGTGGTCAGGGCTTGGCAGTGCCCCCCCCCCCGCCATCAGCCTGATTGTTTACACACGCATAATTTGACTGCTTAAATAGGTCTTGTGAATTAAATAATTCTGAGCCCAGGAATTTGTTTCGAGTACCAGAACAAAATAGAGCTCACACTTTTTTTGGCCCTTGGTTTTTAGTATTCATGATGAAACCGAATTAGTACTCACGATGAAGCCAAATTTTTGGAATGCAAGCTCCTTCATTTGGGTATATTTTCTTATACCTTTTTTATTAAAAGCAGACAACACCATGGGCAGGATATACATTTTTATATAAACAGACAAAATAAATAAAAGACTGCAGTCTTCAAGAATCACCACCACTGAAGTAGGCATAGCGCGCAAACTAATCTGAATAAGTGTGCATAGATTCAGCTTATAAAACACATTGAGTATTTGTTTCTAGCTCTTTTTATCAGCTGATATGCAATATTTAGGTTTTAATTAGAAAAGAAAATTTTACAAAGAAAATGTAAAAACTAAACTTTTCTGTTTAGTTCCTCTCAGGAAACAGCACTTTCTAACAATTCTCAGTGGCTCAGTTTGCACAATCCAGACATGCATTTCATTGGGCAAATACATATTTTTAACCTAGCTTTTAATGGAGTTGTACACAAGACTGAAGGTGGCGCTTGGTCCTGGAAGTCCTTTCCAAGTCACAGCTTGGAATCTTAGGGTATTCAAACAGTTGCAGCCATCCTCAGATGTGTGCTCAAACAAGCATAGCATATGAACCAGGCTATATTTCTGATTGTGACAGCTGGGAAATATGGCTCTGGTCTCGCAGACTGCTGCTAAATATACAATCTGGTTTGTTGCTTTGTACTGAAAAACAGTTGGACCCACTTAAATCTGTAGAAAAGTAATTTTGTGGAGCAGCCCCAAATCTTCTCCAAACAGCTTCTTAATGTGTTAGGGAAAAAATGTAACTTGGGAAGCTTTTCTTTCCAGAGCTACAAACTAGCTATATTTAATCTCCAGAAGTCTAAGAATGAGGTGAATATTTCTTGGACAAATACATTAACGAAGTACATAAAATATGAGGCCCCGTCTTTAGGTTAAGAAGTGACACACAAGAAAAGAAAGGGGGAGAGGTTAGAGGTATGAGATCAGTTAGAGAGTAATAGATTGGTTAGAGTAGCATGTATTGGCATACTTTTCTTTGCATATATCTGGTTTGTGTCAGCTACAGATATGTATAAAAACATACCTTTGCAAAACTTCATTTTATGCATGTGTTTATTCTTGCTGTGTTACTTGCAAATAACCCCACAAAGTGTACTTCTTTTTTAATGGCAAACTGGGGGCTGGCAGAGGATGGAGGAAGAACTGCATTTCTATACTAAATGTGCAGCAGGAGGAGGAGGCTCTGTCTTGTAGCAGCCCACTTGATTTCTATGGTGTGAGCTGAGAAAGGATGTTTAAATTGTTAGTTAATTGTTAGCACTCCATCTACCCTCTGCTGGCCCACTCATATGCAATTCCTCATCATATTTGGCTATCTGTTAGTGCCTAATATTTATACTTGCCTTTATTTCTAATTCAAAACTGGTGATTTGTTTGTAACATGACACACACAAGTGGTATGGTATCTTGGATAAGAATAGTTTGGCTTCAGATTTAGCTGACAAATTATTCTAGGTCAATACTTCACTTAGGTTGCTCCTGCTGTTTGTTTTCTGTCGGCACACCTAAAACATCAGACTGCTATTTTTAAAGCAGTGCTAACAAGGACTAGGAGTGGTTCTCATGTCTCTTACTGGGTTGGGTTGTATCTATGTCTAGTGTTTTCAGCATCTAGGTGATATTTTTGGTTTCATGCTTCAGCAAATGTTCAGATTGTCCATTGTATATTGTTCTTCCGAGTCAGAATGTGTTTGTATTCTCATTACCTTCAGTTCTCACCTTATTAACTTTATTTGCTGTTGGCTTGTGTATACATATAAAATGTACACACACTAATATGTTTATTGACCACCATGTGCCAAATAATGGTACAAAATCTTTTGTCAGATAAACCAAGTAGTTTCTAAGGTAGAAGGAATAGTTTCTGTTGTTGCTGATATGTGCTAGCATAGTTATTCTTTTGGTTTTTAAAATTCTGTTTACCCAAATGTTGATGACAGTGTTCGAGAGAGGTTGTGTACTTGTAAAGCAGAAAGGTGCTAATATATGTTTCCACTTGGCTTGTCACTTAAAGCTTGTTACTCAGTTTGTTTGCACTTTTTTATACAGAATGCTGAGTTTCATTCATTCTATCAATATTATATTAAGTAATATATGAACATTCAAAGTTTGTCTTCGTATTTACTCCAGCCATGTAGACTTAGAACAGGGTTGGCGAACCTTTGGCCCTCCAAATGTTACATATCTTTTACCCATGCTGGTTGGGGATGATTGGAATTGGAGTGTAACAACATCTGGAGGGCCTAAGGTTAGCTATCCCTGGCTTAAAGGGAAAAACTATGTTGTTCTCATAAATCTTCTTTTCTTTTCTTGGTTATGGACCGGATTCTAGGACTCAGTTGAGTTGGCATCCTAACCTCAGAGACATTTACTTGTCTTTGTGCATTTGCACCACTAGGATAGCTTTCTTAGAGGTGTGATAACTTTCCTGTTTTCTTGTGGCTTTATTAGCTGCTAGGATGATGCAAAATGGGATGGTTCAGGACAATGTCTTTTGTATGCCATTTTTTTTTTGTACCATGAGTGTCATGAATGATCGACGTGAAAGTAAGGAAAATATGAATATCTGGATGTCACCTTTTCATTCACTGTTAAGAAAACATAAGAACAGCCTTGTAGGATCAGGCCACTTGCTCATGTAGCCTAGCATCCTGTTTTTACAATGGCCATGCAGATGCCTGTGAGAAACTCAGAAGATCTCTTTCCCCTCCTGCAATTTCCAACAACTGGTATTCAGAAACAGTGGAGACAGAGCATAGCCAACATACCTATTAGTCATTGATAATCCTTATCCTTATTCTCCATGCAGTTGTCTAATCAGCATTGAGAGGGGTTTTTTTTACAATCAAGCGGTGTATAAATTTTATGAAACAAGCAAGCAAACAATCCTCTTAAAGCTAAGTTGGTGGCCATCACTGTCTCTTGTGGGATCAAATTCCATATTTTAACCCTGTGCTGCATGAGGAAGTACTTTATGTGTCCTGTATCTTCAAACATTCAGCTTTACTAGATATCAACAAGTTCAACAAGTTCATGCTAATTAAAAATGTTCTAAATTGAAACTCTACACCTGGCAACAGAATTCTGAGGGTAGATTTACATAATTAGCTTTTCTACCATAAGCTGCCCTTTGGCTGCAACTTTATAGCAGCTCCTTGTTTATCTGGCCTTGTGGTAATGCTCAGTTTGATCATATCTCAGCTTAATTGAGCCAAGTGATGAACATTCCTTTTGGTGTGCATACAGGCAGGCCATTTTGCTCCTCCCATTGTGGCAAGAACACATAAATCAGGAAGTCTTCACTTAACTATAGTTTTGCCCTGTTCTGATCTTTTGAAGTAGCCTACAAGGCTGGGCAGGTGAGCAGTTGCAGAACCTCAGAGAGCTCTGCCTGTGACAGAAGTGGACTGAGACCTTCTGAGCTTTTTCCTTCAGTCCTCTTCTAGGGTCCATTCCCTTCATGAGAACTGCAGTCCTCAGAGCAGGATTAGGGAATATTTGGCCCTTCAGGATGTCCAAGGGTTCTCCACCACTGCCTTAGAGGAACTATGGGTCATACGTAGTGCTGCAGCTCAGCTGGTGCAACAAACTTCAGTGTGTGCAATGCACCTTTCTTTTGTCCCTTCCAGCCTCCTACATGTCCCCAAAACCAGCTCTGGGAGGTTGGGGACCCTCCAGAGCACATTTAGGAGGCACTAGGCAGGAGGGAGAAGAGGAAACAGAAGTCCCATTATAGCAGTTGAGCTTTCTGGCACCTAACTATATAGATTTAACCCAAAGTGCCTGCCAATGGGTGCTTCTTCACTCTCTGTCCCGTTGGACCTGCGTAGTGGGTTGGGAGGTCTTTGGTTCTTCAGTCCCAGGGAAGAAGGTACCTATGAGGATTCCATTTCTATCTCCATCAGGCCTAGCTCTGTTAGTTCTGGTTCATGTTGCTCCTGCCCCTCCAGTTCTGGATTTAGTGATCCCCTGAACACCAACATCAGGCTCAGAGTTTGACTACTTAGCTGGTGAATCTGCAGCCTCCAACTCTGTGTCTTGATTGCCACTAGGCTCTGAGGTCATGACAGGTTTCCTGTTTTGCCCATACCAGAGAACTATGGTTAAAAGCTTCGGAACATGCCTGGATAGGAAACCATGATTGGAAGTTGGTTTGATATTCTGGCTTGCTCCCAAGCTGGTTCAAACAAAATAAGTTCTGCTGACACAGAAGTGAAGGGACTGCATGTGCAGCTGAAAGGCTCATTCATATATCAGCCTGTGCTACTTCCTTGATAAGAAGTTTCAGTAGAATCAGTCCCAATCAAGTAAATGTCCTTGGCTGAGGGGTAGCCAATATGGTGCCTTGCAGATATTATGGGCAACAATTCCCATCGGCCCCAGCTAGAGTGATCAGTGGTCAGGGATGATAAGAGTTAATAGTTCACAACATCTAGAAGGCACCTTGGTGGTTATCCCAGCTTATTACAGCAGTTGATAGGTGACGTGCTAGTTAACAGCACCAATCACTCATTTGGTGTGAGAGTGAATTACTCAATCCCAGTCTTTTCTCCACATAGCAGGTTTTAAAAAAATAGCATCGGTATTTTTTTTACTATATATAGGTGGATCATTGAATGTAGGCTATTGCTGCCTATTGTTGTCTCTAGATTGGGAATAAAATGATCTAAAACAAAAGTATGCTTATTTATTGTTTTGTTGAATGAGCTGGTGCACCAAATGTGTAACTTAAAGAAAAATTAATATTTTTTTATTTAGGTTCCTTCCAGGAAGGCGGAATCCTTTGCATCCATGTTGAGGCGCTCTCCTTTAATTCAGATGGGACCTTGCAAAGACAAAATTGCCATTGGAGAAATTTTCCACATCACAGAAGATGATCTGTATATAGATTTTGGTGGCAAATTTCATTGTGTATGCAAGCGACCAGAAGTAGATGGCGAGTAAGTAAAACATTCATGATGGAAGTTTAGGGAAGCTTTTAATGTTTAACAGACCATTGTATTTTAATATTTTGTTGGAAGCTGCCCAGAGTGCCTGGGGAAACCCAGCCAGATGGGTGGGGTATAAAAAATAAATTATATTATTATTAGTATTAGTATTATTATTATTACTATTACTATTACTATTATTATTATTATCATTATTATTATATAATATAATATGTGTGATAAAAGTTGAATATTCATGTATTTCAGACAAGTTCACCCTCAGATATTGAAACTTCACAATCACATAATTGCCTTAAAAGTCTGTTTTTTCCTTTTCTTTCCAGCTGCTAAAGGGAAGTGACCATAAAATATACTTTGCATTTAATGTCAGTATAGGAACCTGTTCACCCCTCTGCCTCTTAATGAGGCAGTACAGGTGTATAATTTTTCTCCTGCTTGTCCTGGCTCCAGAAGAAGGGAAGGAGCTAAAACAGGCAGCTATGGCTAAATATTGCTTTTAGTACTTTTTAAATCTGCTCATAGTGTTGCTGGCAATGATCTCCTGCTGCTGTCACATGTGCTCCTGCATTCTAGCAGGAATTGCATGAGGCATCAGATGGGCCTCAGGACGCAGAATGGGTGAAGGAACAGGGTAGAGTAGAAAGCAAAATGAGTAAAACAAGTCTTAACAGAAGAGAGAAAAATGATTTTGGAGAGAGGCCCTTCCCACAGATCTCTATGCTGTTCATGGGAAGTTAGGGTTTGAGATGGTTCTGGGAAGTGAGGTATGGGGAGCAGAAGGGAAATGAGAGCTGACTGAATTGAAATAACTAGACAAATGTGGCTCTGGGTCTCTGGTTTTAGATAATTTTGCCATGCAACAGTGGGGTCAGATAAGATTAAAATATACATACCAGCTATTTCCTAACACTGTCATATTCAAAGAGAAAGAGTTACACTTTGAATTCTCATTCCAATGGGTACTGGGTCTATTTCCTGTGCAGCTGAGCACATGGCTTTAAGAGTGGGTAACACAGTCCATTTCAGAGGATCTGCACTAATTGCTACAATCAACTGGAGTAAAGCAGACTTGACTCCCTACACAACCCCACATTGATGGATAAAAGGATGGGAAGCTGGGAGAAGAGTTTCTTATCTTTCTGTCCATCATTGAAGTTGTTGTTGCTATTGGAGGGAGGGAAGGAAAGACTGGGAGTGGTAGGCAAGGTTGGTTTGTGAGGTCAGGAGATGAGAAAATGGGAGGGAGAAGGGTTGAAACACTTTCCCCACCCCATGTCCCCTAACATGCCTGTGAAACTTTATAATTCTTTAGCTAGTTTACAAGTAATAACCAGTGACTTAAGTGAAATACTTTAAGTTAAATAAATTTGGTTAAAATTCTGTGCAAAAGGTAAGCAATTTAAATGAAAACTTGTTTCAAAAATAGAGTCTGTAAACCAGGATTGTAAACTATAACAAAAAGGTTTTGTTGTAACTTGTTCCTTTCCTCACTGGATGGAATTCCTAAGCTTTGTAAAATATCTTAAATAGATGTGCTGACTTACACCCTTGCAAGCTCTTCTCTTTTTAACAATGAATAACCAAAGCTATCAGATTATTAACAGTTTCTTTTTGTGTGTGTTCATTTTTCCTTAACTTCCTCCTCAAAAGAAAAGGTGGTGTGAGTTTCAGTGACTTGAGATGGTTGCTGGCAAATAAAGTATGTAATACTTGCGCTTCTAGCCACAAACTACTGAAATCCCAGAAAGAAATCTTTGACGGTTTTCCTTGTCCTGTTTCTGTATCATAGAAGTGTATGTGTTTTTAAGAGAATAGCTGCTATTTTATATTTAAAGAAGTTTAAATGCAAAGAGGATAGTATTTTAGAGCTGCTGTTACACATTCACCATAGCTTTTAGTCTAAACAATGCATGTGGTGCCAGTATGTCTACTGTCAAGCAATAGACAGCTTTTCTTTTTTTTACAGCACTCACACATAGTAGCTGTGTGATTGCAGGCTGAATCTATGCATTCTTCCAGCAAATAACTCCCCAACTTTATTTATAGTAGTATATACTTTGGAAATTATAACTCTTTATCTACTGTGGACATCATATTATTCGCTTAGTTGCCTTACAGTGTACTTTTTGTTTTGCCACCCACTTTGTTGTTCTGAAGAAGTTATTTTCAGCCGCAAATTGAGGTGCTGCTTTCTGTGGCTTGGTATTCCACAAAAACACTGTTGCCCAAATTGCTGAGACCATGAATCTGTACCCATTTTTGGAGTACGTCTTTGTTTAGCGCTGTAGACAATTAAGCATTAGCCAGCAGAATTTACATCTTGGAGCCAGAGTGAAAGTCATTGCAAAACACAATCCATCAGTATTGTCATTGTACTTGAGGGTCTACTCAGTTTTTTCTAAATGAACTCGTATCCTTTGCTTGCACATGTAGATGCACTGTTGAACTGAACTAAATGTTAACCAGTTCATGGCGCCTCAATAACTTTGGCGACTCCCTAAAATATTTCATTTCAGGAGAACTTTGGCATCCCAGCTGGGGCAGTGGCTAGGAATATATCTCTTCCCTTGTGCCACCTTTTTCCTATGGCCTCTAGAGGCTGTACAGGCTGGGACAAAGGTGGTGCTTCTATCAGTGGTGAATAGAACTTCCTGGTTTTCTGCCCTTGCCAGGTCAAGGACATCTGAGCAGAAAGATAGGGATAGGGTCACCAGATTTATGTAGCCATTTCTCTCTCCCCCCGCCCCTGCTTCACACCTTCTCCCCTATAGAAAATAAAGAGAAAGAGAGAGATTATGGTGGCATGGATAGAAATAAGGAATTTCCTTGTTTACTTTTGGCTCTGGCCGTATGTGACCTCCAACCAGTTCCCCCTGAGGACCCTTAATAACACAGTTTCAATGAAGCAGCATTAAAAATGGGGTCCGGAGAGCCAGTACTAACCAGAGAACAACTCATAATCATAGGCTGCTTTAAAAGAAGAGTCTTTAAGTGCTGGTTGAACACAAAGTGGAAGATGATCAAACCTCTTGGGACAGCAAGTTCCACATATGGGGTGCTGCAACAAAGCAACCATTTTTGCATGTTGCCACCAAACATGCCTCAGAAATGGAGAAGGCCTCATGTTTTCTGGTTCCACATTTGCTTTTTAAAAATTGGGAGAAAGGGGTTCTGGGCTTTGAGGGCTGGTTAGCTGCTTGACTCTCCCTTGCCCACCTACTCACCTACCAAGGAACTGCTCCTGCTCAGGTGAAGAGGCCTCCCATGTCCAACTTTGGGAAGGAGGCAGCAAGGCTCCAGAATCCTGTCAGAGCATCACGTCTCCTTCCCTAAGCTGGGCAAACACTTTCTGGGTTTGGGGAAGGAGGCGCAATGCTCTGATGTGGTCCAAGAGCCTTCCCACCTCCTTGCCCCTCCCCCCAAATGTGGCGGTACTGCTTACCATTATGTAGTGCCAGAAAAAAGCACTGGCTGTGTAGTCTGAACCATTTCTACTCAGAAATAATTCGGTAGGACTAACTCCCAGGTAAATGGGTTAGGATTGCAACCTTTGTGCACTTTTAACACTCAACGTCCCAGGACGTTGCAGTTCTCAGATGTCTAACAAAGCAGTAATGTACAGAGGCACCAGGATTAACAAGAGAGAGAAAAATCAGACAAAAGTGAATCTCAAGCTCACATCCTAGTGGTAGAAGTTGTTCCAAGTCCCTGCTGCTGGATCTTCAGGGGAAGAGCAAAGGTGCTGTGGGAGTAATTAAGGTGGGAGAGAGTCAACTGGTGACTTTAGGCTTCTCATTTGACCTTGTCATGTGCACATGTCATGTGCAGAAGAGAGTGCAGCGCCATTCTTCCTCCTTCACTTCCTAGGCTCTTTAGCCCCCATTGAGCCGGGAACAGTGGCTGAGGACAAAAGCTGTATACACTGTACAAACAGAGCACCAAAGCAGCAGTACACTGACTCATTCTTCGCTCTGTGTGAGAACTGAGGGGGACTCTATTCACTTCCTTTGTGCTGGTGTCTGTCAACAGCGCTGTTTGAGGCAAGGCCTATTGTGCCGGCCAATGTTTCTTATTGACCCAAGTCTGTGCCTGCAATGTTCCCAGGGTCGAAGTTGCGAGTGAGAGAATGTTTGAAAAGGGGTAATCATAGGGTAAATGCATTTTGCTGCATTGTCATCTGACCTATTAAATCTAAACTGTGGTCTTTGTTAATGCAAACAGGTAATTATGTAGTCACAGCTGCAGCTATTGACATCTGGTTACCGCCCTAAGGGGGGAAAATAGGTGGTTTTCTCTACAGTGTCTAGGTCCTTGAAAGCTTGACTTTAATGATATTAAGTGGAAGTAGAGGATGGATTAGTGAGACTGACAGGTCAACAGGGTAGATACTTTTATACATATAAGGGGGGAAAGCTGTGATCACTGATATGAACTTCTTCATCCTACCTGTTTCAGCATTTTCCCATTGCTGTACATTTGGCTGTTTTGTATTTCCCGATCTAGTTTCTCAGTGACTGTGAGCCAAGTTTGGGGAGTACATTTTGTATCTTGCCTTCCTGCCTCTTTTCATATTCTAATACCATTGTCACTTTCTTTCTTATAACTGACTTACTGCTGTAGCACATATGTATGTTATACCATCCCTCTAGGCTGAGCTGCTAGGAGCTTAATATTTATAGCATTATTATGCGTAAGTTTAAATCCTTAAGTGGTAAGTGTGCTAGGGTGGTAATAGCATTCCTGGCAATAAATTATTTTTATTGCAGCTGCCTTGCTTTCAGCATAAAAAAGGTTGACATTCATGGTACCAGTTGAAAATCCTCCAATGTAAAAGCCTGTTTCCAGTGTATTTTCCAGGGAATTTTAACGGCAGATGTTTTGAAAGTCACAATTCTCCTCAGGGCCTAATAATGTTTGTTGCAAGATTGGTGATGAACTTGAATTTGGAAAACAAGGCTGTAGTGAATGTAAAGTCACATATAATTCTAGCTCACTTGATCAGCAGCTGAAGAAGGAGCAAAAAGGGTTTTCTTGTGTGTGTGTTTCTTTGTGGCTGATTAGCTGCTCTCTCTGTGCAAAGGTCAGAGGGGGCAGGGTTTCTGTTGAGGCAGGTGATTAGCTGTGGGAGGAGCTTATCAGAGCTTGCAGGGCAGCGGCGCGCACAGTTTGATCCATCTTTTAGATTTAGGGGAGCTAGTCTCAAACGTTTGTTGGGGGAGACCTAGGGTTTTTTGTGGGGGGAGTTATTTGTCCTGTCTTCACGCTTTTTATGATGGAGGACCGCTGTAGCCACCCCCAACGACACGTTCTCAAGATGGAGGGGGAGGGAACAGCTGCAGTCGCCTGCGGTTCCTGCGCAATGTTTGCCATCTTGCCAAAGGTTGCAGGCAGCTTTACCTGCAGCAATTGCATGTTGATTGCCCTCTTAGAAGACAAAGTCCAGCAACTGGAGGAACGTGTAGCTACGCTCCAAAGAATTAGAGAGCTGGAGCTCTTCTTGGAAGCAACAGAGCACACCGTCTCCACCAAGGAGGAGACAGGGGACTCCCCTGAGAAGGAGGCTAGTTCACCAACACAGGAGCCAGATATATGGAGAAACGTGACTCAAAGAAGTAGGAGGCCCAGGGTTCGCTCTGATTGTTTAGAAATACACAATCGCTTTGAGGTCCTCTCCCCTAGCATGGAAAACGAAGAGCAGACTCCATTTGAGGATCTCTCTCTCATTACAGTCGATCAGGTATATGAAGATGAGCAGCAAAGTCAGTTCTCAGGGAATGTGCAGGCGACCTTGGAACGGACAGCTCACGGAAGAACCCCGACCAAACCTAAGAGGAGGCGTGTAGTGGTGATAGGGGATTCCCTACTGAGGGGAACACAAGCAGTGATCTGTGGGCCTGACAAAATGTCTCGGCAAGTGTGCTGTCTCCCCGGGGCTAAGATCCAAGATGTAACTGAATGACTGCAAGGAATCATAAAACCCACTGACAAATACCCCTTCCTCTTGGTTCATGTGGGAACCAATGACACTGCAAGCAATAGCCTCCAGAAGATCAAAAGAGACTACGAGGCTCTGGGCAGGAAACTGAAGCAATTAAATGCACAAATTGTCATCTCATCTGTCCTCCCAGTTGAACGACGTGGCCCAGGGAGAGAGGGAAAATAGTGGAAGTGAACAGCTGGCTTCGCAAATGGTGTAAACAGGAACGGTTTGGATTCTTAGATCACGGACTGCAGTTTCTTGAAGATGGACTTCTGGCAAGCGATGGGCTGCACCTCACAACGGTTGGGAGGAATGTTTTTGCCAAAAATCTCAGAAACCTCATCAGGAGGGCTTTAAACTGACTAATGTGGGGGAGGGAGACAGTGCTCCTGAAGGTAGGAGTCTATCAATTGATGAAGATGATCATCCAACTGTCATAGACCAAATGGAGCAAACAGCACGCAGACCTAGTGGTGGGAGGAAAAAATCCTTAAATAAGAGACATGGGGGAATCATTAATGGACTTCAGTGTCTGTACACTAATGCGCAAAGCATGGGAAATAAACAAGATGAGCTTGAGCTCTTGGTACAGCAAACTAAATATGACATAATAGGCATCACTGAAACCTGGTGGGATAGGTCCCACGATTGGAATGTCATAATGGAGGGATACAATCTATTTCAATGATGAGTAAAACCTCTGCCATCCACGACCTGATTGTGGATGGAGGATTTGACCTGGCATGTGTGACAGAGACCTGGTTGGATGAAGCAGATGGGTCCGTCCTTGCCGCTGCTTGTCCACCAGGTTTCTGTTACGCACAGCAACCCAGGCCTTGTGGGCGGGGAGGGGGGGTTGCAGTGATTTTTAGGAAGTCATTAGTTTGCACCAGGCGTCCTATTGGAAAGACCCAGTTCTCTGAGTGCATGTTCTGGAAGTTGGGCAATAGGGGCAGTACAGGATTCCTATTGGTGTACCGACCTCCCGCTGCACCAAGGATTCCCTGCCCGAGCTGCTTCAGGTCGTGGCGGATGTCCTCCTGGAGACACCTAGTTTGGTTGTCCTAGGGGACTTTAACATCCATGCCGACACGACCTTCTCGGGACTTCGTGGAAAGCATGGCCTCCATGGGGCTGTCCCTGAATAAGTCTGGCCCAACTCATAGCCACGGGCATGCCTTAGACCTGGTGTTCACCTCTATGGATGTTGGTGATCTGACATTAAGTAAAAGCAAAACCAAAGAAGTGCCATGGTCAGATCACTTCCTGGTGCAACTGGACTTCTCCGTGACCCTTCCTCTGCAGGGAGGCGGGACCGATTCAGATGGTCCGCCCCACCACTTAATGGATCCAAATGGTTTCCAGAGAGTGGTAGGGGATGTTTTATCCCATGTTGATGGCCTTTCAGCTGATTCCCTGGTGGCCCGCTGGAATGTGGAGTTAACCAGGGCTATTGACTGTTTGGCTCCAAAGCGCCCTCTCCGATTGCATGGAGTCCGGACAGCCCCGTGGTTTTCCACGGATCTGAGGGCAATGAAACAATCGTTGAGACGGCTAGAGCGCCGGTGGCGGATAACCCATTCTGAATCTGACCGGACACGGGTTAGAGCTCAATGTCGAGCCTACCAAGTGGCGATAGCGACGGCGAAGAAGACTTTCTTCACCGCCTCTATTGCATCTGTGGAAAACAGCAGCAGGAGACTCTTTCAGGTGGTTCGCAATTTAGCGGAACCACCTGCTCCATCAGGGCCCAGTAGCGGCCACATGATCTCCTGCAATGACTTTGCAAAGTGTTTGCAGATAACGTCACTCGGATTCGAGGAGAGGGCGACTCCACCGTGGGAGCAGGGCCCGGGCGGGAGAGTGCTAGAGTCCTGTCTAGTCAAGTTGTGTGGGATCAATTCCAATCTGTTACCCCCGAGGATGTGGACAGGCTGCTTGGACGAGTGAAACCAACCACTTGCCTCCTTGATCCTTGCCCATCCTGGCTTATAAAAGCTAGCCGGGAAGGACTGGGCGATGGGCTTCGTGGGGTGGTGAATGCTTCCCTCCGCGAGGGAGCCTTCCCAGACCCGCTGAAAGAGGCGGTTATTAAACCGCTTCTTAAAACCATCTTTAGATGCGGCCACGATAGCCAACTATCGCCCAGTCTCAAATCTTCCATTCTTGGGCAAGGTGATTGAGCGAGTGGTTGCTGAACAACTCCAGGCACGCCTGGAAGAAGCGGACCATTTGGATCCCTTCCAGTCGGGATTCAGGCCTCATCATGGGACTGAAACTGCCTTGGTCGCACTGGTTGATGATCTCCGGCGGGCTAGGGACAAAGGTGAGAGCTGTTTCCTAGTTCTGCTGGATCTCTCAGCGGCGTTGATACCATCGACCATAACATCCTTCTGGACCGTCTTGAGGGGCTGGGAGCTGGGGGCACTGTTATACAGTGGTTCCGCTCCTTCCTCCTGGGCCGTGTTCAGAAAGTGGTGGTGGGGGATGAGTGTTCAGACCCCTGGGCCCTCACTTGTGGGGTGCCTCAGGGTTCTGTCCTCTCCCCCATGCTTTTCAACATCTACATGAAGCCGCTGGGAGAGATCATCAGGGGATTTGGGCTGGGTATGCAGATGATACCCAGTATGATACCCAGTATCAGTATGCAGATGATACCCAGCTCTACCTCTCTTTCAAATCAGAACCAGTGAAGGCAGTGAAGGTCCTGTGTGAGTGCCTGGAGGCGGTTTGAGGTTGGATGGCGGCTAACAGATTGAGGTTGAACCCTGACAAGACAGAAGTACTGTTTTTGGGGGACAGGAGGCGGGCAGGTGTGGAGGATTCCCTGGTCCTGAATGGGGTAACTGTGCCCCTGAAGGACCAGGTGCGCAGCCTGGGAGTCATTTTGGACTCACAGCTGTCCATGGAGGCACAGGTCAAATCTGTGTCCAGGGCAGCTGTTTACCAGCTCCATCTGGTACGCAGGCTGAGACCCTATCTGCCTGCGGACTGCCTCGCCAGAGTGGTGCATGCTCTGGTTATCTCCCGCTGGATTACTGCAATGCGCTCTACGTGGGGCTACCTTTGAAGGTGACCCGGAAACTACAACTAATCCAGAACGCGGCAGCTAGACTGGTGACTGGGAGCGGCCGCAGAGACCACATAACACCGGTCTTGAAAGACCTACATTGGCTCCCAGTACGCTTCCGAGCACACTCAAAGTGTTGGTGCTGACCTTTAAAGCCCTAAACGGCCTTGGTCCAGTATATCTGAAGGAGCCGTCTCCACCCCCATCGCTCTACCCGGACACTGAGGTCCAGCACTGAGGGCCTTCTGGCGGTTCCCTCACTGCGAGAAGCCAAGTTACAGGGAACCAGGCAGAGGGCCTTCTCGGTAGTGGCGCCTTCCCTGTGGAACACCCTCCCACCAGATGTCAAAGAGAACAACAACTACCAGGCTTTTAGAAGACATCTGAAGGCAGCCCTGTTTCGGGAAGCTTTTAATGTTTGATGTATTATAGTATTTTAATATTCTTTTGGAAGCCGCCCAGAGTGGCCGGGGAAGCCCAGCCAGATGGGCGGGGTATAAATAATAAATTATTATTATTATTATTATTATTATTATTATTATTTCGGAGAAACAGACCAGACAAGAAAGGAGGAGGAGTGGCGTTATATGTCAGGGATGTGTATACCTGTGAAGAGATCCAAGATTTAGAACCTCAAAGCCAAAGTGAGAGCATTTGGGTCAAAATTAAGGGAGAGAAGAATAACAGTGACCTCATTGTGGGAGTTTACTATAGATCCCCAAGCCAAACGGAGGACATAGATGATGCCTTCCTGGAACAGATGGCCAAGCATGCAAAAGGAAGGGAGATAGTAGTAATGGGGGACTTCAATTACCCGGATATTTGTTGGATGTCAAACTCAGCCAAGAGCATAAGGTCAAACAGATTCCTCACTGGCCTTGCAGACAACTTCATTGTCCAGAAAGTGGGAGAAGCAACAAGAGGAACAGCCATTTTAGATCTGGTCCTAACCAATGTTGATGACCTGGTTAGTGGGGTAGAAGTGGAAGGATCATTAGGCGCAAGTGATCATGCTCTTCTGAAGTTTACTATACAGCGGAAAGGAGCAGCCAAGCATACTAGGACTCAAGTTCTTGACTTTAAGAAAGCCGACTTCATAAAACTTAGGGAAGTGCTGGGTGAGATCCCATGGACAGTAATACTAAAAGGAAAGGGAGTTCATGATGGCTGGGAGTTTGTTAAGAGGGAGATAGTAAAAGCACAACTTCAGGCAATACCAATGAGACAGAAACATGGAAGGTGCCTAAAGAAGCCAGGGTGGCTATCTAAAGAACTTTTAACTGAGTTAAGATTAAAAAGGATGTGTACAAAAATGGAAAAGGGGGGAAACCACCAAAGAGGAATTCAAACAAATAGCCAGCACGTGTAGACACAAAGTCAGAAAAGCTAAAGCATAGAATGAACTCAGGCTTGCTAGAGAGGTTAAAAGCAACAAAAAAGGCTTTTATGGGTATGTTCGTAGCAAAAGGATGAACAAAGAAACAGTGGGGTCACTCAGAGGAGAAAATGGTGAAATGCAAACAGGGGACACAGAAAGGGCTGAACTCCTCAATGCCTTCTTTGCCTCAGTCTTCTCCGATAAAGAAAACAATGCCCGACCTGAAGAATTTGGAGCAAATGATTCAGCAGAGGAAACACAGCCCAGAATAACTAAGGAGATAGTACAAGAATGCTTGGCTAGTTTAGATGTATTCAAGTCTCCAGGGCCAGATGAACTGCATCCAAGAGTATTAAAAGAACTGGCAGATGTGATCTCAGAACCACTGGCAGTCATCTTTGAGAATTCCTGGAGAACAGGCGAAGTCCCGGCAGACTGGAGGAGGGCAAATGTTGTCCCTATTTTCAAAAAGGGGAAAAGAGAGGACCCAAATAATTACCGCCCAGTCAGTCTGACATCAATACCAGGGAAGATTCTGGAGCAGATCATTAAGCAAACAGTCTGTGAGCACCTAGAAAGGAATGCTGTGATCACCAATAGTCAGCATGGATTTCTGAAAAATAAGTCATGTCAGACTAACCTGATCTTGTTTTTTGACAGAATTACAAGCCTGGTAGATGAAGGGAACGCAGTGGATGTAGCCTACCTTGATTTCAGCAAGGCATTTGACAAGGTGCCCCATGATATTCTTGTAAAGAAGCTGGTAAAATGCGGTCTTGACTATGCTACCACTCAGTGGATTTGTAACTGGCTGACTGACCAAACCCAAAGGGTGCTCATCAATGGTTCCTCTTCATCCTGGAGAAGAGTGACTAGTGGGGTGCCACAGGGTTTTGTCTTGGGCCCGGTCTTATTCAACATCTTTATCAACGACTTGGATGATGGACTCAAGGGCATCCTGATCAAATTTGCAGATGACACCAAACTGGGAGGGGTGGCTAACACCCCAGAGGACAGGATCACACTTCAAAACGACCTTGACAGATTAGAGAACTGGGCCAAAGCAAACAAGATGAATTTTAACAGGGAGAAATGTAAAGTATTGCACTTGGGCAAAAAAAATGAGAGGCACAAATACAAGATGGGTGACACCTGGCTTGAGAGCAGTACATGTGAAAAGGATCTAGGAGTCTTGGTTGACCACAAACTTGACATGAGCCAACAGTGTGACGCGGCAGCTAAAAAAGCCAATGCAATTCTGGGCTGCATCAATAGGAGTATAGCATCTAGATCAAGGGAAGTAATAGTGCCACTGTATTCTGCTCTGGTCAGACCTCACCTGGAGTACTGTGTCCAGTTCTGGGCACCACAGTTCAAGAAGGACACTGACAAACTGGAATGTGTCCAGAGGAGGGCAACCAAAATGGTCAAAGGCCTGGAAACGATGCCTTATGAGGAACGGCTAAGGGAGCTGGGCATGTTTAGTCTGGAGAAGAGGAGGTTAAGGGGTGATATGATAGCCATGTTCAAATATATAAAAGGATGTCACATAGAGGAGGGAGAAAGGTTGTTTTCTGCTGCTCCAGAGAAGCGGACACGGAGCAATGGATCCAAACTACAAGAAAGAAGATTCCACCTAAACATTAGGAAGAACTTCCTGACAGTAAGAGCTGTTCGACAGTGGAATTTGCTGCCAAGGAGTGTGGTGGAGTCTCCTTCTTTGGAGGTCTTTAAGCAGAGGCTTGACAACCATATGTCAGGAGTGCTCTGATGGTGTTTCCTGCTTGGCAGGGGGTTGGACTCGATGGCCCTTGTGGTCTCTTCCAACTCTATGATTCTATGATTCTATGATCAATTTGACTGATCTCTCAGCTCTTTGCTTTTTAGCTGGCTACTTGAGTTTTGAGTCTAAGTCACAACAACATTCAACATGGATAGGTGGGTGCCATAATAATAAGAGAAAACTAGGACATTAGCGGGCAGATAAATTTTGATTGTATATTTCTGGTTATTTTTTATAATATACAAGTCACTTCCATATTTTCATAAGCTTCTGAGTTTTTCAGGAGTGCTTCTAGATTAGCCTTATTCAGTTACTGACCCATTTATTTATTAGTATCAGATATTTTAAGTAAACTATTTCTACCTAGTCTTTCCATCCAAAAGAACTTGCAAGGTGGCTAACAAAATAGAATCACAATAAAACAATTAAATAATCATTGAATTACATAACAGTAAATATACACATAGCTGCAACACCAGCAAGCGGTAGATCAGTCATACAGTAGTAAATATAAACAATAATCAGCTTCACCTATCTCAGAAGCCCCACAGACAAGTCATGCTAGCCTCTGTCTAATAGGACTGCAATGAGTCCCCAACCCCTCTCTTCTGTATTGTGAGGCATACTTGCAAATCTTCCCACTACCCTTTTCTTTTTAAAGATACAGTAATTAAATAAGTTTATAGACTATGAAAATGCATATTACAATCAGTATGTGCCAGCCTCAGCTGTGGGCATTTGCCACCCATACACTGACCATTGTAGCCACTTTCCCTTATTGTACGTAGCATGAGAACAGTAGAGTTGAAAAATTGTGTTGTGTGCTTTTTTTTAATATGTGGGAGAAGTTGGGCAATGCAATGCTTTGACTTACAATGAGTTTACTTCTATTATTTATTTTATTTTGTAGCCCACACTTTTCCCCTGAAGGGCTCCCAAAGTGGCTTTACACAAAAGCAATAAAGAGTAAAATTGTGTACAATATAAAAATTAAAATTATAACAGTCAAATCATGTAAAATACAGAGAGTGGGGAATACTTAAGCTGCAGCATCAGCATTATTGAAGAGCCAGTTGTAAAAAGCAAGCAGTGACTGGGCCAAAGAGACCTACTCAGGAAGATCTTATCAGCAATGGCTGACAGGTCCCAGGCTCTACTGCTCACCCACCTCACTTCTGAATGCAGGGGAATGAGGAGAGGGACTTGGCTGTTGATGAGAATGCACAAATTGGTACATGTGGGATGATACAATTATTCAGGTATTCTGGCGCCAAATGGCATTAAAAGCCCTTAACGGCTAATGGCACCTTGAATTGGACCCAGAAACAAATGGCAGTCAATGACGATTGAGATATGTTGCAAACAATAAGCCTTAGTTAAAAGCCTGACTGCTATATTTTGTACCAGTTGAAGTACCCTGCTTATAGAACAAGGTCTCTATCTCCAGATTTGGCTCAGTAAGAACATTGGTTTGCTTTTTCTTCTTCTTTGCCTCAGAAGGGATAGTGCTATATGCAGGCACTTCACCTATTCTGAATATTTAAAATACTTAATAAGCTACTTTTTAGGGTAAAGCTTGCCAAAGCCTAGTGTACAAAGATAAAAGAAAGCTGAACGTTCAACCATACTTTATAAAACGGTAGTTTTGAATCTTTAGATCAGTCCAGCAGTTCAGTCCCGTGTTTTTGCATATTTAAGAGCAAAGGAGTATTCTGGGTAAAAAGGTTTAACAAAATAATATTTTACAGAATCTAAGTGATAGTGTTGTTGAATAATGCTTTATTTTTCCTTCTTTTTGTCTGCCTTCCAAGGATTCTATAGGAGTTGAATGACACTGGAGTAGAAGAAATTTCCTACTAGTTTTGGTGCTTATTTTTAATTTGTGTCCCTGGAAAATCTATATAACCTGAAACCCTTAGGCATCCTTGTAATCTTATTAGTATATTTTGCTCAGTTTTCCCCCTTCCTTTGTTGTAACTAAAAGAACCCGAAGCCTTGGCATGTTACAGCATGAAACTGTAAACCAATTTTCCTCTGGACACCATGTCTAAAGAACAACATGTTGTTTAAAAAGCCTCCTTGCAATATTTGTAACTCCCTATAGGCTGAATAAAAGACACATCTTTCTCTGTTTTGCTAAGTGTCTTAATTAGGTATTGGCTGAAAGCCATGGCCAGTATAAAATGGGATTTTCCTAAGACAACAGCAGAAACTCATAGTATCAGTTTTTGGCAGGGTCTTGACTGTCTTAGCAACATTCTGTGCTTGTACTTACCTGTTGTGAGAAAGTAGGATGCTGCCCAGGCTTGAAGTAAGCAGGTGGACATTTTCTCAGTGCAAGTCTAAAAACTCTATAAAGGTTTCGGAAAGAAGGGTAACTGTCAGTGAACATGGTCATTGTTACGAGCCACTGTACTCAACAAAACTCAGTCACAAGTGGATGGACTAATTAAACCTGTAGAAAAATGTCAGCTTTGTCAGACTGTACCAAATATAGAGAAGTGCCTCTCTTTCAGATCTTCTGCTTTTGCTTCGACTTAGTATTTTTTATTACGCTTCATTCCTCTGCATCTGAAATCTGAGCCCAGATGAAACACTTTTCCATATAAGAATACAGCACAAAGAGCAACTATGGATACCATTTATTTCTTATGTGAATATGAGTAAGAATATATAGGAACAAGCCTTTCTGATCTCACTTTTAAGATACCAGATTACTGTGTCAGATTAATGAGCATTTCTTAAATGCTGGTTGCAGAGTTTCTGATAGTGTGAGTGAGATACCTTGAGGGAAGGAATGGGGATTGTGGAAAGGTTAAACGAAACTACCTTGCACTTGCATAGTGCCACATCCCTGTCTGAAATAATGCAAGAAATGTGCTTGCCTCTTCTGTCTACTGTGTGCTTAATTTCAATGCAGTAGAAATGGCAGCAAGTTTAGTTGCATTTTGTTTTCATTAGATTGTAGGCATGTGAAATACAGAAGGATCTCTAGAGCCCGAACAATGCACCGAGAAGGGTATGGTGGGTGGGTGTGATGGTGGCAGGATGCCTAGCACCTCAATCTTGTCCACTGTTCAGAATTTGGGTATTTTTTTATTGGCATGTACAGCAAAATAATAAATGGGCCCAGTGTGGAATCTCCTGGATCCTGAGCACCTCTCACAGCCAGCGTCTTCTGGCATACTGCCCAATCCAGGCCTGATCAGACCCAGCCTGTCTCCTGACCACCACCACCACCTGCTGCTGTGAGTTCCCAGGGGGCAGGGGCAGGCTTGGATTGCTCAGCCCTTGATTTCCTCCTGTTGATATCCTAGGACTCAGCTAGATTTGTAAAGAAAAAGCGATTTATCTGCGTTGTATATGCAATATAACATTGTGCCACCAGATGACGATATGGAGTCCCATTTTTCTCTCCCTGTTTTCCCTGTTTAAATTTACAACACCTTTAACTGAAACGCTTCTTTGATCTAGCCCTACTGTCCCTCTCAGTAGGAGCATGTCAGGGATAATAATACAGTATCACATTCATTTTTTGTCCCACTTTTGAGGGGCCCAAGGTGTAACCTTTTAACAGCAAGCAGAAAAAAGAAGCAAACAAAGCAGATAGCAAGCAACAGAGAAGAGATAATGTAAGAACACTTGAGGAGTCAGGGAGAGTCAAATAATACATCTAATGTTCCATATTGGCATATGAATGCCTTTTTCTTTCAGGTCTGTTTCTTAAAGCTAACTTAGTAGATTAAAAACAAACAAAAAAATAAGGCAGTACTGCCTTGGAGAGAGAGCATCAGTCATGAAATTTGAAAAGAACTTGGGTAGCGGTGAAAGCAATTTCTCTATATCATCTTCTGAATAAAAGAAGACATTCATGGAATTCTTAGATGTTTTGTGTCTTCTGCTCTGCAAAATCATTGTGAAATGTGAAGTCTGGCAAGAATGATATTAAAAAACAACAACAAAAAACAGCTGCTGAATTTGCCCAACTTGTGCAGCTGTTGCTTGATGTCTGGTACTGTGAGAGCACCTTTCTGGCAGGTTCTCAGGCTCCACTCGGAGGTCAGAACAGGATTAGGACAGGAACCATTTTGCCTATACTGACAGCTGCACTATTCAGTCAGTGGGGTCTGACATCAGCTTTGGAACTTCAGAAGAATTTACAATTGGTGCACAATCAAAAACGTTTATATCTCTAGCCAGAAGTCAGACATACTGAAAAGATAGATATGAGAATATGGTGCGTTGTGGTTTTTTAAAAGCACAACAAATAATCTTTCCTTCGCCCGTCAGTTGTATGATGACCAGCACTGGGTGAAATCCCCAAACATCTCTGACTTCTCCCCAGCTATAACATGACTAAGTGGCTGGAGGAGCAGAGAGGAAACGCATGTTTCCTCTGCAGCAACAGGGAGTGATGGGAGCGGTGAACCAAGAAATTGGTTCAGGGTGTAGATATTCTTGTTTGGTATAATTATTTGTTGATAGTTGTAAGACACCACTGAATGTCCCCCCCCCCCCCGACTTTTTCCCAGGCCACGTCCCTCCTCAGCCCTGCTCTGAGCCCTCCCCAAGAGCCACTGCCTGGCTAGAATGTGTCTTTGAAATTGGATAGTGCATCTTGCTTGTCTGGATAGAGAAGTGTGTGTATGTGTTTGTGTTTGTGTGTAGAAACCTCTGACTTTTGCGTGGCTGGAATGTCTCAACCATAATACAGTCATTCCTCTTGTTACGTTTGCTTCATGGTACATTTTTTCAGGTTGCGTCCCACGGCGACCCAGAAGTACCGGAAAGGGTTACTTCCGGGTTTCGCTACTCGCGCATGCACAGACGCACAAAATGACATCATGCGCAGAAGCGGTGAATTGCGACCCGCCCATGCGCAGACGCGGGTTACGTTCCTTTCAGGTTGCGAACGGGGCTCCGGAACGGATCCCATTCACAACCAGAAGTACCACTGTATAGAATTAAGATTATAATACTACTATAGCACTAACAGTTCAACAATTAATTTTATTTAAGAGAGCATAACACTTATCAAAAAGCCACTTCATATCCCACAGTGGCCACACACAACTTTTATAACGGGACGCAAAAGGTCAGAAACCCCTTAACAGTTTTTCTGGCAGCTGTTTCCTTAAGAAGGCGACAAGGTGGGTAAGTGACAAACACAGTCTCTCTCCCCACCCCACCCCTCAGTGTTCCACCATCAGCTGTCATATGAAGACTTGTGGGGAAGAATAGGTTCATTGAATCATAGAACTGTAGAGTTTGAAGGGGTCCTGAGGGTCAGCTAGTCCAACCCCCTGCAGTGCAGGAAAGTCATAAATGAGTTTTCCCAAAGATAAGTAGAATAAACCACATTTTACAGTACTCTGTGGTTCAGTCATACATATGTCACAGTCCTATTTCAGTGGGTCCCATGTGGTTACTCATGAAACGTGAAAATTGTATTCTTCCCTCCACTTTGTAGAAAGAGAATAAAGTTTGCATTTGGGACTTCCGGGGTGGCGCCATCGGCAATGGTGGATTCCCTCTGAACTGGAGGGACCAGCTCCACAGGAATCGGGTCTTTTCCGCTATGGCGAAGCGGGGACCCATTCAAAAATCACAGGCGGATGAAGCCTGTGACCATGGGACTCGGCGGGCACCTTTAGCGCCCCCCCCAACCCGCAAAGGAACCCACTAACGGGCTCCGGAGCGAAGAGGGGGAGTGGCGCGGTGCTGAGAGTCAACTGCTTCTTCCGTGGAGCGAAGCCGCACAGCCGTTGCCGGAGAGCGCTGCCTTTTCCTGGGACAATTTGGCTTTTAAAACAACCACCCGTGAGTACTTAAGTTTCGGACAATTGGACTCTAAATAAGGATTTGCGAGCAGAAAGGAAAACTGGACTTAAAAGTTTAATTTAATTTGGCACTGAAACGGGAAGGTCTAAACAGGAAGTCAGCCTTCCGTTTCTTTGTAGATAGATTAAAGCAAAGACACAGCAAACTAAAGTTCTGAAAATCGCTTCTAAAGGATTAACTTTCATCATTTAAAATTGTGGAACCCCTTCGGAAGCAGGAGAAGAGGGGGGATTTTTTCTGGACTGTTTAAACCTGCAGAAGTGAGTGTAAAGTAAAGTAACTTTCCACCGTCTTGATCCTGCAGCGGGGTGTCAGGACTGACGTTCTTTGAAGCTCATTGACCAGACACAAACGTTTTTGACAGATAGCTAAAGGAAGAGATACATAGTGATTCCATTGTTCCCCTTCACATTTTAAAGGAACAAATATTGACAAAATATCTGAAAATGGAAACTTTGTTGTTAGATTTGTTTTTAAAAGAAAAGAACAAGCATAAGTTTTTCCCCTAGAGGGAGCCTGTGAAACTGTAACCAATTTTGAATTGGGAAGCTCGCAGCTGTTACAGATTACGATCGTGGGAATAGACTCCTGACCTTGCAGGACAATGTATTCAGAAGCTCTGTTGAGTGCTTTCTGTAAAACAAGTGCCCTACTGGAACAGCTACATGAGAAGACGGATTTTATGACTGATGCGATTAGAAATTTTGGACAGGCAGTGGGATATTATATAGAGCCCACCCAGGAATTAGATCAGGGTGCCCTGACAGAACAGATGAGGAAGAGGATGTTGCTGAATCTTGGGCGCCAGGGATGGAGGGAGCTGCGGCCCAGCAGGAACATGAATTCTTGGATTTGACAAATGAACTTGGAAAAAGCCAGATTTGGAAAGATAAAGTTTGGTTTGGTTTGGAAATGGGGGGTTGGATAGACCCCCCTATGCAGGGAGGTTTGGACTTTTCGAGTCTGGCAATGGGCCATCAGATGTTTGGGGTTGTGGGGCTCTCAATTTTGGAGGGTCTTTGAAACATGTTCTTAAATACCACATGGAGCTTAGTGGGGACTATGGAAAAGGGGCTGATTTGTCGAGAAGGGTCAAAAGCATTGTCAAGCTGGAGTTCCCAAGAGTGAAAGAAGTAGGAGATAAAGGAAAATATAGCTATAAATATGAAGAAGAGCTGCGGAAGGGACATGGAAGAGACTTAAGGGCCTCGGACATAAGGTTACCAGGTTAATGCGCTAGATTGATGGGATAGAAAGGACTGACAAAACCTGAGTCCAGGAGGAAGAGACGCTGGATGAAGATTGGATTGTTATTTCTTTTAGTATGATTGTTTTATAAAATTGATGAATGTTAGAAAAATGTTGGAACGAAATTATTTGGCTTTAGCAAAAATGTTTAAAGAATTATGTAAGAATATTATGGTTATGAGAAATTGGTAAAAATAAGATTTAAGTTTTAAGTTTTAAGGTTTTCATAGTAAGATAAGATTAAAATAGATTAAGGTAAAGCAATGACAGAATATTATGAAATATGGAAAGGATTTGCTGTGACAATTAATAATCAGGATACAAAAAAAGGGAGGAGGAGGAGGTCAAAGAAAGAAGGTAATGACTGTTAAAGATATGAGAATATTGGATTTGTTTTTAAATATTTGTGGTATATTTTTGTTTTTTAATTGTGTCGTGTTATTTTTTGATTTTGATTTTTATTAATCTGTATTGTTTGCCTGTGGTTTGTCTTTTCTTTGTCTTTTCTTTCTTTTTTTCTTTTTTGTTCTCTTTTGTAATTTTAAAATTTTCAATAAATATCATTAAAAAAAAAAGAGAGAATAAAGTTTGCATTTGTTTGCTTAGTCTTTGTTGGATGAAAGCTTCCAATCCGGGTGTTTGATCTGGTCATCAGCTGCCAATATGTGGAAGGCCTTGTCTGTGCAAAACTTCCTGTCAAATTCTCAAGTAACATAAGGTTCTGAATGAAAAAGAAGAGGGATTAGTGAAAAGCCTAAAAATACTGTGTGTAACATAAAGCCAGGCTGTCAACAGTAAATGACCAACGCCTTCCCCTAAGCCACTTCAGACTTTGTTACTTCATTCAGCATTTTCTTCAAAATTATGCAGGGAACATTTTCTTTAAAGTGGGGAGTGCAAAGAAAGGCCAGAAGCAGAATGGGATATTTAATATGCAGTTGTACTAGTCTTTTCCATGTGATAATACCAGCCATTGTTCAGATCAGGCTCCAGTGACAAAGTGCATTACACTTTTGAGCCTCTTGTAGTTTTTAATATAAACTTTCTGGGATAAGGAGTGCTTGAAAAGTTAATAGCAAGGCATGAGAGGATCTTGGTATTGAGCAAAATGTCCTTTCTAATGGAAGAGGAAGGCCTACATTTCATAAAATCTCTTGTACCCAAAACAAGTTGTTCAGCAACAATGTGATGGATGTTTCTTCCATATAGGCAGAGAGGCTTCAGAGTACATGTTAGAAGTCTTCTATTCTTCTTATTTCTTTTGTCCCTGCATTTCACTTCAATGCTCACTTAAAAATGTGGAAATTTCTATTTTCTTATAAATATGTTATCTTTCTGTGGTATGGTTATAATTAAAATCTTAGAAGTAAAGTGCTTGGAATTTAAAAAGATACATTTCTGCTGCTGTTTCTTTCACATTTACTGGAGTTGACGGGAGGGTGTTCCACATGGTGCATGCGACTACAGAGAAGGCCCTCTTCTTGGCTCCTTGTAACTTCATTTTTCACATTGAGGGAACTGCCAGAGGGCCCTTGGAAGTGGACCTCAGTGTCTGGGCTGAACAATGGGGATGGAGACACTCCTTCAGGTATACAGGGCGGAGGCCGTAAAGGGCTGTAAAAGTCAGCACCAACATTTTAAATTGTGCTTGGAAATGTATTGGGAGCCAGTGAAGATCCTTTAGGACTGGTGTTATATGGTCCCAGTGGCCACTCCCAGTCACCAGTCTAGCTGCAGCATTCTGGATTAGTTGTAGTTTCTGAGTCATCTTCAAAGGTAGCCCCACGTAGAGTGCATTGCAATCGTCGAAGCGGGAGATAACCAGGGCATGTACTACTCTGGCGAAACAGTGTGCAGGCAGATCGGGTCCCAGCCAGAATCCCAGATGGAGCTGGTAGATAGCTGTCCTGGACACAAAGTTAACCTGCACCTCCATGGACAGCTGTGAGTTCAAATTGATCCAAAAGTTGCATGCCTGATCTCTTAATGACACAGTTACCCCATTCAAGACCAGGGAGCCCACCCCGACCTGCCTACCCTGCCCCTACAAACAGTACTTCTGTCTCGTCAGGATTCAACCTGAACCCGTTGATTATATAAAGCAAATTTGCCACAAGTTGTATCAGAAATAGCTGATATATGTATTAAGCACCACTGGAATTCTTTGTTATGTATTGAGAGGTAAACAAAGAACCAAAGAAAAGAGAATGATTAAATATGATCCGAGAGCAATTAAAGATAGTAAAATGAACAGCCTTGAAAAAATGGGCAGTGGAATGGCAAAAGCTGATGTAAAGTTGTAAGCTAAGTATTGAATACTAAATTGTTTTTATATCTGAACTGGATTTGGAATTTATTAGATGGAAAATTTTGAAAATTATTGTTTGGTTCCATGTTGATATGCCCTTGGTGTTTGTATATTTTTTTATACTAATATTTTAGTAACTTCACAATTAAATGCTATTCAAATTATGATCTTAATAAACAATGTATTTTAAAAGAAAGTAATTCTCATAAACTGCAGTCAATATCTGCTTTCCTGTTTAGGTTTCCAAATCAGGCACCTCCTGTCTCAGAGAGCCAACTGTTAACATTATTTAGATGTCTCAAAGTGTTTAACGAGGGATTGGATGGCCCAGTACATCAGTGGATAGAATCACTTTATACGCACTGCTTTCCCCCTTTTGTCTGAGTGTGAGAAAACTTTCAGAATAATTCTTTACCCCAAGGGTATTTCTAGATTGCTGGTACTGCCAATACTTTCCTCAATCTTTTGTTGAACAGTAAAGCGGCTCTGTTCTTTTTATTGAGAAGTGTGCTAGAATTTCACCTGCCACTTAAATGCAGATAAATGCTTTTGTTTAGAAAAGTTTGTTTGAAAAAGTGGTTGAAAGTGAAATGAATTATCTCTGAGGTGTTTGGTGTGTACACACCCACACCCACACACACAGAGGCAACTTGATATTGTGGGAAAGCTTCAAGCACCTTCCGAGATGGCAAATAAAAAGAGAGATACTGAGGTTCAATTAATCTTGCTCACACTCAGGTATATGATTTGTGTAGTGTGTCTTAATGTACTCTGCTGTGAAATGGCTGATAACCCTCACCAGCTGAAGGTGGGCTTTTTTCTTGTTCTTGGCAGTGTGATTCTCACCCGTAGAAATCTGTGAACAATCTGGAGTGTTCTTAAATGCTGTCACATGGAAGAGGGAGCATGCTTGTTTTCTCCCGCTCAGGAGGGTAGAACTTGAACCAATGGCTTCAAGTTACAAGAGATCAGCTGTTTGAAAAGGCATGACTTGGTTGTCTTTTTAATTCGTTTTTTAAAAAAATGAATTCATATAACATTTTCAGGCCACAAGGCCTGCTTAATTTTTTTTAAAAGAAGGGACAGGATCTTGAAATTTAGTCTTCCTTGGACCTAGTTCTCACTGATGTTGTAGACTTGTGTCTATGCTGCATCACCTAAAAATTACAGATGGGACTTAATAATAGAATTGTAGAGTTGGAAGGGACCACAAGGGTCATTTGGCCCAACCCCCTGCAATGCAGGAATCTTTTTGCCCAGCGTGGGGCTCAAACCCATAACCCTGAGATTAAGAGTCTCATGCTTTACCGGCTGAACTATTATATTAAACTTTGGGACATTCCATCATGCAACAGGAGCAGGTAGCAACAGGAGGAGTTTGGAATGTTTCACTTCTATTTTTGCTTAATCACAGTTTTATCATGCTGTCCAAATCAACAAACTGCAGTTCATGTTGATTATGGTTTGGTTTGTGATAAGCCAGTTCAAAAGCCAGGTTTAGCATGTTGTCCACTACATACCCTGTATATAGAAAACTTGATGTCATAGAAGGAAGGGTTTAAGATCCAGGAGGAAAGTAGAAGATCATTTCATCATGTGAACCAAGTGGGACAGCCCAGATACTGGTTTACCAACTCATTGAGAAATAGATCTTAATCGCAGTACAGTTCTCTAAACTTTGACTCTTCCATTTCTACAAACTTCTTCTTCTTCTTCTTCTTCTTATTATTATTATTATTATTATTAAGTTGTTGGCTCCCACCAAGTCACAGTGACTTCCACTGCCACAACAGGACTTCCTCTCCCCTCAAACCTGCTCTCTCAGAATAGGGAGGGCTGCAGGGGGTAGCATAGTGAGAGAGAAGGGAAGTCCCATTGCACAGGTAGTAGTAGTAATTCTACTACTACTACTACTACTATATTTGTAGCCCGTCCATCTGACTGGGTTGCCCCGAGATAAAAGGCCTTGTGCTAATTTATTTATTTTTAAATATTTTATTAAGGATTTTCTTGTTTTACAGAAGTAAGTGTAATGCCTCGTATTTTTTTTCCCTGTGTAACATTTTTACAAATCCGTTTCATTTGTTGAGGCATTAGGGGGAGAAGAAAAAAAGGAAAAAAGAAAGGGAGGTGGAGAGAGGGAAGATGGATGGGGGTGGGGTCAGGTGGCGGTGTTTCTATTATGTTTAATGTATGTAGAGTTTGGTGTCAGCGTTGCTTGTGTTGTTCACTTGTGTTCCTTTGGTGGTGAGAGAGGTTGGGGTTGGCCTAGGGTGTGATTGTTTGCTTGTGATTGGCTGTGGTGATCTTTGTTTTCGTGTGTGAGTGAGGTGGGTGGGTGTTTTGGATCAGGTTAGCCATATTGATTTGTATGCTGTTGGTGGATTATTGTCATTGTCCTGTTGGGCTGTGTATGTGATAAAGGGAGCCATACCGGGGTGAAGGCGTCTTCTTCTGTTTGTCCCCGTGTCAGTTTCAGTTTATTAGTTAATTTTTCTAGTAGGGCTGTTTCCCATACTATTTGGTACCATTGGTCCATGTTTACTCCTGACAGGTCTCTCCAGTGTCTGGTTATGGTGTTTCTGGCTGCTGAAAGTAGGTGGGTTATGAGTTCTTTGTGGTGTAAATGGGCATTGTTGTCTTGGAAGATGTTTAGTAGGGCCAATTCTGGGGTGATGTCTATTACTTGCTTAGTTATTTTACATACTTCTTGTATGGCTGTTGTCCAGAATAGTTGGATTTTGGGACACTCCCACCACATGTGGAGGTATGTGCCTGTGGAGGTGCACCCTCTCCAGCATTTTGGTGAGGTTCCTGGGTGTATTAGCGCTAGTTTCCTTGGTGTTAGGTACCACCTGTAGGTGAGTTTCAGTGTGAGTTCTTTTCTTTTCGTTGATATGGATTTAAAGGGGGTTTAGACCACATTCTGGTCCATTGCGTGGGGTTAATCTCATAGCCTATGTCATTCTCCCGGTGTTTTTTGCTGGCATCTAGGGATTTGCGGGATTTTGGAGTAGTATTTTGTATATTGCGGATACCGTCCCTTTACCGTTTCCCTTTGTTGTTAGGAGGAGGTTTTCGAAGGTTGTCAGGGGCCTAGTTGCTGCTGATTTTACTGTTGGGTTCTTTAAGAGGGCATGTAGTTGGTGTTGTGTTAACCAGGGCATTTGGGTGTCTTCTAGTTTGTCTTGTATTTCTTGTGTTGACAGTTATTTTTATAAAAGTCTATTAGGCGATATAAGCCTTTGGTTTGCCAGGTTTTTATCTGGAGGTTTTGTGCTGCATGGTGGAATAATGGGTGGTACGCCAGGGGGATTAGTGGGGATGGGGTTGGGGATAGTTTGCCCATTTGTGTTTTCCATGCTTTGAGCATGGTCTGTGTGTACCTGTTAAGTGTTGTGGGAATTTTCTTTAGTTTGTTTGGGAGGAGTGGGTATGTTGTGGTGCAGGTATTTTCAATTGTGTCCCTCTCTAGGTGTACCCATTGTTTTGTCTCATCTTCTAGTATATATGGGATTATATGGCGTATTTGGTTGGCAGGCCTTGTGCTAATTAATGGATGACTTTGTTAGGTATAACCATTCATTTATTTTTATTTATTTGTTTTATGGGTCAACTTTTTATGAATTTCAAGGCGACTTACAGCTATGCAATAAATCATGAAAAGTAGATTTTAAAACAATGCAACTTCTCCCACAGATAAGTTTAAAAACAATGCAAATAAACAACCAGGGCAGAGACCTAAATCCGCCCCCCTCAAGCTTTGAAAAGCTTGTTGACATAAGGATGTTTTTAGTTATTTCTGGAAACGACAAATAGTGGTATCTGTCAGATTTCAACAGGGATGCTGTTCCACGATACAGGGTCAGCTACACTGAAAAGGCTTGTTCCAAGTTGCTATGAAGGGGACTTCTGATATTTTTTGGTTGCTTATTTTTAAAAATGGCATGTAATAATAACAATAATAATTTATACCCCGCCCATCTGGCTGGGTTTCCATCTGGCTGTGTTGTACATATGTTATGTGTCAGGGAACTGCCATCGGAGCTGGAGGCGGAGGGAAGGCTCCAGAGGGATGGCGGAGAGGGTTCCAGTAGGGAGAGAGGCAGCCCGTCCGCTGGGGAAGGAAATCAGCGTAACACCAGTAGAGAAGGGGGGCAGATGGGGGAATCGGAGAGGAGGCTCCAAGACTCCTCGCCGGAGACCAGCGGAGAGAGTACGGGTACTCCGCTGCCCACACCCTCCCTGCGCAGAAGACTTCCGCGCAGGGAGAGTAGGAGGAGACTTGGCGTCAAGGAACTTTTGTGCTGGAAGAAGTTTAAGAAACACCCACTGACGGATTCTGCCAGCGACTGAGACAGTCACGATGCTGGAGGCTGTTCAGTCAGAAAGGGTTTAACCAGGTAACCTAGCCAGGAGTGGCGGCAACTTACGCACGAGCAACCCCTAAACCCATTACATTATGCATATGTTATGCATCTGTACTACACAACTACAGAAGGCCTGTTTATATTTCATTTTAGCATCAGCTACTTCCTCCTATTTTAATAGGGTACTTTGCTGACTTTCTTTTGGTCAGAAAGGATAAATATAGCATAGTAATTTATTTTGTTTTTCATAATAAGAGCAGAATTAGTTAAAGCTGCTGTGATTGTTTCACCAATACATAGGCTTATTTATAATTTCTAGTTGGTATTTTAAACTTCTTACGATCAAATCAGTAAACTTAATTTGAATTTATTATATTTTCTCAGAAATGTATACTACTGAAAAAATATAGGTTCATTATGCTCTTAGTAGTATCTTCATAGATTTATTTTCTACCGTCCTGCCAAAGTAGCATAGTGCAGCAAACAACAAATAATAAAACAATACAATTGAAAATAAAATAGAAACACATTTAAAAACATCTTCACAACATTATAAAACAGTAACATACCTTCATAGCTAATACTTTCAGCACTGCCAGAAACAGTATGTTTTAAGTCACTAAATGACTCACTGAACAGGAAGGTTTTCCATTCCTCCTGAATATTAACAGGGGAGACAGACACACTTCACCAGGGAAGACATTCTACAAATGGGGATTGGCTACTGAGAAGGCCCTGACCAAGCAACACCTGGTGGCACTGCTACCTACAGGGCCTCTCCTGTCAGTCATAGGACCCAAGATGGTTGGTATAAGGAAGGAGGCCTTTAGATACTTTCATTTCGTTTAAATGAGGTTATAAGCCTGAAAATGTCCGACTGAAGTGCAGCACATTTTTAAAAGTGTGGTTTGTTTGAATGCCCAGACCCAGCCAAGCCCATGGTTTGCTTCCTGGCAACAAATTACAATGTGAGGGCAAGGCTTGTTTTATTTAGATTTGGTGTTTGGTTGAAATGGAACAGCCTGGCATAGCTTTGGTTAGTTCGGCCATCCATCCTTCCCAAGCTACAGAGCCAGTAGCAACTGGAGAACAAATCAAGGTTTGGAGAAACAAACCATGGCATGTTTGCTCATCTGTGAGACAACCTGTGGTTTGTTAAACAAGCCATGGCTTAGTCAAGTGTGAATGCAGCTGATATTAATTTGCAGCCATACTCAGGAAAACAAATGCTTTCCATCACAGAAAAACATAGGTATGCAGAAAATTTTACACCCAAACATCTGCCTAAACACACAGCATTTTCCTTGGAAGGTGGTAGCTCTGATGGTCCTCCTTACAAAGTTGTAGCAACACAACTAAGAGAACACATCTTGATTTGCAGTACTGAATTGTTTCATGCAGATGATTCCCGGGGTGAGAGATGTTACCAAGCAGGGGACTTCGATGAACTGAGACTGTGAAGAAGTCTACCTGCCTCCTTAATGCCCCCTTTTGTTGCCCCTTATGTGGAATGATCTCTTTGTTAGATGGAGCAAGCTGAATCACCACTGCCTGGGACCTCAACAAGCTATGCTTGAGAGAAACAAGGCAAAGAGCAAAAACTCTGATCATGGCCTATAGGTGGTGCTATAATAAATAGAATATGCCGTAATCCTATCACACTGTCCACTTATTTTGGGACACCTTTATGTTTGACTCAAACCAAGTATTCTTTATTACTAACTCTGCCCATTATTAATTGCATCCATGTAAAATTTAAATTAATTTACTATGGTGATCATAAAACCCCCCGTTTTTGCACTGACTGCTATACTTACCCTGATGTACCATTACTACTACTACTAATAAATTATTTATACCCTGCCCATCTGGCTGGGTTTCCCCAGCCACTCTGGGCGGCTTCCAACAAAGTAAATAAAAAATACAATACAACACAATCAACCATTATTTACCCACTTACATTCTAGAGTGTGCTGCATAATTGTGGCCCGTAGCCAAGTTCTGTAATACAGCCACATATTCCTCAGTGTTAAGCACACACACTTGAAGGACTTCACAGTGGGAACTTATGAACCTGTGACACCTATTTAATGAGTTGAAAAGACAGATTTGGTATCAGACTAAGACCCACAGAAGATCTGCTGCACTATAGGTTTATTGGAGAAGATGATGATAGAAAACCCCTTGTGGTGGCCAACAGTTCCCAGATGAAATTGCTCAGACACATCCTAAATAACATACAGTTTAAATAACATACAGAATAATGGTTTATTCAAACAGTATGTCTACAGGGATCAATCATTTTTTTCAAAAAGGGAATATATGAAAAGTAGTAGGGGGGCTATTTTAGTTGCACATAACAAAAAAATAATAATACAAGGCCCAGATACAGTAAGTTGAAAAAATGAAAATCCTTATTGTTATTATTGACATTTTGTGCAGCATCAAGAAGATCAGAAGTATTTTTTTTAACTTCAAAACATAGTTTTGTCCTGTTTGAAAGAAATACTGTGAATACAAGTTACATTTAGGGTATGCATTGCATCCATACTTCATATATGCATGATCCCGATTTTTTTTTTGGGGGGGGTTAAGTTAATTAAAATAGACTTTAATGTGGTACACATGATAGCTTTTTTCCCCTTCTCATTTTAATGTTTCCTCATCTTTAATACCTATTACTATAAATTTCAACTGCCATATTATTGTTTGGTGCAAGGTGATCTTAGAACTAATAATGCTTAAAAATGTGTATTTATTAATTAACTGGGAGTGTTCAGGAACAATGTCTGATTCTGGCTTCATTTATTAACTGACATAATTTTGCCCAGCCCTTCAGTTGAAGAGACCCACCAAGGCACCTAACAGTAATTCTTAAAACACACGTAAGACCTGTTTGACAGTGGAACAGACTCCCATGGAAGGTTGTGGACTTTCCTTCCTTGGAGACTTATAAGCAGAGGTCAGATGGCCATCTGTCATGGATGCTTTAGCTGAGATTCCTTCATTGCAAGGGGTTGGACCAGATGACTCTCAGGGTGCCTTCCAACTTTTACAGTTCTATAATTCTGTGATAAATAACATACCATTAAACACAGTAAAAACCTCACAAACCATAAAACGAAGAAGTACTTTTAGTTGAATTCCCCATATCTGAAGATTATGCCTCCATGTAAATAATTTTTAAAATGTAGGGTTTTGAAGTTTTTTATGCTGCAGCTCATTGTGTGCAAATATGTGTTTGTGAGTCTCTTGTTAAAATCATGATGAATTACAACATTTCCCCCATTATAACAGTTTGAAAAACTGGTGGCTATCGCCATGATTTTCTGTAGTACAATATACATTATCCTTAGGATTTACAGTAATCTCATATTAGTTTTATTCTGTGATTAAACTGCAACCATTATACCTGGCATTAATGCTACTCAGTGATGAATTCTGCTTCTACAGCAGTTGCTTATTCTAAAAAGAAATGCAAATCAGTGTTAGTGATAGAAGATAAACTTCATGAAACTCAATTAATTTAGACAATGAAACATGCGTTTGGATATAAATAATAAAATACATTTGAGGATATGGGAAGAGAATGTAGGAGTGCCTCCTAACCAAGCAATCACATGGGCATTGTTTGTAAGGGTTTTTATTTAAAGCTGGGTTTGTATAGTTCTGAGCACACAGATGTTCCTCTTGGCGTTCTTACAGTATTAGCTAGTATAGAGATTGTAGTAGCATAGAATGTGAGTCTCTTTGCTGAAGACAAAGTGCTGCCTGTGGTGGGAACTGCTGCAGAGATGGGAATGTAGCGTAATGTATTGTTTTAGTTTTCTGACTTTCCCCCCACTCCAGTGGAGACTGTACATTTAAAGTAGTTTTGTGAGCAGTGGATTGTTTCATCCAAGCCTGGCTAATAACATACTCCTCCAGCAGACAGTCTTACGAGGTATGCTTCACATAGTTAGCATAGTCATGTGGCTTGCTTCAATTCTAGGTATCAATGCCGTTTCTGTGCGTTTCAAGATTTAACAACATGAATTACAGGAGTTTTGACCCTAGAGGTGGAATAGAATCTCTTCTTGAAAAATAATAAAAAAGAGCCACACAATAAACATCTATTCTTTGTAACTGTATAGGCTACCACTTCCCAGAGGCTTGGAGTAAGTATCCACAAAATTAGAAAAGGACAAAAGATCTTGGGGGTACACCCAGTAGTGCTTGAGTCAACAGCAGTTTACATAACAAATCTTTCTCTGTTCCTCTGAAGTTACCTGTACCCTCTCCAGAAAGTTGGATAGAGGACCTACCAGACAACTGTGGGTTTTGTTTTGCAGGGCTGTAGTGGAAGGAGAAACTAGGAGCTTTGTTTGTGTGGTGCAAGATTCCTCCCACCTCGCATGAGGCCCTGCAAAATGCAGCTCACAATGTTCACTAGGTCTTCAGGCCCTTGGGAAAGCTTTTCAGGGGGGTGGGGGTGAGAAGGGCAAGATTGCTTGCATGAGCTGCCTTCTGCACATGCAACATTGGATGTAACCACGAATCCCAATTTTAAATCCAATGTAAGAAAGCTTAAAACCTCAAACTTTGAAACTGCTAACCTGCTGGATTCACCATTGTCGCTGAAAAAGTTGAAATAGAAAGGACTTAACAGTGTTTAGGAGTGTGTGTGGCAGAAATGCATCTTGCTTAATACAGTACAGGAATGTGCAGTCTTATGTATTTGGACCATAACAATTTTTGGGTTGTGTGGGTCAAAAATAGCTCTTGATTTGAACCTAGAAGACAAGATAAATAGGGAACCAATGTAAATGTTGACAGACTATTGTTGTATGCTCCTGGTAGCCCAGCTTCCTGTATCAGGAAAGTAGTCTGTTGTAACCTGAGCCTCTGGGAGCACCAACATAGCTCTGAACTTACATGACCAAAGGAAGCTGAGCCATATCATTGGTGGGAGTCCCTATCATCACTATGCTCCCTTGTGTGAGACCTGATTCTGTTGAAATTCAGGTGTGAGAGATGCTGAGGAACAAACCCATTCATTTGCTGAAATTTCAGCTTAACAGCAGCCTTGAACTACACTGCAGAATACAGACTCCTCTTGTCAGTTCTGTACCTCAGATAGCATGTCATTCTTTTTCTTTTCAAGGTGCAAACCACTGCAGTAATCATTACGCTCCCTCAGAATGGGACTTTTAAGAACAGACAATCCACGGACTTGGCTAATGAAATACAGTAGCTAGTTACATTAAAAAAAAGAAAACTGCATGAAATTTGAAAACATTTGTAAAACGGCAGCTTGATGTCTTGTTGCCTTACATTCTCATTGTGAAGTTGTGCTTTATTTATTATTCTCAAGGTACTTACAATAAGATATACAATAAAACAACTAAAAATAGGTTTAAAAACAGTTTGAATGAACACACAAAGCAACTTGCATTACTTTTCATCCAACTGAAATATTATTACATTCAGAGTGGTAACAAATAAAATGTTTCCCACATTATTATTGTTAAATAGTAATGAGAGGCAAAACATACCCTTGGATTCAGTGAAATATTTTCAGGTTTCACAGATCTTACACTGGGAAAGGTTTGCATATTGTTACATATCTGCTTGCACACACTGGCTGCTATGGGGAGAATTATGGTTCAGCCCATTATTTTTTAGCATTTTGCAACTTCATCCTCTAGAACCAGAAGATAATATGGGGTACAGAAAGATGTCTTGATGTAAGCTGGCTATTGTGACATTTAAGGGCTCTTGGCATGCATGCTTGCTTGCTTGCTTGCTTCTGTCTTTTTGCTATTCAAGCCCTGATGCTTGACAAGAGGCACCCGAAAAGTATGTAAACCTTATGGTACTGGAAACATATGGCTGGGAGAGCAAGGAAGAGTTATTTTGATGTTATGCATAGATGTGCAGGTACTTCAGACAGTCTGAAGGAAAGAGACGGTTATCTCCTGTCACTGTCCTTTTGAGATGGCGTTTCATCTCAAATTAGGTGATAAATTCTATAATACTGCCTTGAAAGGTGACTGGCATTAACTATTTTTTATGACATAATCACATGCGATACAAGTTTTGCGATGACAGGAGTTACTTTTCCTGAGTTTCAGTTGTCAAATTCTTCTGCGTTTTGCCACAATGAAAAGGTTACAGATTTCATCTTTGATTTGAAAGGAAATGTATATAAGTCCCACAGGGAGGCAGATATGCCTTAAAAAAGAAGAGAAAGGTGATTCCCCACCCCCATCCCCTGGAAAAAAATCTCTCTAGATGCAACATTCTACAGCACACAAGTTTTTCAATGGGCAGCAGCAACAGTATACAGATTATTGTTGAAAAACTTTTTATTAAAAGAGAGTTTGCAGCCTAGAATGCTTTATTTATGTATTTTTAAAATAAATTTATTTTTATTGATATTAGTCATACTCTCAGAACAATTGAAATCAATTGTCTTAGGAACATTGATTTTAGTGGATCTACTCTTGAGTATGATTTTGTTTGCTATCACCCTATGCCAGGGAAGGAAAACCTCTGGTCCGTGGGCAAAATGTTCAACCAGCCACCCCACTACCTGTCATCATAAGACATCACGTGTGAAACAGGTTAAAGTTGCAGCAGCAGGTGTGCATTCCTGATTGTTTCTTCACATCAGGGCTTACATTCAGTGCTATTTAAATCTGGTGCTGAGTCTAAGCACTGCTAAGATTGGTTCCTCTCAGGAGCTCCTGGCTGAAGTCAATCCCTACTGAAAGCTTTTTAAATATAGCACCCAATGCAGGCTCCTCTGCTTTCTGGTGGGCACAGATTCACCTGATGCCAAATGGTATCAAGTTAGTGTGGATCTGCCAACGTGTCAAAAGTGGCCTGCTGCAGAAGCCATGCAGATTTTTCTTTCATACGGCTTGTTCTTTTATACAGTTAATTCTTTTAGTTTTAATGTTTTCAACAGTGTGCTTGTTTTATAGCACTTAGATTAGCAAATCTGTAATTTTCTGAATCCCACATGGGCCTTTCTTTTTTAAATGGTATTATTTTGTCCACCTTCCAGTACTTTGGGAAGGAGATTGGCTTTGTGTACATTTGAATGAAAATGACGTGTATAATGCAAACTCACCCCCTTTCTACCATACAAAAAGCTGTTCCTAGAAAATAAACAATTCTGCAATAATAATTATTTATTCTCAGCTGTCCTAAAAATCAGAATATCTCATCACAGGAAATCCGACTGAAGTGTGTTCTGTTGCATGCCTGGCTGTTTATCTGGATTGGGGAGAGAAACCAAAACATCCTGTGATAACACTCATCTTGACTTGTATATTGAATTTTCCTGAACCAGTATGGCACTCTCCAGATATTGGGAAATCATCACCGACCATTAGCCATGCGGGATGGAGCTGCTCAACAGTATAGCCCACAATGTGTAGTGAGCAATACATAGGCTACCCCTACACTGGAGACTCCATTGTGGCCTGTTTATGACAGTTGTTTTAGGTTTTGAATACTACGTTATAAATTCAACTGTACTGTATAACTGTATTGGAAGCCCTGATGATCAGCAAAACAAAGCAAAAATTTTATAGTGGCTTGGCTTGCAACAGTAACTAACAACTAGTTCTTCCAACTAGTTGTAGTAAGAGTTCTCTCACTAATTAGGTCCATTCCTAATTTCAAGGCTATGACAGGTGTTAGTGGGATGAGGTGTCTGTAATAGCCAGGAAGCTCCAGTTATAAAGAAGTACCAGTAAGTTTTTTTTCTAGCATGAGTCCATACCCAAACAGATGATGGGTCTCTTCGCTTCAGTGTGCTTTGCATTCATCATGTCAAAGCCTTAGCACAGAGAATTCCTTCTAAGAAAGCAAAGCAATTTCTAGAGAGAATTGGCACATGCTAAGGAATGCCTATAGGGGGAAATGTAAAAAAGTAAAAATAAAAATCTCCAAGTGAAAAGCTTTCAAATCACCCCCTCATGCAGAATTGCAAAATCAGATTTAATTGCTCTCTTTCTATCCTGTTCAGACAAGCAGGCTCCTTTGGGTGCATAGTAAATGAGAGTCTTCAAGGCAAAAACTAATATTTGTTTGGCTCCGGCTATCGCAAAAAAATTAAGCGAGGGAAAGTGCAACTGGCAGTCAGAACTGAACTTTTCACATGCTATACTTTATTTGCCATTTCAATCTTTTAATGATGAGATTTCTCCTTTCTTGTAAACATAGAGGAACTTGGTGGTGGCAGAACCTAGGATAACAATAGAATGTTTCCAGATATAGCTTGCATTGACTGATCAAAATATCAGGGGTCAGCAAACTTTTTCAGCAGGGGGCCAGTCCACTGTCCCTCAGACCTTGTGGGGGGCTGGACTATATTTGGTGGGGGGAGAACAAATTCTTATACCCCACAAATAACCCAGAGATGCATTTTAAATAAAAGTACACATTCTACTCCTGTAAAAACACACTGATTCCCTGACCATTTGTGGGCCAGATTTATAAGGCGATTGGGCCGGATCTGGCCCTGGGCCTCAGTTTGCCTACCCATGCAATATAGCCTTCAGTTATATGGCTCCTTGTTACTGTTACCAGTTCTACAAGGTGACCAGGAAGGAGACAGTGATGTACTGCAGCAGTCAGGAGAGAGATGCACACACACAAAAGCCAGACTAAGTTAAATGGAAACTCTTGAAATTGGATATTTTCTCCATAGTTCCCCCCTCTCTCAAACCACCATCAAATCACAGATCTCATGTCTCCATTGACTGAACCCTAAAATTATGGCGCTGGTACTTTCTAGTGCTGTCACAACACAAAAACATGAATCGAAAGCATAGGACCCTCATAATTTTTACGAGGGGTCCTCTCAGATTATAGGCCACAGATGTGTTCTGTGATTTCATGTTTGTTTTATTGTCAAACTATATAAAAAACACGAGGCTCCATGAGGATCTGTACCTTGGGTGACAAGCACCACAACAAAATAGCTTTTCATTTGAAGCAGTTTATTGAAGATCACAAAGGATAAGGTAAAGGTAAAGGGACCCTGACCATTAGGGGTCGTGGCGCTCATCTCGCTTTATTGGCTGAGGGAGTCGGCGTACAGCTTCCGGGTCATGTGGCCAGCATGACTAAGCTGCTTTTGGTGAACCAGAGCAGCGCACGGAAACGCCGTTTACCTTCCCGCTGGAGCGGTACCTATTTATCTGCTTGTACTTTGCCGTGCTTTTGAACTGCTAGGTGGGCAGGAGCAGGGACCGAGCAATGGGAGCTCACCCCGTCGCGGGGATTCAAACCGCTGACCTTCTGATCGGCAAGTCCTAGGCTCTGTGGTTTAACCCACAGTGCCACCCGCATCCCTATATCTTACAGTAAATGAAAGAATTCAACACAGTTCATTATTGCCAAATTTAAAATGCCGTATTTGAGAAGATGTAAGTACAGAAAGTGCTGAACATTTTTTCCTTTTTCTCACCAGGAAATATCAGAAGGGATCCAAAGTCCGGCTGAGACTTACTGACCTTGAACTTTCGTCTAGATTCTTGGGAGCCAAAACAGACACAACTTTACTGGAAGCTGAAGCAGTACTCTTGGGACTTGTGGAAAGCAAAGAAAATAGACAAAAATAGCAAATGCTATTTCCCCTCCCAAAAACCCTCAATATAGATTCACTCCTGACTACATTTTAGCAAATCTAGGTAGTTATTTGATTTGTGCAGCACTTTTAGTTTTTTTGTGATGGCTTGGCTAAGCAATAAAGATTTGAATTGAATTAAAATGTTGAAACCATTCTTCCACTTCTGTTGCCTAATTGATGCAAGTAAATATAAATTAAAAAGAAACAATCTTAGCAAATTTGGTTCTGTAATATCTATTTCCCTTCTGTTGTCTCCATACTATTAATTGTTTATATTAATTCTATTTTGTATTCACATTTAATCCAAGAAAGAGGTATATTTCACCGTATCTGATTATATGACAAAACAGCAACACAAATTCATGACAGATGAAATATGAAGTTTTCTGATTAAAGAGTGAACTGTTGAATGTCTTAAACTCTGAAGCTTCCAGAGTGACAACCAACTGGCTACATTCTGAAGGCCAATGCACACTACCACCCCAACTACTACTTGACCTCAAACTTGCTGTTTGCAAATAGCAGTGGGGGTGGAGGGAGGTCAGCAGGAAACTGGTGCAGAAGCACTTTCCAAATCAGCTCATCTTTCCTTCAGAATAAAAGCTGCTAGTGTAAGCACATTTTATTCACAATATTTTAAATGTAATGTGTATTTTGGCCTCCAAGATAAGTCAGGAATTCAGTATATGCCACTTTTAAAAGGAATTATTCAACACTTCCAGTCATTTCAGTGACGTGTGCTAGGTAAGTTCATAATGCATTTGTGTCTCGTATGTTGAATCCCATTATACCTATCTTTCATAGAATTACAACAAGTCTTAACTAGAAGCGTAGCAGAGTACAGTGGAACCTCGGGTTACATACGCTTCAGGTTACAGACTCCGCTAACCCAGAAATAATACCTTGGGTTCAGAACTTTTCTTCAGGATGAGAACAGAAATCGTGTGGCAGCGGCGCGGCAGCAACAGGAGGCCCCATTAGCTAAAGTGGTGCTTCAGGTTAAGAACAGTTTCAGGTTAAGAACGGACCTCCGGAACAAATTAAGTACATAACCAGAGGTACCCTGTATATAAATTATTTCTTCCACCTGTAAGACCAGACTATTGGAAATGTCCTGTGTAGCTACTCTTGATCTTCTCTTCAGTATTTCTGGTAAGTAAAAGAGTAAACTGGATTTAAGTCCAGCCCAGTTATCAAGGGTAATTCTGACTCTAAAATAAGCTACAGCCATAACATATTTCCCACAGCACGTTCTGGGTAATAAGATGCCTTTAAAAATAACATGCTTGGAATGGAGACATGTTTTAGCATATTCTGCATACCAACCAATAATGAGAGGTTGTTTGTCAGATCGGAAATGCTCTAAGCCAAAGACAACTGATCTCTCATGGTGTTATTTATTAGGAGAGCTTCAACATGAATTCCATACGTTACCCTCCGGTTAAAAAACAAAGAGAGATGGGCAATACATTTTCAGGAACCAACAAGTGTCACCAGCAAATATTGGGGGAAGGGAGCAGCAACCAGAAATACTTTTATGTCCCTGCTTCTTTTATATTCCATACACAATATGACATCCGTACTTCTTTGGTATGAGCTTTTGGTATTGCTAGAAATTATCATCCTTCTTGGCTTGTCTGTGAGCTGTTTAGTTAAACACCAAATGCTGGGCCAGCTTCAGCCAGCAAGTACTGCTAGCAGAAGCCCACGCAAGGACTTCTGCTAGCACAACAGGGCTTTTCCTCCCCCTGTGCCCCCCTGAAATTGGCTCAGAATCCCCCCCCCCAGAGTAGTGCATGGGGGAAGGAGGGGGGGTTCCATCTGGCAAGTTGAAATGCTTGTGCTGACAGAATGATTGCCACAGTGTTACACTGAATTCCTCCCCCCAATACTGTAATTTTAGTTAGCTACAATTGTACATTAAATTAAAATTAATTATTTTGGATGTAGGCGAGCTAACCTTGACTCAGATGCAGAACTGCCCAATTAAAGCAGGGTTCCAATGTTTTAATAAAATTAAACGAAACCTTGCTTCACCTCAGCCTTGCACCCAGGTCTGGCAAAATGTTGTATGTTACAGTGTGATTCTTTAGAAATTCTGCAAGTCTAGAATATTATTAACTGGTGAGCGGACCATACTCTACAGCTGCACTGCTTCCCAGACTGTTTCCAGGCCCAAATTAAACTGTTGGCATTAAACTTTAAAACTCTAAGCACTTAGGACCAGGTTACCTGAAAGACCGCCTTCTCCATACTGTAGGTACCTTGGCAAATTTTAATATCTTCTTTAGAGTAGTACTGCCAGACCAAGTGAGGCAGATAACCATTAGGGAAAGGTGCTGTTTTGGTGATAGTCCCCCCATTATGAAACAGCATTGCCAGAGAGATTTGCCTGGAACTATTTTTTATGGCCTTTCTGGTACCAAGTGAACATCCAGGCCTTTAAAATAACTTATGTTTTACGACCAGGTCCTTAAAATCTGTGTTTTGTATGCGTTTTTCATTTTAACAGTTGTCATTTTAATTGTTGTATTGTTTTGTGAGCCACCTCAGAGAACTTACAGTATCACTAGCAAGTCCACAATTGCATCTCATTATTTTACACACCCTTCCCACTTCAAGAACATGGCTATGTCTGTGGTTGCTCATTTATGACTGCTCAGCATCAAATCAGTGGGAAACATATTTCTCCAACAATTATACCCTGCTTAATAAAGTTCTTTGGATTGGGAATATGTAGAGACTCTTCTGACCTGTCAGTCACAATCCAATATGCATTCCCCCCCCCCCCCCCACTATGAGATATTATTGGTTATGCAAATTGAGTTATGAAACTTACCGATACGGCTCTGGGTTAATCAGTGTAACCACATGTTCAAACAGACTTTGCAAAGTACACCCAGAATTCAGGTAGACTACTGTGTCCTGAATGAAGTTGCATAAGACATAACGCCAGTGGCTAAAGCTGTGTTTAAATGAATTGGAGCAAATTTTCATATGTTGTGGTTAGTGAGGTAGGTCGGTTGAGTACTAGGAGCTAGCATAGCCGGACAAAAGTATCCATGGCTTCAGCATCACCAACACACACACACACACACACACACACACACACACACACACAAACACCCTGCCACATTGTTCTGTTTACCATCTAGTCCAGGGGTCAGCAAACTTTTTCAGCAGGGGGCCGGTCCACTGTCCTTCAGACCTTGGGGGCCAGAATATATTTTGAAGGGGGGGAAATGAATGAATTCCTATGCCCCACAAATAACCCAGAGATGCATTTTAAATAAAAGGACACATTCTACTCATGTAAAAACACGTTGATTCCTGGACAGTCCATGGGCCAGATTTAGAAGACGATTGGGCTGGATCTGACCCCCAGGCCTTAGTTTGCCTACCCATGATCTAGCCCGATGAGTTATGTAAAACTTGAAAAAAGGCCATGTATTTTGTGATAAGGAATTACACAGTTATATAGTGCATCGAAGTAATAATATATATTTTTTTTTATTTGTATCCCACCCATTTGACTGGGTTGTCCCAGACACTCGGGGTGGCTTCCAGCCTATATAAAAACATAATAAAACATTGCACAAATAAACTTTCAGTTGGTCTGCACTCTGCAGCCTTCCTGGGTGCCTGCACTTCTTGGAAAACCCACAATGTTCTTGGCTGAGCTACTCTGTGAATACAGAAGGCAGGGATGCTAACTACCTTGTGCCTGTCTGCTGTGGTGGTTTTTAAGTGAGCTCTTCACCTTAAATAAATTAGGGCAGAAAGCTTAAAAAGAAAGAAAGATGGAGGGAGTTCCCTTTAGAAACAAAATGGGCATGCACAGCAGTCTTAGGTGCTTGGTATCCACCTACAACTTCCCACATCAGTTAAAATTCAGGGAAGGCTGCCATGAGGTAACTATCCATAGGGCTTTCAGTGAACAGGAGGCACAGGCAGCTTGGGAGGCTGCAAAAATATTTAACTGGAACAAAAAAACAAGCACACTATCCACAGGCACCTTACAAAGATAAATTCTATGCAATGAACGTATACCAAAATTCTAAAGTGTCCTGTGAAAGGTGGAAAACTGAAAGCCTCTTTTGCAGATGTAGAAAACTTTTGAGTTTTCTAGGCAGAAAGAAACAGCTGCACAAACACAAGATGGAGGACAGGCTTGTACATGTGGAAAAGATCTAGGGGTCTTTGTGGACCGCAAGCTTAACATGAGTCAACCGTGTGATGCAGCAGCAAAAAAAAGCTAATGCTATTATAGGCTGTATTAACAGAAGTATAGTGTCCAAGGGAAGGAATAGTTCTGCCTTGGTCAGACACACCAGGAGTCCTGTGTCTAGTTCTGCGCACCACAATTTAACCAATTTCAACCAGGATAATCAAGGGTCTAGAAACCAAGCCTTACGAGGAACAGTTGAAGGAGTTGGGAATGTTTATGTTGGAAAAGAGAAGACTGAGAGGAAATATGATAGCCATCTTTAAATATCTAAAGGGCGGTCATTTGGAAGATGGAGCAAGCTTGTTTTCTCCTGCTCTGGTGGGTAGGACTCGAACCAATGGCTTCAAGGAGAAAGGAGATTCCGACTAAACATCAGGAAGAACTTTCTGACAGTAAGAGCTGTTCGACAGTGGAACGGACTCCTTCTAGAGGTTGTCGACTCTCCTTCCTTGGAGGTTTTTAAGCAGAAGTTGGCTGGGCATCTGTCATGGATGCTTTAGCCAAGATTCCTGCATTGCAGGGGGTTGGACTAAATGACCCTCGGGACCATCTTTACAAGTCTATGATTCTGAGTAGTTGGGGAACGAGGTTTCAGCACAGTTATTATCAAAGCCCAACTAAACATTACAGCTTCCTAGGTGACCTTGGGCCAGCCATTACTTCTGAGGCTGCTCAGGAGGGTAGCTCTGTAGATGAAATGGGAGAGGGAGAGAAGCAGAGGCATAACTGGGGGGGCGGCAGGGGGCACTGGGCACCACACGTCTCTCCTAAGAGTGACGTGGTGGCTTGGGCACTTGCAGGCTCTGCGCCACCCCTGGTACCTGAGCGGCTAGCTCTGCTGCTGAAGAGCTGCTTGCAGGAATATTTATTACAGTAATGAGACCAGTAGAGAAAAGCCTGCTGGTGTCTTGTGTAGCCCCATGAACCCTGGGTTGGGAGGCGTGCTAGGAGATCAAGATCTGTGTGTGTCCCCCCGTTTTGCCAAACAAAGCAAGCTGCCTGGCTTTGGGGCAAAGCAAGCGTGAGCTGTGAAAGAGCAGCGGCTGCCTGGAATCTCTCTTTGCTGTGCTCTTTGCCCCTTGGGCTGCAGCTTCCCTGCACACGCTGGATCACAGGGGAGCTGAAGTTTCATTTACCGACTGAGCAGCTTTGAAAAAAAAAGCCCCTGTTCCCAATTAGTGTTGCAAGTTGTCCAGATCAATGGCGGGTTAAACTGAGCTGCCCACTCAAGTGGGGGGCGTAGCGTGCAATAAAAGGAGAGGAAAGAGCCGGGTGCGTGGGTGGGGGTGGGGGACGCTTGCATCTCTTTCAAGGGACTGGATTCTTTCAAGCGAGCTGGATTCTTGTGTGAAAAACAACTGCCACAATACTTAAGTTGTAACCTTCTCACCCCTGACGGCATGGGAAAGTGTACTTCTCAGCTGTCAGTGAGGAGAGAGGCCGCTGTAGTCATGAGAAATTTTGATAAAAAATGCAGCTTCAAGCTTGCCCTCCTCTTTTGCACATGTCATCGTGCCTATCAAACGGCTTAATTGGAAAATTAGTCGTGCTTTTCATTTAGAGCCCTGAAAGTTCAAGTGCCAATAATTTCTCAGAAGCCTTTTGTTTTTGTTTTTGTTTTATTTACTAAGAACATATTCATTGAGGGACACTGGAGAAAGACCTACTACAACAGAAAAACCAAATGTCCAGCACCTTTGTTCCTGATCCATCCCTTTTTTGTTGCTAACATAATAAAAAAATCATTTTACACACGTGATTCCTAGGCCCTTTCATTTTTACCATGATGGTTTAAAATGTAGTGATTTATAGGCTACCCAGTGTTCGGGGAACGTGATTAAACGAACATTCTTAAAAGAATGAGTGGAAATATCATATTCTCTGTTACTATGATATTATGGAACAAAAGATTGCTCTTAAAATAGGTGGTGTCTTGGAACCCATTTGTAACCACATTTTAATCCATCACTATTTTTTGCACCTGTGAAAATAAACTTGAAAGTCACAATAGGATTTTTGAGACTAACAGACTCAAAATACATTTTCAAGATATTTCAAACATGAACAGGTTAGGTCTTTTCCCAGAAAAAGTTAATACTTAAAATAATCAGTGACGGACTCACTCGCCACTAACATCCCACCCAACATTTCCAAACCCTTTACTAAGCCCCCTGGCTTAGCACCACACCTGCTTACTGCACATTACTTCTAGGGCTTCCCTAGATCAAGGATCCACAGCTGTTGCTAGCACATTAAGATGTGTGTGCTGCTCCCTGCTGCTCTCGCAGCCCCATTAGGCAAGGGCATGGAACTTCAAACCAGCAAGGAAAAGAGTTTCCGTTGCCACCATCTTGGGGCCCATCTCCCACATGAACCTAGAAGCCTGAGGATTGCTTTGAATGTTACAAATAACACTGGGAGGTGGAGGGATGGGGGAGTGTGTCTACTGTGCAATGTAACACTAAATTATGTAGTCATATAAAACTGTCCTGAATCCATCTGCTGCGTCTGGAGACATGTGATCTGTGCATCGTAAGACCCAAGTCACAACTCTAAAGTGGTAAATTAATGTAAGTTAATCGTAACTGGGTAACTCTGTGTTTTTTGTAATCTTTTAAGTTGTCTGTTGTTGCTTCAGATTTTGGATCCACTTACAGATACGTTAAGCGGTCAAGAAATTAAATAATCCATCAATATAAATATCAGCAGGAATGCGTAAAGTTGTGCTATAAAGGCTGCTTCGTTTGACAAGTTCCTCGAACTGAAGCATCTGCGATTGGCCTTCAATCAGCTCCTTGGATGATCTGCTCTGACTGGGTTGCGTAACAGCAGTACACCTTTCTGGCCATTATGTAGGTGTTGCCACAGCGCATCAAAGATCAAACCAATTGCTGGGGAACATGAGGAAAAATGTGCTGTTGAGCTCATGTCTTCCCACAGGCAACTGGTTGGCCATTGTGAGAAGAGCATGCTGGGCTGGAGCAGGACTCTTCATTTGTTATTTTATTTTCCCTCTGCCTAAATGCAGACTCAGTGGATCAGGGAGTATGATGCATGAGTCCTATGGGTCAGGTTCCTTGAATGAACCCTTTGCTGAAGAATTACACCAGCCCCAGCCAGCATGGTCATTGGGTGGGGACGATGAGAGTTGTAGTCCAAAAGAGCTGGAGGGCATTTCATTGGGGGAAAGCTGCCTTACACTCCTATTTCATTCTTGGCCTCACCAGGACTTGCACCACTGCCAGCTCAGATTGGGGGACTCTCTTTATACAAATATGTTTGCACATATCCATGAATTCCCTGCCACCCCATTTGTTCAGTAGTTCCAGATAGGCAGCAGCAGAAATGTCTCCCCATATAAACATCTTCTCTTATCAAATATGATGAGCAATTTCCTGCAACTATCCCTGCCCAGACAAGTGATGGCAATCTCAGATGTGATAGTTATTGCAACAGCTTTGTGAGGACTGCCTGAAAAGCAGTATTTAAGTACTGTACCTTAATTAAATAAGCAACCAAGATTAGTTAACAACGGTGACCTTATGTTTCATGTTGTATAATTTATTGCTTGCTCAATATTGGTGCGCTTTTTGAAAATGTGAAGCGCATTTGAAAATGTTCATTTTACTTCATGCAAATAACAACGTTAGCAAGGTATTCTGCAGGTTGCAAATACGTTAGTCTTTTTAAAATTTGGATTGTCCCACTACGATATTATCTTCCTCCCCCCACTGCTTTGCCCCCTTAGCCAGAAGATGGATATACACAGAGACATGAACACACATCTGCAAAACCACAATTCTTCACCCAAATTACATGAGCTTGTGGCACAGATGGGGATTGTCTGCACCCCAGATAATATTTAATTTGAGTGGGGTAAGGCTCTGGTGGGCACACCTCAAATTAGCCATGTGGCGGGCGTTTAACCACAGATGTACCAATTCCCATCTGAGCAGCTGACAGCCCTGCATAATTTATTGCATGCAAATGGTGAGACCTGCCTTTGACGTGAGAATCAGGATCCAATTGCCACAGGATATTCCCTGTAATTGCTAGTTTGCTGTGACAGGGGTAGTACAGGCAGTACTACCGCGAGCGATTAGGGAGCTGTGGGGCGTGTCTCCTCCACCCTCTTTCCCATCAAATATTTCCCCCCTTTTTATTATTATTGAACAAGAAGGGCTGACCAGGAAGCTCCCATATGGCCCATCCTTCAAGGCAGCCTTTATTCACAATGGAAGCTCAATTAGTCTCGTGGTGTCACTTAATTGGGATCAGAGTTTCTAAAAATGAAGGATAGTGGGCAGCTAAGTAGGACACAAGATATGGTGTAGGTTAATGCTTGCTTGCTTGCTCTCTATCCTTCCCCCCCCCCATTATTTATTTGTTGATTTATTTATTTGTCCCCTTAAAGAAAACTTCTCTAGGTGAGTGTTTATGTACACAATGAAAAAACAATAATCAAAAACAACCCAGTCTTGGATTCCCCAGTCTAAAGTCAAACATTAGCCACTGGCTCTCTTGGAAGCAATGCATTCATGAATGCTCCTGGGAGTTAGGCCAGGTGGCCACCTGGCCAACAGAAGACTCTCCCAGCATCCATAGCTCATTCTGCCACCCTTCCAGGCCACCCCTAGCAACGTACCAGATGCCAGTGTAACATATTTGTGATCACACTCATTCACCAATTAACAGCCAGGGGGAAAAGGTGAGGCAGAAAATTTGGTTTAATTGCTTTGTGATGTTTCATAGGAAGCAAAGGAAATTAATTGTGTTCAAATTATTATGGTGCCTTGGACAGGTACTCTACATGGGGAATCCAAGTGGGATCCCAAGTATTTTGAGTTCCACTGTGGGAACAAAGCATCTATGCAAACTGAGATCTTGCCACTATCTCCCATGGGAAAAGGGATGGAAACACACACTAACACGCACGATAGCCTCACATTGTTAACTTGGCCCATTTATGCCCCAGAAACCTTCCATGTAGCCAGCTCCCATTATGCTGTCCAACCATATTTCCATCTTCATTTGGATGACTGTCATGGCCTGCTGGTTGACAATATATGTAGCTTGTGGATTAGGAGAAGGCTGTTAAGATAATACATGTTTCCCTATATTGCAGCTGTTCAGGAGGAGTCATCTGGTGGTATTGGGTGGTGGGCTCTTCTGCTTGCTCTTGTGCGCAGAGTGAGGGATGTAGGATATTTGCAAGTCCTACTTGAATTTAACTGCTCCCATTTCTTGTTTGCATTTGTTTGGGGAGAGTTCATAGCTCAGTGGTACAGCATCTGCCTTGTGTGCAGAAGCTCCAAGGTTCAATTCCTGGCATTCTGGGTAGGGCTGGGAGAGATTCTGTCCTGACTAAAACTCTGTAGAGCTGTTCTCAAGTCAGGATAGCCAATGGTCACAATATAAGGTAGATTTCTATGTCCTTGAATAGGGTTGCCATACGTCTGGAATTTCCCGGACATATATGGAATACTGTAGCTGCAAGCAGTGTCCTCGTGAAAATTGGCAAAATGTCTGGGAAAATCTGGATTTTTGGCAGCCCATGTTGCCAGTGTCATTTTTGCCAATTTCCTTCAGAAATAGCTCAAAAACATCCAATTTCTTTGTGAACAACTTTGGCCCAACAAAGTTTGGCTCAACAACTTTGGCCAAAACTAAAAAACAAAATTGTCCAGATTTACACTTTTTGAAATATGGAAACCCTATCCTTTAGGCCCCAGTTGTGGGAGTATTTTGGTTCCTGATGGTTGTTTCTGGTCCTAAGAAGACAAGTGTTAGCAATATGCACTTTCTACATTGTTGTGATTATTGTGATCCTTGGTAGTCTTTTTCTTTTTTTCTTGCAAGGTGACATTTTATCCGTGTTCTCATTTCTGTGCTGCAAGGTATATAAGGCCAGAGCGATGCAGCCCTGTGTCATACATCTTGATAAGGGACAGCAAGTTTCCTTTGCTAGATCTGATATGCCTCTGGTGTCATGTTGTTGTTTAGTCGTTTAGTCATGTCCGACTCTTCGTAACCCCATGGACCAGAGCACGCCAGGCACTCCTGTCTTCCACTGCCTCCCGCAGTTTGGTCAAACTCATGCTGGTAGCTTCGAGAACACTGTCCAACCATCTCATCCTCTGTCATCCCCTTCTCCTTGTGCCCTCAATCTTTCCCAACATCAGGGTCTTTTCCAGGGAGTCTTCTCTTCTCATGAGGTGGCCAAAGTATTGGAGCCTCAGCTTCAGGATCTGTCCTTCCAGTGATACAATGATTTAATTAGCCGTGGAAGCAGACAGAATTGTAACCACCACTACAACACTGGGCGGGGAGTGGGACAAAGAGGAAGGAATGGAGTGAAGACATTTTGGCTTGTTCATTAACTTCAGTCTTAGTGTTTTTATTCAGGCCAACATAATATTGCAGTATTGCAATTGGCTGGAGAACTGCATTGCAAAATTCGGAGAAGTTTTAATTTTGAAGGATGCCAGTGATTGGGTTTCTGTTTAGGAAAGTGAAAATCACACACGGAAACAATTTTTACCCATCCCTAGTTGTCAGTAGCCTTTCTGCTGGTTCAAATGTAGCACTCTGCCAATGTAATTTCCCCACCCCTTCACTCTCACACACCTGCATAGCATGATGCTCTACCATTCTGAAGGAGGGTGGTAAGAGCAATCTCATAATGGCCAGTAGGAATAGGTTTGCTGTCTCACAGCAAGTATGGGGAACATCTGGCACCCAGATGTTGTTGAACTCCTAACTCCTACCAGCCCAGTGGTTAGGGAGGATGGGAGTTGTAGTCCAACAACATATGGAGGGCCACAAAGTTCCCCATCTCTGTGTTAAAACATGAACTGGTAACACCACTATTAGCATTTGGTCTGCATTTGGGGCTTCGTAGGTCAAATCCAGTATTTTGAGCTGTGCGCAGAAGGCAATACGAAACCTGTGCAAACAGTAAAAGGAGAATGTGATTGAATCTATTTTCCTACTGATTGCTTCCCTTTCCTCCACCCCCAACCCAAATCACACACAGTACCTCCACTGTTTACTCAGTTTACTTTTTTGAGGGACAAAAGCAGCCCACTCTAATACAGACCAATAAACCTTTAATACCACATTGCATATTATAGAATAGAAGTTGTGTAGGGGTGAGACATGTTAGCCCTCTTCTTCATTTCCCCCCTAGGACCTTCCCCCTCATTACACTGGAATTTTATGAAAGAAAAAGCAAACAGAATTTAGAACTGGTCTTTGTGGGGAGGAAAGGAGTGTCACTTTGATTTACCATTTTGCATAATCTTCAATCACAACTGGTTTTCAGTGCCTTGGTACAGACTGTCCTTGGAGCAAACTTGAGTATGTTATCTGAAAAGGCCTAGATAGGGAGATAAGCATTTAATACTGGCAGATAATCATTGCTGCAGAATACAATGCACAATGTTTGTTTCACTTCCATTTCCCTGCTGCTCCCTTAAAGATGCCTCTGAATATTTACATGATGCATCTTAATCTTTCATCCTCTGGTTGTTTGTTTAGGCATGCTGATTCTCCTTTCTTCCTTTAACTGATAAAATGTATGCATGTTCCTTGTCATTTTCTTTTCTTCTTTTTTTAAAAAAAGAAAAGAAGTGTTGAAGCAAACCAAAATCAGATAGCAGGGCAGTTGAGACGCCTGTTCCCACAGTGTAGAAGCCAATGTGGTACTCCAGATGTTGTTGGAAACAACTCCCATTAACTTAGCTTGAACAGCCAATGGACAGGGAGGATGGAAACAGTAATCCAACAATATCTGGAAAGCACCAGATTGTCTACCCTTCTGACAACAATGAGAATGTACAGATGCTAACCGACATGGCATGTAGAGGAGGAATCAGGATATTGCCCATTCAGTGTAACATGTCAAGAGTCTAACATTCATATGTAAACAGGCTCTTTCATAAATTATGCCAAAGTATGTGTGTGTGAGTCTATTAACTGTATGTACTAATCTGTGTGTATTAACTGGACACAATTGAAACATTTGTGAAGCTCTGTTAACCTTCTTCTTTCACTTTTCATGAATAAGAATGTCTTCTAAATCTGCAGCTGACAGTTCTCTATTCTGTAATAGATTTTATTAGTAGTAGTATATTCTTCCCGAGTTCCGTCTATTTTGGGGAGTTATGCTTAGGCCAGAGTTTTCCAAACTGTGTGTCGCAATACGTTAGTGTGTCAGCTGCAGTGAGTAGGTGTGTCGCACGAATGCACCCCATACTCCTCCCAGGGCTGGAAAGGGTTTGCTAGTAAAACTGAAATACTGTGTCGCGAAATGATGCATGTCTAAAAAGTGTGTCGCCAACATGAAAAGTTTGGAAAGTTCTGGCTTAGATTAATGCTATGTGTGTTTCCTACAAATTACAAAGCTGACCATTGTTTCCACTGTTTATTAATACATTGATATAATTGAAAACTTCAAAAATCGCAAGCTACACAATCATATCTTAAAGAGCCATCTTTTGCTGCTATTGTTTTTTAAAGTACCGTAACACAAAATATTTCTGATGCAGAAGACTCAAGCAGTGAATGACCCAGTGCGATGGAAATGTTAATATATTTTTCTATTACTAGCCTTTGGACAGTGTAAATCAAGCCTTGTCTTCCTCAGAGTCATAGACCAGTAACTGAATAAGTGGCGAAGTGCTTCCTGCATCCAACAGAGTAGTGTGGCCAGATAGATACAGTCAACATTATAATATTTATGCCACAGTAAACTAAGGAACCTTTCGTTATGAGAGCAATTACTTTAAGTAACATCACAGGAGGGGAGTTTCTAGGGCTAAGGTGAAACTGTGAAGCTCCCTAGTTTTTCTTTCTAGTGGATGCTATAGGTATGTTGTTTAAGTAATGCTGTTATATTTATAGTATTGACATGTGGGGGTTTTTTGGTATGTTATTAGATTTTTGTTTTGCTATGATAGTATGAAATGGTTCCTATCCTATGTTATTGTTTTGCTGTCACATGAGAGATGGAGCAAGCTTGTTTTCTCCTGCTCTGGGGGTAAGACTCGAACCAATGGCTTCAAGTTACAGGAAAGCAGATTCCAACTAAACATCAGAAATAATTTTCTGACAGTAAGAGCTGTTACACAGTGAAACGGTCTCCCTTGGGAGGTTGTGGACTCTCCTTCCTTGGAGGTTTTTAAGAAGAGGTTGGGTGGCCATCTGTCCTGAATACTTTAGTTGAGATTCCTGTATTGCATGGACTAGATGATCCTCAGGGTCCCTTCCAACTCTACAATTCTATAATTCTATGAAGTTGTTTTTATAGTGTTTACTTGAAATGCATTCCCTGTTTCTTTGTTGTACGCTTCTTTGAGCATGACTTTTGTTTTAATGGAAAAGCAGCATACTATATATCTATATATCTATATATCTATATATCTATATATCTATATATCTATATATCTATATATCTATATATCTATATATATGCATGTATGAATGAATGACATTTGAATAATACGTATAGGCTTAAGCTCTATTGAAATTATTCTGACACGGCTTACTTTAAATTCAAATGGTTTCAATCAGGCTTCAGTACAACTAGCTTTCTCTTGGTTGGATGAGACCAGAAGCTATGCCCTACTTTCGCATCCATGCAATAGGATGATTGGAAAAGGTACCAAATTCAATGAGCACCAAATAGTACCAGTGAGTGGAAAGAGCTGGAAGTGAGTGTGGAGGGCACACCTAGATCTCCCTTTTCCATTTGGCCCTGCATACGATGTCAGGCTGTGAACAAGTGGGTGTTGTAAAACGGTGCCGCAGGCCAACTTAAATAAAATATTGGGCAGGTCCAGGTAAGCCTGCATAATTGATCACATGTCATGGCACAAACACACAATTCCCATCAACTTTGAGGGGTGGCCCCCTCAAATATTTTATTGGGGGGCTGAAGGGACCTCGGCCCCTAGGAGTTGGCTCCTATGTAGCTATGTCAGCAGTGGCAATTAAACAATTAAGACCCAGTGGAACATCAACTTTCTGCTCTGTTGCCAGCCTCAATGACTGAAGAAACTGTTGGAGAGGAAGCCATAACTTCCTTAACATGCACCTTAGAAAAAATCACAGCGCCCCTATTCCATAAACACAACATGGGCAGTTTATCACCCCAACAGACTGCACTGCATGGACTGAGATCCCTTGTAATGTAGCAATGCTTGCTGGGTTTCAGCTATTTTACTTCACCTCAGCAGACTCTGTGGCATCATCAGGGACTTGCAATGCACTGGGGTGCACCTCCAGAACCACAGGAAGCTTCACTGGGCATTCCCAAAAATGTTACCACCGTCCCAAATGACAACTTGGCTTGCTTGTGCCACTGGGTCAACCCAATACTGTATGGAGATTTTATCCCACCACCCCCTCTTTCTCTGCCTCCTTCCCTCAAGCTGCACTGATTCTGAAGAAGTGAAGAGCACTAGCAGTTATTCCCTGATAAACTGTGTCAACTGCCTTCTTGGAGTTGTTTTGGCTTTAGGTATTTATTTAGGTGCTTTCTTAAGGTATATGACGTAGATCTGGGTTGTTCTGGCAACTCACACAGCCTGTGGCGATGCTTCTTGCTCTGAACTAAGCCAAACAGTAGGGGTGGGGGGGAAGGGGGAAGAGAAAGAGGAGGAGGGAAGAATACCCTTTGATAAATAACCTTTCCATATTAAATGCACATCAATCTGACATAAACAATTAGCTGTCAGGTGCTTGGCTTTGCAAGCAGAGGCCAATTTTCAGATTAGTGCTAATTGCAGGGAGGGCTGACACATCAACTGGGAGAGCCAGTAGCTTGCAGCACTGGTAAGAGCAGACTTCAATAGCGAGAGCAAGGGAGGGCTGAGGCTGCCTGTCTCCAGATTGCTGGCAGTATGACTGTAGAGTAAAGTAATGGAGCTGGCAGGGTGGAATCAATTACTGGCCAATGAAGATTTTCCCACAGGTCGGGGCTTGGGAAAAAAAGGACGTTCCTGCTGCCTAGACAGCTGGCATGGACTGTCCAGTGGGAAAGGAGCCGGCAGAACGAGAGAGAGAGAGAGAGGGACAGTTCTCTGTGATAAAACCAGTGACAGACTATAAATTATGAAAAGGGTACTTGGCAAGAGGATTTAGAGCTCGCTACCTCTCTGTTTTCTCTCCCCCTGCACCCCAGAACCGTTCACAGAGTTATTCACCGACTTGAGCTGGGAAATAAAATGTGTCAGTGGACAAACCCTACATTTATCTCTCTCAGTTCTCTTTAATAGGGTACATGTGTGCTCTGCTTTACAGACCCTTTAAAGCAACATCGTCTTTTGCAAGGCTGCCTTGATGTTGCGCTGAGTAATTATGCAGCATGTTGCTCTTTCGCAGAGCCAGATTAAAGCCCTTGAGACATTTTGCTTGCAGCTCAGTTACATGTATTAAGGACCATTGAAATCAACGGAAGGTATACCCCCCCTACACAAAGGCAGAAGGTTGTGGTCTTTGTAACTTCCACATCCCAGTTCTGTACTATCCAGAAATTAACACGGTTCTTTCCCACCTACAGTGGTACCTCGTGTTACGTACCATCCCCCTTACGAATGCTGCGGGTTATGCGCTCCACTAACCTGGAAGTAGATGCCCCTTGTTGCGAACTTTGCCCCAGGATGCGAGCGGAAGTTGCACTCTGGCGGCGTGGCAGCAGCGGGAGGCGCCATTAGAGAAAGCGCACCTCATGTTACGAGCAGTTTCCTGCTACGAACGGACCTCCAGAATGGATTAAGTACGTAACACGAGGTACCACTGTACTCCTTTGTCCTCACATTAACATTGAGAAGGAGCTCAGGGTGCTGGACAGTGACTGGCCTCATCCCACCCAGTGAGCTTCATGCTCGAGTGAAGATTCAAAGCCTGTTTCCCTGAGTTCCAGCCCTAGTTTGGTTCTCTAACCACCACCAGCCAATGTATGCTTTCTGGATGTTTTTGCACTACAACTCCTAACATCCTTCTCCATTGGCCATGGTGGCTGTGCCTGGTGGAAGTTGTAGTCCAGCAGCATTCAGAGGGCACCCCATTGACTACTCTTGAAACTATATCAGTGACAAGAAAACTACCTGAAATTCATAGGGTTAATTAGTTGTTCTACTTATTACATGAGTCATAGAATTGGAAGGAACCACAAGGGTCATCTGGTCCAACCCCTTGCAATGCAGGGGTCTTTTGTCCAATGTGGGACTCCAACCCACGACCCTAAGATGGAGAGTCTCATGCTCTACCAGCTGAGCTATCCCAGCTTTGCACAAGAATGAGAACAAGGGCAATACCTTGGGAAATTGTCCCACTAGCCTAGGAAATTGGATACCCACTTGGCATCACCAAAAAAGAAAACAAAAGGAGACACAGATTTGAATAGAATATTTAGAAATATTAAGTTAAATAGAATTACAGACTTAAAACTGAACAGCCCTTCAAACAGTACTCTTTCAAATTGAGGACTTTGCTCTGTAAAACAGGACACATGGTCACTCTAAGACAAAGTAGCTTGTTAAAATGGAGTTTTGATGACCACACCAGCCAACCAGCCAGCCAGCCATGACACTGAGAATACATTTAATTGGCACATAAAAGTCAAGTGAAAGAAAATAAAAGTATTCTCATGCAAATAAAGAGGGTATCACAGTAACAGTCGCATCTGAGATTTGGAGCGGGGGAAATCCTCGGTATGTTGTAAAATTAAAATGATTGTGCTTGCAATCCCATCTACTTCAGATCTCACTGGGACTTAATTCTGAGTCCGTGTACAAGGATGGTGCTGTTATTCACTCCTACCCTCTACTTAAAGCAATGACATTAACATATTGTGGTTTTTGAAGACTGGAGTCTGAATTCAGTACAAAAAACAACATTGACAAGTCAAGTAGATCCTGGCTCAGTTTAATTTAGCATAGGGCTGTGGTATTACACATTTGAGTATTTAGGAATAGGCAAACACCTGGATGCATGCACACAGAGATGCACGTGGACCAATAAAAATTGTCCTTCCTGTATATTAAACAGGGTTCAAGTCCACACACTGCACCATTCTTGAGAGCAAAGTGCAGACCGTGCTCATGAGAAGAAGCCATCTGAATAGGGAATGAGAAAATGATGGGCTCAGAAACATTCTTCCCATTTGAGGAAAGAATGTTTTTTTTAACCACCACCTGTGATTAGAGCACCTGTTCTCCATGCACCTGTGCAATTGTATTAAGAGTGCTGGGGCCCTAATGAATGGGGGGTTCTGTTCAGGGATGCACTGCAGAATCTTTGTTTTTTGCTTTAGTTGTGAAATTTTTTAAAATGCTGCTGAAAATAATAATATTTTAGGCAACTTTCATTGAAATCCTGATCTCAAAATAATTTAACTTTGGCCTCTTTATTTTTTTTAAAGTAGCAACATGCCTGGCAGTTCTGACAGGCCTGAAGTCTAATGAATTTGTTCACGAAGAGACCAATCTGGTGGCACATAAACTGCAACCACAGGAGGCCTCTGATTCAATTAAAATTGTTTCCTCTGATTTGACTTTTTGTATTGATAGAATCACACACACACACACACACACACACACACACACACACACCGCTCTGCTGGGATGAGAGTTCTCAGAGTCTGCTTTAAAGTTAGGCTAATGGAGCCAAGCAGTGTTTTATGTAAGCGTGTTTACAGGAGGATAGTGACAGGAGGATGCTTATCCTGCTAATATGGAACTGCGATGACAACCCCAGCAATTGGCACAATCAGTGGCTTTGTGAATGCATTTAATTGGCAAATAAAGGCCTGCAGAAGTGAAATGAATGTATCATCATGCACAGGGGATTAGGTTCACCCTTGTCCTTCACATGACAGATTAATTTGTGCCCGGGTCTTCTCATTCCCATGACTTCCCACCCATATTTTGAGAATCAACGAAGATGCATCAATTTAATTGTGTGATGCTCTAGATCAGGGCTGGGAGACCTGTGATTTTACAGATTTTGTTGAACTACAGTTCCCATCCTCCCTGATCATTGTCCATGCTGGCTACAGTTGATGGAACTCAAGGGTTGAACACCATTCACAGCTTCTTAAGTCCTGTGTTAGATGTCCTGTGTTGAAAGAGAGAAATAAACGAGGAAGAAATATTTCTCTAGATCATTCTCCCATTGATATGTCGCAGGGAAATCAAAGAGGTATGATATAAAACCACCTCTGATTCTAAGCAGATTTGGGCCTGACCAGTTTCTGGATAGAAGATTCCTGGTGAGCCCTATCAGCAGAATGAAAATAAACCAAGAGCCATGCTTTAGGATACTGCCTCATCATGCCAGACCATTTGCACAAAGTTGACAATTATTGCTCTCACCCTTCACAATAGAGTGTTTTGGGGGACTCTGGTTAAACAACCTATATCTGTACAAATCATCTTTGAAAAGAGGTGGGGAGGGGTGGAAGAGTTGGGGGGCTGCTTGCAATGGAGGCATTGTCAGCAGCCAAGTCCTCTGCCCCATTGGCCAGCCCCATGGTCCTCCTGAACCGCCCCAAGGCACAGCACCCACCCACGCTGACCATGGTAATGGAGGTGGTGAAGACCCTGGACAAGCGCAAGGGAGTCTCTGTTGTGGCCATAAAGTGCTACATCCTGGGCAGCTACCCCAGGGTGGACTCCATCCACCTGAAGTACACCCTGGCCCAAGGCCTGGAAAGGGGCTGCCTCATCCGGCCCCAAAACTCTTCTGTGCTGGGTGCCACAGGGAGATTCAAGCTGGGTACAGAGGAAGCCAAGGGAAAGAAGAGCCATGAAAAAAAAATCGGATTCAGATGGAAAAACAGCGCCCAAACTGAAGAAAGCAGCCAAGAAGCCCAAGGTGAAAGTTCCTGTGGAGAAACCGAGGCAGGGAGCAATCACAGAAGGGGAGAAGAAGAAGGTAGCTCCCAGCAAGAATAGCAAGGCGAAAGCTAGCAGGCATCCAGGCAAACCTCCAGCAAAGCCCAAGGCGAAGAAGTCCCCCGAGGGGGAGAAAGCAGCCCAAATCTTCAAGAAACCGAGCTCTTCCAAGGCCTTCCTGGCAAACACACCTGGTGCGCCCCGGAAAGCTGTGTCTAAGGAAAGCAAGATGGGGGGCCGAGGATGAGGGGCCCCCAGGCAGAGGCCAAGGCACCTGCAGCAGCCAAGAAAACCAAAGAGGCAAAGGGGGAGAAAGCCAAGGCTGGCCAGGGGTCCAAGCCCCCCAGAGCCAAAGGAGGGAAGGAGGGGGAGAATCCAGCCAGCTGGGGCCCCAAGGAGGCCTGAGGGCCCAGATTCTGCAGGGAGGGCAGGAGGGCTGTCCAACACGTCACCCTTCATCCACCTTGTCCAAGGGAGAGATGACCCCTTTTACGGTGGGGTCCCCATTTATGAATGGACTATTTATGAAGCAAAGACCCTGTTTTTAAACACCGTGTCATTTTCCAATAAAGTTCAGAGTGCAGCAAAAACAAACAACCAAATTTGAAAAGTAGCAACAGAACCCACTGCAACATACAACAACACCACTTTTATTATTTATACCCCGCACATCTGGCAGGGTTTCCCCAGCCATTCTGGGCAGCACATATAAAAACATAATAGCAGCACTGCACAAGTGGGAATATTCAAGCATGTTGAAATGGTTGAGCAGTTTCAGCAGTAAACATATTTATACCAATTGGTCTACTGTCAGTGGAAAAGAACAGAAGGGAAAGTATCAGCTGGGCTTCAAAGTGACATAGGGTTGTGCCTTGTACAAATCAAACCACTGCCTCTACGTTGACCAGCAGCAAATCTCCAGGCTTTCAGATGTAGACTTGGAAAGTCTAGGGAATGAACCTGGGGCTCTTGCATTTGAAGCATGTGCTCTGCTACTGAGCTATGGACTTTCCCTAAGCTGATATATTTGGTGGGAGTTAATATGTGTCCTTGTACTTCACAGGGTGACATCAGGAAAGTTGAGAGGGCCTCACGTATATATTTTTGTACATTGTGCAAGAATCCTTCTGTCCTTGTTTCCCTCCTAATAAGATTTGAGCAGCAGCAAGAGCAGCAAGGACAGACTGGCTTCTGTGCGTCAGGCAAATCTGATCCAGGGAGGGACGGGAGGAGACAACAACAACAACAACAGAGTGGCTTAGAAGGACATGTTTTCTCAAGGATATGATTTGTTCTAGGATAATGCTTAGGGAACAATAGAAAGTTTGTAGGCAGAGGGAAACAATTCTGAGAATGAGAAATTGTACAACTTAACTGTGGACTTCCTGATCAGCTGCAGAAAGGTACTTTTCTTAAAAGGAGCCACCCTCCATATATAGTTGGGAATTCTTTTCAGAACTATCCCTATTGTTGTTTGGGCTACCCTTTCTTCATTGACAACAATGGCAAAACTAACATGTACAGGGTCAAAGAGCTCCTGTTAATATTTGCTGTATCAGTTGATGGTGATTACAATCCATTGAGAATGTTTCCTGAGTAAGTCCTACAGAAATAAAGGGAGTAGGTTTTTATGAAGTTGCCATTCAGTTTAGTGGGATGTTGCTGGGACAGTTGTTGACTCATACAATTTGGGAAGGAAGAAAACTCTGCAGATAACTTCTTTAAATTGTATTATGTGGAGGACAGATTATTTTAAAATTAGCATTCCTAAATATGCCTTTTCTGTTCTATTTCACGCTTACTTTTTCTTTTTTGCTGCTTCTATATTAATACAGTCTAATCTCATACAGGAAAAAGTTTCATTGAATTGAATGGAACTAACTACAAGTTATCACGGACATGAAGGATTGCAACATTAAATGAAAAAATGTGCAATGTTAGCAGTCCACATTTTTAAAATCTTAGAAGTTATATTAAAGTATTTACTGTATTGAAAAACACACTGGTTGCAATCCATCTGATGTCAACCGGGTTTTTAATTTTGTTTATTTCAAGGGAGAGATTGAAGCATGTGCTTAATTCTCATATTGAGATTAACAGAACTTTAAGGTGTTTGCCAAAGTGTGGACAATGAGGTGCAGTGCAAGCATGCTATCTTCTAGTTTTGCATTGTTGGATTAAAAAAGCTTTGCAGTGCCAGATTCAATATTTATTTTTGCTCCTCCAATTTTTTCCTGAAGTTTGTTCTGTTTATTTGTGTACCTCCCAGCATTTTACCTGATCTCATTATTTATATGTTGAAGCTTCTTGATGATTCTTCTAATCCCTCTGCTCCATACGCAGTAGCTTTGGCACTGATGAATTTTGTTTGCCCCCAAGTGATTGCTTCAAATGCTGAAGCTATAGATTTTAGAATCTTCCCATAAACTAACAAGGTGAAGATCAGTACGAGCCATGGATACTTCCTTGACCCATGAAAGCAAATGCTTTGTGTTGATGTCTCTGGGAGAACGAGGATAAAGGTTTTATGCGGTAGTCTAAGAGATGAGGAAGATGACAGGTATATAATATTTGCAGTCATCCCAAATTTAGTCCCTTAAATTTCTCCCATACAAGGCAATTACTGGGAGAAAGGGTGAATAGGTCAAAACTATGAGGTGATCTGAGTAGTTCGGAGTTGGGAAGTTAGGGCCACCGAGAGACCAATTTATCCCTCCTCCTCCTCTTAAGAACATAAAAAAGCCTCAGAGAATCACACCAAAGGCCCATCTAATCCCATCTTGTCCTCACAGTAGCGAACCAGATGCCTATGAGAAGCCCACGAGCAGGACCTGAGATTCCCCACTTCTGATCCCTAGAAATTGGTAGTGGAAGCATTGTGGCTAGTAGTTGGTATTCTTCATCATTAGCTTTGCCCTGCTTATCCTCTTCCAGAATTCCCCCTCATGTTCAGAGCCAACCCAAAACATTTTGCTGCTTGAGGGAAAGAACAAGAACAGCTACACAATATACCGTATTTTTTGCTCTATAAGACTCACTTTTTCCATCCTAAAAAGTAAAGAGAAATATGTGTGCGTCTTATGGAGCGAATGCAGGCTGCGCGGCTATCCCAGAAGCCAGAACAGCAAGAGGGATTGCTGCTTTCACTGGGCAGCAATCCCTCTTGCTGTTCTGGCTTCTGAGATTCAGAATATTTTTTTTCTTGTTTTCCTCCTCCAAAAACTATGTGCGTCTTGTGGTCTGGTGCGTCTTATAGAGCGAAAAATGCGGTAAGTTTAAAGCACATTCAGTGCACATGGCTTCTCCATAGAAACTGGGACCTGTAGTTCCCCCCCTCATGGAGTGGAACTACAATTTTTAGTGCCCTTAATAAACTCCAGGATTCTTTGAGGGAAGTTATGTTTTGTTTTTTTTAATGTGCATTGAGTATACTTTAAAATTTTCATGTGGATCAAACCCAGGATGCCCCCTTCCCCAGAACTCACAACTGGAGCCAGCCAGATTGGCAGCAGAACAGCAATCTCTACCAAATCTGTGGGCAGCAGGCAAGCTCAGGGTGCAAAGCAAACTTTATATGTCACACACCTGACTGCCTCCCTTGAGGAAGGCACCTCACTCTGCCTAATGGTAGGATCAACCCTGCCCACACGCTGTGGTCTAAACCACTGAGCCCCTTGGGCTTGCTGATCAGAAGGTTGGCGGTTCGAATCCACACGACGGGGTGAGCTCCTGTTGCTCGGTCCCAGCTCCTGCCTACCTAGCAGTTTGAAAGCATGCCAGTGCAAGTAAATAGGTACCGCTGTGGCGGGAAGGTAAACAGCGTTTCCATGCGCTCTGGTTTCCATCACAGTGTTTCATTGCACCAAAAGCGGTTTAGTCATGCTGGCCTCATGACCCAGAAAGCTGTCTGTGGACAAACATTGGCTCCCTTGGCCTGAAAGCGAGATGAACGCCGCAACCCCATAGTTGCCTTTGACTGGACTTAACCATCCAGGGGTCCTTTTACCTTTACCTTTTACCTACACACCAGGGAATACCAAAATCCCAGTGTTACCAAGAGGCAAGAGACTGGCATTCATTTGTTTCAATGGAGCCTGAGCAGGAAACTTTCTGTGCCCTTTGTGTTTTGGGAAGCTCCACTATCATCTTGTGATGTTTCCAAAAAAGAAAGCAACAAGAACTCAACAAGTATGTCCTGAGAGAGCAGCTGAAGTGTGAGAGAGAATGCTGTTGCTCTGTGATGTATACATCTTGGCCAAAGGAACCTTTCTCTTGGTTTTGACAATTTCCCCATTTGGCTGCCTTGGCTTTGTATTCAGGATGCTGCAGCTGGGGCTTTATCCACCTGTGCCTGCAAAAGAGGAGTCCCAGCCCAGCTGCTGTCTTCATGCAACAGAATATTCAACATGAGTCATCCTGTGCAGAGTGTGGGACCACCATATGTCCCTCACTCCATGCTACACACAACTAAGTTGTATTGTTATCTTCGGCCAAGCTAAGGGGATCATTTAGAAAGCTCCTGTTCCTAGTGTTCCACAATCTTGTTCCACAACTACTAATCAAAAGTTTGGTGCACTTGATCACTGCTGCAAACCAGATGTGGGAGGTGATTCAGGCTAGAGGAATCTCCCTCAGTTCAAAAACTGAGAGGAACAGGCTGTGCAATTATATGACTGGATTCCTCACTGCAAGGGTGTATCAATATAAAAGGATTTAATGCAAGAGTCTTGCTGGTTCAGGCCAAGGATTTGTCAAGTCTAGTCCAGCATCCTCCCGCCTTCCACAGCAGCTGACCAGAGGCACCTCCAGATTGTCGGTATTTTGTGGGAAGGTTTCAAGCACATGCAGGGAAATTTAGGTGTGTACAATTAAAAGGTCTTTGTTGGTGTCTGTGTGCAAGTTAATGCCAAAGATGAATACTGGTAGTTTCTCTTTGGAGTGCAGCACAAACATCTTCTGCTGAAATGAAGCATCAGTAGCTAGCTAACAATATTAGGAGCTGCAATGACACACACACACAAACACGCTCATATATATTACATTTCCCCCCCTTTTTTCTTAAATAATTTTTAGAATTCCTTCGTTAGCCAAGCAGGGTGAAACCACACCCTCTGCTTATAGGAGCAGTCACTTTGAAGTCACTTCAAAGGGGATGTGCATGTAACGGCTGCAGGTTCTTTCAGCGCTGCATGACCATTGACATTTTCATTGTTCAATGCTTTAAAACATTATGACTTATGACCGAATAAAAGAGGCTGGGTTTTCTTTTTTGCATTGTTGACGCTGATCCTCTAGCTTAGCAAAGGCACTTGAGCAGTATTTTGTGGATCAGCTTATCTGCCCAGGGGCATCTGTTGCATTTCCCAACACCATTATGGGCGGAAATAAAAGCTATTCACGTAATCCCCAAACAACTTCATTCCTCTATGGCCCTTCAAAAGACCACAATCTCTTAAATAGTGATTGAGGACTTGGGAGACATTTCACCAAGATACTGCTACCCTTTCTAGTTTCCCAGGAGGAAAAAGGCAAATCTTCAAGGCTGTCTAATGAAGCTTAACGAGCACCACATATCCTTTGAAAGATGATGGCTCTATTGGGGTTTTAATATTTCACTGAGACTTTAAGTAAAAAGTCCTGGCGCTTTATTTCCGAGCTGAAGAAAAATTGTCATCTGTCATGGGTGATCCTTAATTCTTTCTCCAGAGTAAATGTGAGGTTGCTCTTTAAGATTAAGCTAAACTAGATGCTTACAGTGCAATTCTATATGTCTACTCAGAATAAGTCCCACAAAGTTCAATGGAGCATACTTCCAGGCAAATGGGGATTACAGAACTGCAGCGTTAGGGTTAATGTGCAGAACTGGAATTTGTGGGAGGAGGATGGATAGTTTTCTTTAAAAAAAAAAAAAAGATGAAGAAATTCCCCTCGATTTTAATGTTGTTTTTTCAGTGGTGCTGTCCAGCAATTAAACTTGGCCTAATACTACTGCATTCTTAATTATAAATATATA